TATCAAGCTTGTATAATATATTTAAGTTCAGTAATTTCACTTAAATGGCAATGAAGATTACCTATTAATTGTCATTTAAGTGAAATTACTGAACTTAAATATACAAGCTTGATAAAAATGATCATTCTAGAAGAAAATTTCAAATGGCATTTAGAGGCTTTTGCATCTGAACTCTTCAAATATTCTCAGTTTATGTAATTTTTGTATTTATGTATTTTTTTGGCCACAAAAAAGCTGAAAAAAAAAGTAGTGATTGCGCTTTTTTATCCAACTTTCATTGTTTATATGACATGTAGCAATTGTTCATACGATAAAGACACATATTTATATTGTATTAATGAATGTTGCAAAATTTTGTTTGTTTAGCATTATTATTTAATATTAGGGCCAAGTTTATTTTTTTTAAAAAGCCTATGCAATAACGGCTCCAAATTCATTATTGAAATTCTCTCATCAATATTTTCAAAATAACTTCTTTAAAAGTACTAGTTCTTTAAAATGGAACCAGAATCATTACATTTATTTACGATTCCCATCCATAAAGATTATTTGATCATATGATCTGAATGTGTCGCATGCAGTAATAGGCTGTGACACAAACTACAGCACAAAACTTAAAAAGGGGACTTGATACATACTCTGCCCTTATGAAATATTAATCTCTGGCTCTTCCAAATAAAGAGTTTTATATCTGCTTGTTTATTTTTCCATTCACTTTCTCCTTTCACTCTCAAAATCATTTGTAATAGCCAGTCTCTCTACTTCAGTCCATTACAGTAAATTGGTGAACCTGGCAATCGTAAAGGCGAAAGTGGACATGAGATCTGTTAAAAAATTCACCAGCCAGCACGACAAAAGTGTCTGTTCAGCAAAGAGTTGGGGACAGGATAAAAGCCGTATAAACGCGTGTCAGAGCAGCACTCAGAGGAGGGGCCGACTGAATCCAAACACCAATCGTGGATTTGCTTTAAATAACTTATTTACACAGTGACAGAAAAAAGATGGCAAAGTGACCTCCTACATCCATAAATGGAGAAAAAACATAGTGATATTGTAAGCGGGGGGGAGAAACAGTAATGGATGAAGTGAGAGAAATAGAGTATGAGAAAATATTTTTGCAAAAAGTGAAAAAGTAGGCCAAGTAAGAACTAGCCCCTCTATCTGTATTACTGTAACGCCAAGTGTGTGCGCTGTGAATTATTGACAACTTTAAACATCTCAAATCATGTTCAGATTAGTCATTTTCTGTCAATTTTATATTTATATAAAACTTAAAGACCGACATAAATTTAGAAGCCATTAATCTAAGATAGAAAATATTTTTTTACAGCTAATTTGAGTTTGATAGGCAATAATTGATCATAATAACAATTTTCAGGTGGCCTTAAAGTGACATTATATACCCACAAGTCTATGTATTTGTGTAGCCTAACTATACTATATGTGACCAAATTCATGTTATATACTATATATATATATATATATATATATATATATATAGAGTATATATACACATAATAATACTATACTATATGTGACCAAATTCATAAGTTACAAGAGTACTGATTTGTTTTTATATACGGTTAGAAAGGAAATATGTCCTCAGAAACGTCAAAACAACCCTTAAAACCTAAGTTAATTAAGCAATTAAGTTTCTAAATTTATTATGCAATTTTTTCCGCAACTGAAATAAAAAAATATTTTGAGAAATAAAGTCGCAATTGCGAGAAAAAAAGTGTGACAATCTGCAGCTGTAGTGCCCTCGAGAGCCTCTGGAGGGCACTCTCTCCCCATGTTATGTTTCTCCGGTCTCCTTATGTTTTATTATGTTCAGCTGTTTGTCATTACCTGTGATTGTGTTCCTGATTTAAACCCGTGTGTTCCCTGTGTCATTTGCGAAGTCTTGTTACACTGTAAGCGTACATCTCTGAGCATTAGTGTTTCCCTGGACGGTTGACCCTTGCCTGCCTTCTGGACTGTTCACGAACCTGTGCTGCCTGCCTCGACCTACGCCTGTTAAGACCACGAGTATTTGGATCGTCCCTTTGTTTTACTGTTTGCCTGAGTTTGTCTGCTTGTGTTTCAAGTTGAATTAAAGCGCTGCACATGGATCCGACCGCCGAAAAGACAGAATTGAGACTTTTTTTTCTCACAATTCTGACTTTTTTCTCACAATTGAGAGTTTATATCTCGAAATTCGACATCTTTTCTCAGAATTGTGAGATATAAACTCGCAATTGCGACTTAAACTATTCTGAGTTAAACTAAAAAAAGTTAGTCTTTTTTTCCCCTAGAATTAGCCTCTCTCACAATTCTGACTTTATATCTCGCAATTCTGACTTTATATCTCACAATTCAGACTTTATATCTCGCATTTCTGACTTTATATCTCACAATTCTGACTTTATATCTCGCAATTCTGACTTTATATCTCACAATTCAGACTTTATATCTCACAATTCAGACTTTATATCTCACATTTCTGACTTTATATCTCGCATTTCTGACTTTATATCTCACAATTCTGACTTTATATCTCACAATTCAGACTTTATATCTCACATTTCTGACTTTATATCTCGCATTTCTGACTTTATATCTCGCATTTCTGACTTTATATCTCGCATTTCTGACTTTATATCTCGCATTTCTGACTTTATATCTCGCATTTCTGACTTTATATCTCACAATTCTGACTTTATATCTCACAATTCTGACTTTACAACACGCAATTTCGACTTTATATCTTGCGACTTTTTATCTCACAATGCGAGATAAAATTCTTCTCAGAATTGCAATTACCTTTTTTATTTTTCATTCAGTGGCGGAAACAAGCTTCCATAGAAATGCATTTGTTTCTTATCCCACCTTCCTCCTGTGCCACGCAGAGACGGACAGACTGCAGCGATGTGAGGGCAGAAATGGATTGTTTGACCGATGGGTACGTACAGCGATTCTGAGAGCTTTCATTCGGCCCCCACTGGCTATCGTCTGGTTCAGGAGTGCATCTCTTGCTGTTTTTTTTTTCCTCTTTCCCGCGTTCATTTGGTGAGGCTCCAGCAAACGCAGAGGTGTTTCAATATCACAGGCATAAGGCAGATTTGGAGCGTGTAAGCACAATGTGCCGTGAATCGAATTACGCTGGTGCTGTGCTACACGTTCTGTGGTCAGATTAGCATGGTGTTTGCAGAAGCCAGTGGATGTCACAAAGACTGTCTGTTATTACAGTGGGGGAAAAAAATCAGCAAAGTGTCATTAAAAGCAATCCCACGAGCACCTAATGGGGGGAAAGATACACCCGTAGTTTCTGGAGCACGAATGCAATTTAACAGCATGTCAAGGTGACCAAGCGCATACTCGGTAGGGATTTTATTGCAGTGTTGTAAGTGAGACAACTTAAATAAAAGAGGAACACTAAACAAAGATGTGCGGCAATGTCAAGCACTCAATGGTACCGTAGGGAAACTAGCTTAACTGCTTTAGAGAATTTGCATGTTTTACTAAATACCCATTGATAAATACGTTTAAAACTCCCTCTGAGAAAATTTGCAATGTTTTACAGAATAAATGACAAGAATAGCTCACCACCAGGGGGTTTAAAACCATAAAACTAGCAAAAGCATGCATGGTTATAATGGAGGAAAGCTCATGTCTGTGGCCTAATTTTGATCTCAAAACAATCATTGTTCAATCCACTGCTTCTGAAAGCAATAAAAGTTTAAGACTGAATCAAAACTAACTTGGTTATGGTTATCTGCAGTTACGGTGTGTAAATGACACTTTTTCAGAGCAAGAATGTAAACGAGATTATGGACAAGGGTCAGTGTCGTATAAGCGTATCTATGTTGAATTCATATGGTTTGGGAAAACGTAATTATTTCACAGCTTTATATAAAGTTGGATATGTTATTCAACTTCATCCGGGATACATAAAGTATACTCACATAAAGTGATTGAAAAAAATAAGAAAAAAGCGTGTGTATATATACATATACATATATATACATATACTGTATATATATAATTTTTTTTCTTACACTATTACACTGTAAAAAAAAGATGCTTTATCTAACCGTTTTTTATGCTTTATCTAATCAATAAAATTGTGGCAACAGATTACAAGCAATATTATTTATTAAATTGAACAAATTAGAATTGAGTAATAGTTAATCAAATTAATATTCTAATTAATTCTAATTTGTACAATTTAATCAATAATATTGCTTGTAATATGTTGCCACAATTTTATTGATTAGATAAAGCATATTATTTTTTTCAGTGTATAAATGTGATAATTATTCATTAATTAATTGCAAAGGTTAATTTATTGCAAAAGTAGCATCACATGACAGTTGACAACCTTGCCTTGCCAGGCAACCTTGCCTTGCCTTTTCATAAAAAAAATCTACACTGTAAAAAAAAAAAAATATATATATATATATATATATATATTGTTGGTTTAATTTAAAAAATAAGTAACCTGGTTGCCTAAAATTTTAAGTTCATTGAAATGGAAAAAAAATAGTTAATATTTTGAGTTTCTGGTGATTAAAGTAATCTCCTTCATTGTATTATGTTATATGAACTACATAAATTATCTAAGTTGATTTGACAAAAGAAAAAAATGTGATTACAAATCATGAAAAGATTTTTTTACAGTGTAAAAATTACTAGTCTTACTGACGATGACAGGTCTTCAGATTCATTTATACGTGTGTTTTTCTTTCACATGACTTTGATATGTCAGTCAAGTCTTCAAATATTATATAAGCAGTTTTGTTTTAAAACAAAATAAAAAATAAAGTCCAATAACCATGACTGCATTTTTGACCAAGATCAAATGTACAATTGTATTATTTGTTTTTGAAGAACCTAAGATCATGAATGTTGGGGCACATGTCGTCCTCAATGTCTATGGTGGTTTATTTGACATCAAAGCTTAAAGCTTTACAGTAATACTGAAAATGGCATTGTTGTATGCTGATCACTTGAAGAATCACCTTATCTTTTGTGGTCCATCACATCCTGGATCTCAGCTGGTGAACACAGGATGGGCCGGCACGATCTCATCATCAGAGAGCAGTACGCAACCTGCCAATAAAGACAAGATGACATGAAAAAGTGGAAAGGAGATGCACTTTGTAATGGACAACATTGAGACATGAAAGACTACGTGTGAGCCAAGCGTTCTTCCCTGGACCAATTTACATATTTTTACAGTGCAGCTTTTTTATTTTTTTTTTAAATCTGAATAGTTTATTCAAATAAAGGGGAGCTTTTAATGTCCACCTCTGACAAACGGCATTCAATAAAAGGAGCATACGCTCGTGTGGGGCGAGATGGGCCTCTGCCAAATATTTTTGAAATGGCCTGTGCTGGAGCAATCTGAAGATTAAAAACATCTCTTGAATTACAATGACACATCACAAAATAAAATTAATGCAGTATTTTCATTATAAGGATTGAGTCCCGGAGTGTTTGACCATCCATTAGTTGAAGGGGGAAGGGACGACACCATGATACTACAATGATTCTGGTGTCAAAGGCCTTTTAGGCAAATATACAGCATCTCGCTCCATGTTCTCAGTACTGCCAAAGAACATTACTATTACTATTAATAATAATTACAATACAACCCCAAAATAATTTACACCATTAAAAAAGAAAGGAAGAAGAAAATCACCTGAATCTGGTTGTGTCACGCTAATGGACATTTACACCATAAATAGATTGTGAGAAAAGACTTAATATATTGGATTAAATTATTTTTATCTGTGTTATTCTATATAGGCTAAGTGACTTGAGAAAATACAAGTCAAATGTCTGTAAAAAAAAATAAAAATTTTTTTTAATTTTGTCTATGAGCTGTTGTGTATAAACTTATTACAACAGAGAAAGACAGGTCAACTCTCTACATGTCCATTTCAGCCATTTTAAAAGGTAGCAATATTTTTTAAGTTAAATTAATTAATTTGTATAGGTTTAGTTTAAGTTAATAAACGGGAATTATCAAGTGATTCAGACAAATGCTTAAACAAATGCCTTGCCTTTTAGCCTATCACTGTTTTGTTTTTGTTTTTTACGGGTATAGAAGCATTATATTACAGATAGATGCGACACAAAGACGTATTATTAACCAAAAACTCTGCAGCATCCTACTGATAACATTTTTTTTTACGTGACTGAGATCTCGTCTCTTATCGCGAGCTTTGGCGCCACCGTGTGGATACTCTGAAGACCCGCACTTTAAAATGAGGTCAAAATAGTCGACGTGCAGTTCATTTAGCCTGCGTGTGAAATTCAATAAATTTTATTGGGTGTTTATCTAGACTATCTGTATATAGACTAGTTATTGTACACTTCAACTTTAATTTCGAACAAGAAAAAAAGAAGTACACGCCTATATCTAAATGTAATCTGTAAAGACTTCACAATGTTTTTATGCTTATTCCTCTCTTAACAACATTTTATGCTCATTCGCAACATATTTTAAAAGACTATTACACTCACCTTTCATCTAAAACCAATCAATATAGGCTATGCCTAAGCTATAGCCTAAACACAACTTGTTTTAAAGCTATTTTGACCACGTCTCTCCTGCACATCAGCATAACACAAGAGACACTATAATATCATTGACAAAACTAACCAATAAGAGAAACCATCAATTGTGATTTAAGGTTCAGGAAAATAACTCTGCTATAAAAACTGGTTCTAGACCGTACTAAATTGGGGTTCTTCAGCTTTCAACCATAGCAGAACCCATTTTGGTGCTAAAGATCCATGCTTTGAAAGTGCTAGGACCTTAATGGTGTAATAAATACCCTTTTAAATAACGGTTTATTTTCATTAATATAGTTATATAGATAATATTGGTATTATAAACAATATTTAATATGAATATAATTTTTACCCCTCTCATAATAACATAAAAAAACAGCAACAGCGTGTTGTCGGCAGTTACTTTTATTTTTTTGTTAAAGTAGCAAAAGAGAGCCAACATATTAGCTGAATGCATTAATAAAGAACAATTGACATTGACCATGAATAAATACATGAATTAACAACCAACTAGAAACAGATAAAAGTCGTCATGAAGACCACATTCCAATGCAATATCTTCACAATCCTCTGGTGTCTGTGAAGTCCATCATTTTGGTGTAATTGTGTTCCTCTTGTTTATGTAAAATTAATTAAGTTTATGAAGGCCACAAGTGGCAAAAACGGACGGTATGTGAACCCTTTACAATGTTAAAAGGAAAAAGTGACTTAAAAAGTGATGTGACTGCTTTAATGGTTGTGAGTGTGTGTGTGTGTGTGTGGGGGGGGGGGGGTGTAGAATATTATATCGAATAAATTTCTTGAATATAAAAATTTTATTATATTCAATTGTAATAATATGGATCATAAATTCAATATAACTGTCACTTAGTGGAGAAGAGAAGAGAAGGGTTCGTTTTAGGTTCTTTTCAAATCTGTAACCTTAAATAACTTTTTAATTACATTCTTTTACAAATAAAGGCGATTGATTAAATAAATAAAATAGGCCTATTTTACCACAAAGGCGCAATAAGTGTCAGTTAAATAGGCCAATACATTTTTCCAAAACGTATATTTTTCTTACAATATTTATACAATATTTATACTCGATAGAATTTATTAGAGCGTGGCAAGTTAACTTGCAGATAACAGTTTGTAAAAGGTTATAGCCTTACAGTTAACTAGCAGTTGGTAAAAAGCCTACCTTGAACTAACTTTTCTGTTTTTAGGCCTACTTCCAGTTTTTACAGGGTGTTTAGGTCACAAGGTCCATGTTAGAGATGAAACGGTGTGAACATTTAATAGCATTTAATAATATTAATAGCATTTAATATTAATATTTACCTCATGCACCAGAGAAACGTGGGCGCCGTCATCTTTAGAATAGTGTCTTTGAACTTCCGTTTTTGCGGTGAAGTGGATTTATTTACTTATTGTAGAGTTAACAAAAGTTATCATGAGCATTGTAATGTTTATCATAAGCATTGTAAAGGAGATGTCTTAACAAATGTCGACCGGGAATTTTTTTACGAGCAGTTCATTCATACCTTTGCAAGATTGCTGTGAATGAAATGAAAATACAGACCGGAAGTCAAAAGACAACACGCGCAGTGCTGAAAAGGGGCGTGGCTACAGAAATAAAATGCTAAATGCAAAGTTGTCCCATTTTTCTTTCTTTTATCTCTTTTGTCTTTTGCCTGTAATGACAATTTTTTTTTTAATGTTTTATATTTTTTCTTACTTCTGTTTTGACCAAAACAATTGAGGTCAATAATATTATCACTGTAATAAAAACTGTTTTAAAAAATAAAAATTGTAGCCCACTATTACACCACTAAAGCATTTAACGTTTGTTTGTTTTTATATCGAAAACCAACAAAAAACAAATAAAATGAGCAGCACTATGAATTTGTTGGTTTTCATAAAAAAAACGGCCGGACTTCTTTTTTTTTTTTTTTTTAAGTTGGTTGGGTGAAATAGGCCCACTAGCGAAGTTATAACAAAAACGTTTTTATAAAACGGTAAACCTAACTTTTCAGCCTTAAACCATTTTTAAGAAAAGGAATGTGTCAAATTTATAAAGTAGCCTACAGTTAGCCTAATATAATTGGTCTGTAAATCTTATCAAAATTGTTTATATTTTATAATGCACATTAGCTTGTTTTTCATTAACTGGTCGATTTACATTTAAAAAACAAACAAACAAACAAAAAGTCTGAAACGCGGTAGGCAGGCTGAATGGGCTCTATGCACGGCGTTATTTCCGGTGAAGCATTAGGGATGCTCGATAACTTCCGCCGATCATAGAGTCCAATGCAATACCGAGAATGTATATTGAATTTTATACTCCATAGTTATACTAATGAAACGTTAGTCACAAAAACAGATAAAACAGACACCCCTCGTTGTGTTTATGCTTCTTTTTAAAATTATATTAAATAAACATAACTATATATAAAATTACATCTAAACGTATGTACGTTTCGTTTCAAAGACGGGAGGACAGCAAATATTGAAGACTCTGCCATAATCCCGTTTTCTCCGGTTTTCCTCCGCTTTAATCTACACAACCGGAAATGGACGAGCATCCTTACGTCAAATGCGGAACTTATGCGTGCATATAGCCCATTAACCGACAGTAGATGGCGCTTATGGGAAAAAAAAAGAAATAGTTCAATAGTTCAGCAAAATGTAATGTAATTAGTTACAATATGCATTAAACGGAAGATTGGATGAAAAGATAGACTGTAAAAAATTATGATGAAAAGAAAAAAAGCATCAATACGTTTCTAAAGACAGTCGTTCAATTAAAAATAAAATACATCCATAGGATATATTAATTCACACGTGCAATTTCCCTTAGCACGTGTGAGACTGTTGCTAAGTTTGTCGCACAGTATTTACCGGGACGTGAGTCTTTCAAAATGCGGTAATCATATATAGGCCTATTCTTAAGGATAAATAAAATATGAAACGATTTTATCTTGGTTTATCGTCAAAACGATAACAGTATAGGCTATTATATGAATATAGTCCATGTTTATCATCTAAGTCGACAGTTCAAACCTTTTATCTTGCAATTCGTACTTAACACGCAATTGCAAGTTTATATCTGCTAAACTGTATATGTATATATTGCAGAGGCGTAGGTTTGATTTTGAAATTGGTGGGGACGGGGACATCAATATAGGCTACATATAGGCTATTTTAAGTTTTGGTCGAAATTATAGCTAGGGATAGACCAGTGACACTGAATATTAACAGGGACACGTCCCATAGCGTCCTCGCAATTCTGACTTTCCCCTCAGATAGATAACCATAAACTAACCTTGTAACAGCTACATACAAACAAAGCCCCTTGTCTGTTAAGACATTATTCAGATAGCTTATTTTTAAAGTCATTTTCATTCATTCATATTTTTTGTTGTGTTGTAGGCCTACTGAATTGTATTTTATTGAAACTGTTGAGTAGAGAACCTACCTGTTGAAGGCTGAGGGAGTATCACCAAACTCCACTGAAATTAAAAATAGACTGTATGAATTATAAAAGTGTGGGGCCTTGCGAGTATTAGCAGACATCTCCAGTGTCACAGTGCTATTTTAACTGTTTGCTAAAATCTCTCGTTTCTGCTGTCGAAACCAACACTCCTGAAACCACCATCGAAGATTTTTAAATGGAAAGTCGCGCCAAACGACAGTGATGCGCTGCAATCAGGCTTCATTTGCAGCACCTGTTTCATTCCCAAGCCGAAAGGAAACTTTCGACCTTCACCGTTTTTTTCGTTTTTAGTCGGAAAGCCGTGAAGCTCTGTATATGTATTGTTTTTTATTTATGATTTCTTGAAGATGCAGAAACCCTTGAAGAAATATTTTGTAAACATGGACGAGTATCTGGCCAGCATCGGGCTCTACCGAAAAATGATGGCGAGAGACGCGTCCTGTCTGTTTCGAGCTGTTTCTGAGCAGGTAATTTCCATAAATATACCTTAAAATAAGCTCAAACGGTACATTTTTTGTGTCATAGTCAAAGGTTGTGAAAAAATGCTTTTAATAGGCTACTTTAAAACCGTGTATGCTGTTAAAACGAGTAGCTGAATGACATTTTAACTTTACCTCTTCACTTGTCTGTTTTTTGTGTGTGTGACAATATGCTGCTTAACTGATGTTTTTATTTTGTCATAAGCTTTACTTCTCCCAGAATTACCATCAAAGAATAAGAAAACAGTGTGCCAACTTCATGAGGGCAAACAGATGTAACTTTGAACCTGTGAGTGAATTCAGACTCCATCAATGAAACCTTAGTAGGCCTGCAAACTGTCATTACATTTATTTTAAACCTTTATAACATGTTGTCTTATTGTGTTTACCTTGTGTTTCAGTTTGTTCAAGGATCTTTTGAGAAGTATTTGGAGCGCTTGGAAGACCCCACGGTTTGCATTCAGGGTCTTTCCATCTTCAAAAAATATTAACATTGCATATTATGCGTGCATGATTGTAATGTAACGTACTGTCTTGTAATATCCCAAATTTCACAGGAAACCACAGGACAAGTGGAAATAAAAGCATTGTCTTTAGTGTACAGGTATGCTTTGCATCTACTTTTTCTTAATCCAGTGTGTGTTTTGTTTTTGTGAAAACAACACTTTTTTTTTTGTTCACCCCAAAAAGAAATGGTTCACCCAAAAGTTAAAAAGTGTCATTACTCGCTTTCATGTAATTTCAAACCCAGTATTTTTCTTCTGTGGCGCATAAAAGGTACATTTCTGAAGGAATGACACCTAGCCTAGTTCATTAAAGTAGTCTATAAGTCATGCAATAGTTTTGTGTGGTGAATACCATATGATTTTGGAAGATGTTGAATAAAGTGCTCAAGTTGTGTGCTCATCTGAATAATATCTGTTTTGATAATTTCATCTAAAATGTGTGATTTTGTTTTTTGGGCCCAAATTCTCATAAGAGTGGTTTTCGGCACAGGCGGTGCTTTGTCATTTACAGGTATCCAGGTAAGCCGCCAACTGAGATTGCAGAGGAAGACAATTTGCCTAAGGTGAGGAATGCGTTCTCTGTTCACATTTAGAGTTTAGCTCTAATTCAGTTTCACTAATCTGGCCATGAACCAACTGTAGTTAGTGCCACGGAAAGCAGCATGCACTGTTAAGTTTGTGGCTATTTTTATTTATCATGAACCGAAGTTTTTCTATTGAAGCTCTCATTGTACCCGGACGGGACCCCAGAAGTAACGTAGTGACCATCCAGTGATGGATGATTCTGTTTTTAATCCAACAGCACTAGTTATTTTAGTAATGGCCACAGACAGGGCCCAATTTATACTTCTGCATCAAATTCCCGTCGTAGGCTGTGTAGCACGGTCGTGTACCCTGACGTGCACCTCTCCAAAAATGTAAAAACGCATCAATTCTACGCAGACTCAAGCGTTGTGATTGGTCTGCTAGAACCCCTCCCTCGGGTTTCACATGCATTTGCTCATCAACGCGGAAGTATAAATGCAAACCAATTTTTAATGTTAGAAACAAAAAATGCATTCTGAGACAAAACAATGTCAGTGACTCAGTGGCCGGGTGTTTAGAGAAACGGGTATTTCCCCCGCCTCCATTTTCAATAATAACATCGTGCGCACACCCTCATAAATACGCCGTCGACTCGAGCGCCATCATAACTATTGGCGGCAGTGTAGGGATAAGGATAAAGCCATGCAAGCCAATCAGAATCGAAAAGAGAGAACCTAAAACTCCGTTTCTCCCAGTTGACACGACAACACACAACCGGCGTTTTCAGAAATCTCCTCTTTTTAGAAATAATCGTTTTCTGTGATTAAAAACGGGGTTTTCGTGTAAATGAGAGACCATACCGCTGGGAAATATCTGCGTTTTTCCTTCATGTAAACGGGGCCTTATTTTAAGATGCATCAGTGCAAGTTGCTTTCAGTTAAAACGGCTGAAACATGCGGTCTAGCTTAAGTCTTGTCTGTAATAGAGTGTCGAAGATACGACGTCACTCTGTAGGCCAAAACGCGGAAGTGAGTTAGCATTTTAGCATTACGGTTCCCTCGCTCTAAAGCCTATGGGATTGTTGAATGGGTTTTTGCTAAATGGCCTGAAATAAGGTCTGTGGTGAACAAAGCCTCTAAATATTTTCACGTTTTGATCTATGACATAGAACACACAGTTATAACCTGCTTGTGTTTTTTAACTTTATTGTGTCTGATTGTGTTTTTTAAAATCTTTATATAGGCTTCAAAATGTATACACTTGGGATTAACTTGTAAAGATTATCTTGCTAGACAAAACCTTTGTTAAACACAGATCTTATTTTTTGCGATTTTTCAAAAGTCTATGGGGAAAATGCATTGCTTTTCGACCGAGGGAACCCATGCGCCGCTAGCTTCCGAGTTGTCCTACAAAGAGACGTCATCACTTCGGTACTCTATACTAGGGGAATATGGATCACTGGGTTTGAGGCTGTGATCAAATTTTGGTTGGCAGCATTCATGCAGATTCTGCTCTGCTTCAATCCACCAGTTTGTCTTCCTTTGAAATGTGAAGAAATAAGGCATTGCTTTGTTGATGAAGTACTGCGTAATTTCTGCATTTCATTTATTATGGTTCCCAGCACATTTATCATCTTGAATTCCACCCGACAGATTTTGCTGTGTTGCTCAAACAACGGCCATTATGACATTGTTTACCCCAAGAACTATCCAATGGATGCTGCACTGTGTCAGGGTGAGTTAGCAGTTCATCATGAACGATCACAAATGGTGAACATTTTGTTCTGGACTGTTGGATTGGATTGTAATTTTAATTGTATTTTTTTTTTCCAGCCTTGTTGTATGAACTGTTATACACTCGTGTTCTGGGAGTCGAGGAAGAAGAGCTGCAGGTGGCGCTGGAGGGATTCAAAGGAGGCGGACGACGATACAGAAACAGCCAGTCTATGTGCAGCGAGGACGCTGGCTACGACACCCCGGAAGACCGGCCTCAGAGGTCTTCTCTTGTTTCCTGACTCTTTCGTACCACACTTTAAGGCTGTCTCCTGTCTTCCTTCATCTTTCTCTCTGTCTGTGTTCAAAATCGCCCCCCATACCCCCTATATTTCGGGCACTATTTGAGGGAACAGCCATTTGTACACTGTAAAAAAATATTGTTGGTTTAACTTTAAAAAAGTAAGTAACCTGGTTGCCTTAATTTTAAGTTGATTGAACTGGAAAAAGTGAGTTAATACAATGAAAGAGATTAATTTAATCATCAGAAACTCAAAATAATAAGTTATCGCAACTAAATAAATTATTTAAGTTGATCTGACAAAAGAAAAAATGTTGTGATAACAAATCTTGGACCATCGAGTGCACTCATTTAATCCAATAATGCATCGCAATAAGTATACAACAGTTGCACACTCAACAGCTATAGAATACCCATAATGCACTGAGTTACGCTGAATCATCCGTCCATCCATTTTCAAACCGCTGGTCCAGCGTGGCTACAGTTTTTAATTCATTATTAAATTGGTTAATTAATGTTTATGCAGAGTTTCCATGACTAAATCTAGAGCTGCCAAAGTTTTAAATGATTATTAAAATGGCAAGCACAAATTATGCAAAAGATGCAGCCCTTGTCTGAATTCGCTCTCTCATTTTCATTCACTCCCTCAAGTGGTCTAATGTTGGCTATAGGGGGTGATTATGAAAATAGCGCTTTATCTTTTTGATTATCTCACAAATACAAATTGGTTTCATTCTGGCAAAATGCTGACTGCTCACATGCCTTGCAAGTGTAGATTGTAAAGAAATAGTACACCCAAAAATTGTAATTGTGTAATTTATCCATGTGATGCTTAGCAACACAAAAAGGAGATGTTAAGTAGAATGTCTGAGTTGCTCTTTACTATAAATATAAAATGAAAGTGACTGGGGATGACAAGCTCAAAGCAAGTAACTGCTGCTCACTGTGTAAACGTTCTCACAAGAAAACCATTTAAACATGTAAATGCACTTTTCTTCTTGTTACTACTTTGGACAAACAATTCAAAGTAAAAAAAGTGGATTTTTATAGTTGGAAAAATGCCAGTTTATGTACTTTGCATGACTTGTTTCAGAGAAGAATGGGAGTCGAGTGGTCACTGCCGCTCGGAAGACAAATCCAGAGCTGGAGCTGAGGACCAGAAGGTGGCTAAGCCCATAATTTAAAAGATAAAAGATTAAGATGTTAAACTTTCATCAGTTTTTGACATCCACTCTTTGTTCCAGGCCACAGAAGGTTCAGGGAAACTGGTTCTGCCGTACAAGGTACTAAAGGCTTTGGAGCCAGAGCTGTACCGCAACGTAGAGTTTGACGTGTGGCAAGACAGCCGCAAAGGTTGGTTGACTTTATTTCCCAGGTTAAACCATTCAATATCAATAGAAAGCACTGTGTTTTACTGAAAGTGGTGGGGGATGGATTGTTCTAAATGGGCTTCATGAAAATGTACATTACTAGAATGAATTTACCGGTAAATGCATAAATTTGTTGTTCACACAAGCAACAGCATTACAGCTTTTTGCCGGTAAGAAGCCATTCAGCTCCAAAACACTGGTCATGTCAGTCATCGAAAGTGATTTTTAAGTTGCGTTGTCTTCGTCCGCCCGCATGAAAAGTGCTTTAGTTTCACTGTTCACTTTGAAAAAAAATGTTTACGTCTCAGTGAAAGGCATTAAAGGTGGGATCAGTAGTTTTTGAAAAGCACTTGAAAACTATCAGACCGACTACCAAAACACACACGTCTTCCTCTTGAAACAGAGCTGACTCACTAGTTATGTTAAAACACGCATAAAACGCAGTAGACATGGATTATCATAGTAAAACGTTGCTTTCACTAACCCTCAGCCAGCAGGTACAGCAGGTCCTGCCGTAGTCGTTATCTGGGTGGAGATATCAAATTAGTGGCGAGATCATTTTGGGTAGGGGTGTGTTTGTTTAGATGATTTCAAATATCAACATTGGCTGAAAGTGTTTTACAAAAACGACTGATCCCACCTTTAGGGGATGATTAAACAAAGCATTTTTCTCTTAAAAACATGAAGGGCAAAATAGTGTCTAGACTTTTTACGTCGGCACGTTTTGACTTTGTACGTGATCATACCGGTAATCTTCGTTCCGCATTCACACAGAGCACATTACTGGTGATATTACTCGTAATTTGCTGGAACCAATTTACTGGTATTCTTAAAAAGGTCCTGCAACTAGGGATGGGCAACGATTAATCGCATCCAAAATAAAAGTTTGTGCTTGCATAATGTATTTGTGTGTAGTGTGTATAATTAATTTGTATATATAAATACCCACACATGCATGTGTATATATATATATTTAAGAAAAATGTGTTATTAATATCAAATATTTATATATAATATTAATTGTGAATAAATATATACATGCACATATTTCTTAAATATATACATGCATGTGTGGGTATTTATATAAATTAATTATACACACTACACAAACATGTATTATGTAAACACAAACTTTTATTTTGGATGCGATTAATCGCGACCTGCAACACATGATCTCTTACCGTTAATATTACAAGTAAAGACTGAAGCTGTTTTATGATTCACCCCAAATATCCTTGAGAATATGACCACATGCAAATTAAATGTATAATTTAGGAGCAGAATGGGTGGTTTGACTAAGCTAAATGATGCTATCTCTAACATGTATATCTTCCCTTTTCTTTCTTTTTTTAAATGTGATGTGCTTTTGTGATAATCCTTTGTTGTAGAGCTACAGAAGACTGATTACATGGTGTTTGCTGGCAGACAGTACTTTTTAGGAGATAAGTGTCAGGTGGGACAGGTCTAAGTGTTAACATTATTGCAAATTGGTTGTTACAAACCCCATTTCCCCACAGCCCCTGTCATACTCATGTTTTTCCCTCCACCAGGTCCGCTTGGACCCAAAAGGGAAGTACTACAATGCTTTCATTCAAGAAGTAGGGAGTCACACCACTGCGGTGACCGTGTTCATCGAGGAGCTTGCGGAAAAGTAAGCCATGTGCTTTCTCACAGGCAAATGTCCCTGAGAATCTCTAAATATCTTCTTTAACTACTCTAGGCACCTGGTTTCCTTGAGTAATCTGAAGCCAGTGAACCCTGTGCCAGCCTGGAACATCACACCAAGCAGAAAGGGAAACTCCTACAACCATCCAGAGCAGTACACTGGAGAACTAGGTCTGCCTCTTTCCATCTTGACATAAACCAATACATCATAACCTGTCAGTGTCTTTGTCATGACAAGTTGACATTAAATGAAGTTAATCTGTCATGTGGTTGGCTTTGACGTTGGCTGTCATGAGGCATTATAACTGTGTCATGAATATTTTTCGTGAGCTCAACTACAGTGGTACTAATTGAATTTGTCATTAAAAAGTTATAATGGCTTCATGACAGCCAATGTCGAAACCAACCACCTGACAGTTTAATGCAATATTAACCAATAAAGCTAGTTTGATCATTAATCTGCTGTGTCATGTTTATGACAGGTTGTGTTGGCTTAGTAATGTCAAGTTGTCGTGACAAAGACACTGACAGGATATGATGCATTGGTTTGTCAAAGAATGTCATATTTGCATTAAAAATGTCATAACTGAGCGAATGACACTTAAAAACTTCCTTCATATGTCATGGTTATGAAGTTGTCATGATAGTCTAATCAATGCACACCCCGTCAAGTAAAGTGTTACCCAATTCTGTAATGATTTGGTGTAGTGACAACAATCAGGTTTTTTTTTCTTCTCTTTAAAGACCCCGAGATGCGCGGACGCCGAAGGTTCTTCAAGAAGCCTCGTGGTAAGGAGATGTTGATGGCAGTATCTTTCAGTCATCCTCAGCCTGGCTTACCTCCCCGCCTGCAGCCTGGGCCAGGAAACATTCATCCTGTCCATTCTCCAGGGGTGCACGGTCCCGCTCAGCCACCACCAGGCCTGGCCTATGAACACTACCGACCCCATCCTTCACCTAGACCACCGCGTGGGTACGGACCACCCAGGTTAGACGCTACTCTTTATGGTTCTTTGTTTATTGTTGCATCTTCTAACCAAGTCCTGTTCCTGGAGATCTACCTGATCCGACACACCTGTCTGTAATTATCAAGTTGTTCTGAAAATCTTAGGCCCTGTTTACAGGAGAACGCTCGCGGGTGAAAACGTAAAAATATTTAATTGGATGTGCCTTTCGTTTACACGGCGACAAAAACGCAAAAAAGTGAAACCACTCTCCAGAGTGGAAATCTTAAAAACGCTCCACCGCCGCGTTCCCGTCTAAAGGGTAAAAACTAGGGCTGTGCAAAAATTAATTGCGATTAATCGCATCCAAAATAAAAGTCTGTGTTTACATAATATATTTGTGTGTGCTGTATATAATTATTTTGTATATATAAATACCTATGCATGCATGTATATATTTAAGAATTATTTGCGATTAAATTCTGATATATATATATATATATATATATATATAATCTAAATTATGTAAATATTTTATATATGATTAACACATTTTCTTAAATATATACATGCATGTGTGTGTATTTATATATACAAAATAATTATATACAGCACACACAAATATATTATGTAAACACAGACTTTTATTTTGGATGCGATTAATCGCAATTAATTTTCGCACAGCCCTAATAAAAACGCAAAAGTCTGCTTGACGGTGAAGGTTGTACGCAGGCGCGTGGACTTGGTGTTGTTGTGTGGCTGTGCTTCACATCGCCACCTAGCTGCCTGGAGTGCATACTACATCGAATTTCACACACTTTTGCGTCACCATATGCACACGGATTTCCCACCCATACCGCTCGTCTAAACGCAGAATAAAAAGTGATAACACAACGCCACTTTTGCGTTTTCTCTTCCGATCATAAATAGCTGGTTCAGTTGTTTGATGAGGACTGGAGCTGAAGTTTGGAGGAAGGCAGATCTCCAAAAATAGGATTGGGCACCCCTGTTTTAACCATACATGTGCATCATAAGTCTTTCTCATTGTATGAATCTGTTTGTGTGTGGTTCTTTCGCCACACATCTGTTGTTGTCAGAAGTTCTGGCCGATTCCTGAACAGACACCATCTTATTGGACCAGACATGGCCTATTATCCTAGTCCTGGCAAGCGCTGCTACCAGAGTTTTGATAACTACTCTTTCAGGTCACGGTAGGAAAGCATTCACTTTAACAAAGTGCTACTACAGTTTATCTTCAATATAATCTATCAATCTATTGTGTAAATGCATGAATATTGAATTTGTTTTGTTGTTGCTTTTATTCAGTTTCCCCAAAAAATGGGATCTGAAAATTAGGATATTTGCATTATTTGAAGTAGGAATTTGGGGGCAACTTTTTTTCTTATTTCCCTTAAAAAAATAAATTAAAATTGATTCAGAGCTGGACAAAAATTGCAAACATTCTGTTAGAAGAACTAAGATTGACATCCTACATCTCCCTCTCTCTGTAATTTCTTATATATATATATATATATATATATATATATATATATATATATATTATTATTATTGTTATATTAGATATATATATATTTTATTTTATTTTTTCCCTTATATGTGGAGCGTTTTCAAACGCTCAAATTTTCAAACGCTCAAATTTCACATTTTGTATCTAGTATGTTAACTTAAATAAAAAATATTGATCACAAAAAAAATAAATTAAAATTGTACCTTTTTTAAGTTTACCTCACAACCTGCCAAAACCACATTTCACAGCTTGCTGCATATAAAAAACCAATGAAGACAGCTTTTTCCTTTTTAAATCAATTGATTGCGATTCTCCGAAAACTTTAATTCAACTGCTAGCAAAACGAGTTCAAATTGTGTATGTATAGAAGGAGTCGAAGGCAGATGCACTCTCTGAATAAAGAGTGTCTGAGTTGTGTTCCTGAGCCTGGAGAGGACACCCAAGACATGGAGGGAAGCATCACCTTCTATGAGATTGAGGAGACGGACGAGAGTGCCTTCTCCCCAATACCGGTGAGACACCGTTCTACTTTAGTAACGGCTGGGATTTTAAGTCCAGTCACACCTATAAAGATGTCTTTAGGTGCTGATTGTTTACAGCTTAACGGAAGTTACGCCCATAATTCACTTAAGTTATTGTCCTTGGTGTGAATGGGCCTTGATGCTAAAACGACTGTTCTGTCCGTGTGTGTATCTGAAGGGTCAAGCAGTGTCCAGCCCCATGGTTCCAGGGGCCACTGCTTACTGGGTGCCAAGAGTTCCCAGTCCAATCCCTCCTTCAGGCAAACAGACCATGACATCATCAGAAGAGGACCCTGATGAGAGGAATACTGCTGGTGAAGGTACCGCCAAAACCTTGCCAGTGTACAGTCGCTGCATATGCATGTGATTTGGTTCTGAATGCCCCATGGCTCTGTCAAAACTCACTGACAACTTCCTACATTTTATTTTTCCTCACCATGTCTCCTTAGGAGCTACATTTAAAGTAAGAGTGTAGGGAGGCAGAGTCTTTTCATGAAATCCCAACAAAATTTACCTTGGAATTCGCCTTTGGCTAAGCCACGCCCTAGAATGTAGATTGACCAATCACAGCGCAGCCAAGAACGAGCTCCCACACTTTTTCACAGCGCTCCATTGACTATCAACACAGGCGTCTCATATTTTTGGTCTCGGCAGGCTATTACCGTCGTAGTTTTATCCAAAATATGGTTAAACGTTGTGCCTGGGGCATTTGTACCACAGATACGCGTTTCCCAGAGAGGTTGTCCGTTTTTTCCCCTTCCCAAAACCGAAGTCAAATTCTGACAAGTGTCGTCTTTTTGGATTAAACTGAATGGACGTCCTCAGTCAGCTAAACCCCGCAAAGATCAACAAGCACATCTTTTTTGCTTCTAACATTACTGTGAGTGTGAAGTTATACTAGTTAGACCGTTTTATAATGTTTTAGGTTACGATTTCGGTTCTCACACCGGTTGTTGATACGCTAGCACACGCTATACTCGTGTAGTCCGTTTGCTTTGTAATAACGATTATAGAAGTGAATAGAGACCTACCCAGCTTTGCATGAACCAACATGACATCATGACTTTTGCGTAGACATAAACGCCACTTTCGAGTCAAGTGGCGTGTTATCTCTACGCATTTTGAGCTATCCGCGTGTATGTGTATGTCTACGCCATTAACGTCCGAGTGATTTCGCGTGTCTGTACACGCCGTCAAATGTCCAGTCATAAATGCCATTAACCCCAGTGACGGTTAGGTTTAGGGACGGGGTTGAGGTAAGTGATATATTTATATATACAGTAATAACGTTAAGTCAACGGCGTTCATAAACGCGCTGAAAAGCGATTATGCGTCTTGATAGCACGCCAAAAATGGAAATACGAATTGGCGTGTCATACACACGTTACTTCATGAGATCAGTCTGCATGAACAGTGTTGCTCCCTGATATTGTTACAGCCTCGGTCTCGATTAGTAGGAAATGCGGTGGTTAATTTTTTGACTGTGACCGGTAACGGTAACGTTATGCTTTTGCCTCTATTTGGATGCCTTGTTGTTTCTTGCGTTTCACCTGTATGTCTTGAATATAGCCTTCGAACGCATATTGCAGCCCCTTTTGCCTACTTCTATCGGACACTTTATTTGCTGCTTTATAAAAGTTTGTTAACATTTCAGCAGACATGCAGAGCGCAGATGAAGTTTGACGGATGTAGCAACAGTAACTAAGGGGGGCGGGGCTTAGCCAAAGGTGCTAAGTGCTGTTTTGATTGGCCGCTCGCGAGGTTTTTTAACACATGTTGTGTTATGATGAATGATGGTTAATTTGCACTGTTTGTCTGGACCAGGTGACTATTCAGAGGAGTACATCTACGCCGCCGCAGGTTAGTTCATTAACGGCTTAGATGCTAGAAAATAGAAAATGCTCTTGTCATTTATATCCTGTGTGTTCATGTTTCTGTATTGCAGAGGCAGGCTATCAGAATCCATCAGTGTATGCAGCGGCAGCAGAGTCTACCACCAATCTGGTACAGTCTTCTTCATCTGTCAAAAATGTCCACCAAAATGCTAATACTGTGGCTAACATGAGTCCCAATGACAGCTCTGCACAACGTTGTCCCATTCAGAGCACATCTCCTCCATCTCTCCTAAACCAAACTGCATTTCCCCTTCATTTGAGAATATAGAAAATGGGACTGTCTTAGATTTGTTTCTTTCTTAAAATTTGAGTTTGAATGTACGGAGGCGTATTGCATTCACTTGAAGAAAAAAAATCTACTCTGTTTTTCTGAATTAACCAGTTAATTTTTCATGAGAAAAAAAATTTGCTCTGTTTTTTTTAATTAATGAGTGAATTTTTCATGAGAAAAAAGTTTTTGCTCTGTTTTTCTGAATTAATGAGTTAATTTTTCATGAGAAAAAAAATTTGCTCTGTTTTTTTGAATTAATGAGTTAATTTTTCATGAGAAAAAAAACTTTGCTCCGTTTTTCTAAATTAATGAGTTAATTTTTCATGAGAAAAAAATTAGCTCTGTTTTTCTGAATTAATGAGTTGGTTTTTCTTGAGAAAAAAAGTTTTTGCTCTGTTTTTATGAATTAATGAGTTAATTTTTCATGAGAATTTATTTTTGCTGTTTTTCTGAATTAACTCATTAATTCAGGAAAAACAGAGCAAAATTTTTTTCTCATGAAAAATTACCTCGTTAATTCAGAAAAACAGAGCAAAATTTTTTTTTTCTCATGAAAAATTAACTCATTAATTCATGTGTCTTGCAGACCATTCAAGAAGGAAGTTCCCGTGCTGGGTCGCCACAAGAGGGTGTCGCCACCTACAGCTACTCACAACAGGCATGCTTTTTCAGAAAAAAATTCATAAAATCGGTCCACAGTTGTGTTGATCGTCTTCGGGTGGGTGGGACATGTGCTTAATCTTTTCAGGTGGTTGTGAAGTCATCTGTCCTCTCCTCTTCTCAACAAATCAACTCTGCCCCGGCTGCAATCTTCACTTCAAACTCTTCCTCTTCATCCACCGGGAGCTCCCAGACCCCTCCAAACCCCCTGCCGCCCAACAGCATCCTGACCCCGGGACAGCCACCACCCCAGAGTGTTCTGGGCAGGCCGGGTATACACCTCTTCTGTGTTTTATTACAGAGTTGAAAAATATTAGCCAAGATGATGAATCAAGACACTCTTCCTCTGTATTTCCAGCCGTTCCGTGGTTTGTGAATGAGCTGGGAGAGCCAGTCGCCTTGGCACCTCCTCCACCCTACTCGTATGACCCCAATGGCAGTGACCTTCCAAGAGGTCAGAGGGAACCACTTCCTTGTTGAATTATATCCTGCATATGTTTAACATTGTTTTTACTGTTTTTTTTTTTTTAGATTACAAAGTGCTTCAGTACTACTACAATTTGGGGGTACAGGTGAGGGTTTTTATTTTTATTTAATCGCCACATTGTCAACTCCAGAGAACTATAGCTTATGTAATGTCTTATGGGCTGGGTAATAAATATCGATTTCTCGATATTAATCGATTCTCATTTTTACGAACCGATATCGATTCTTAAATCTCAAGAATCGATTAGTCGTCCTGTTTCATTTGAAGGAAAGGGTACGTTGTATCGCGGCTGCGCGCATCAAAAAAAATCGCAATAATCTTTGTCCTTTGTTGCTATTGATATGAAACAAAGTCTTAATTTTCAAATTACGTCCATTTTCTTTAGAAATTCAAAAACATAAATAACGTTCTGGAGAAGCAGCAGGGCTGATCTCTCTTCCGGCTTAATAATACCAGTCACAGCGCCAAATAAACATGAATGAGCATCTGAAAGTGTGTTAAAGATAGAGTACAACTTATCGAAATCCGTATCATGTCACATTGATTCGCTCAATCAGCGTTTCAACCGTGGAAAGACGTCAGTTAAACAGCTTGTAATCGATGTATCGTCATATTTACCTCAGAAAACCCACATCAACTCGTTAGTCAGCTAGAAAAAATAACTAGAGAGGAGCATTTTGCTAAATATATACACCATATTACATAATATGCATTATAATCTTAATGTTCTTCAATATTTAATTCATATTTGAATGAATCTGGCAAGTTTTTACGACAGCCACCATTTAAATGTTTATATTTCATATAATCTTATTATAAAAGTGTAATTTAAGTGTTTGTATAGCTACAAACCAGTTGATTATTACCTTCATATTAGGCTAATGAAGTAAAGTCTATAGGCTACAACTAGACTCCCATAGTTTACAGCATTAGTTAAGAGATTTGATTCCCATGAGAAAATTTGCCATTATTGTAACTGACATCCAAAATTATCAATATTGAATCGAATCAGAATCGAATTGCAAGCTTGTGAATCAAAATCGAATCGAATTGTGAAATTTGTCTCAATACCCAGCCCTAGTACACACCCTTGAATGGCTGACTCTACGAGTGTTTTTGTATTTCTTCCAGTGGTATCAGCAGAGTTACTGGCACTCTGTGGTGCAAATGCAGCAGGTGTATCAGCAGCCGGCCGCAGACGCTCAGTATCAGCCGTACTCGGGCGTCGTTCCTACCGCTGACCACACGGTTCCCCAGGCCTACCCTGATCCTGTCCGCACGTGCCCCCATCCACAAGGAGACGTGCCCAGCAACGGTCAGTGTCCCTCTGTTATCACCGCCACAAACCTCCACACTCTCAGCCTTGAGCTTTTCTATCGGTCTACTCTATCCTACACTGTACGCTCACACAAGGGTTGTTTTTGGCAGCCTGTTTTAGTCTAGTCTTTGTGTCATTTTAGTTCTCATTAGTTTGTCATGTTCATACTCAAAAATATTCACACACACACACACATATTTTTTTTATACCACACTCTGACATCCATACCAACACACCCACACAAATATTGTTGCATAATTTATCCAGTTGGCTCTATAATATGCCGAACCAGAAAACAGGAATAAAGCGATATTTGTTTTATAGGCCAAACTTAAAAAAAATGGCACCATCTGATAAAAAATAGTAAAAAATAAAAATTTGAAGCCTTGCCATCAGAATGAAAGCCTCTTAAGAAAGATTGCATAATTTTATAGTTAACTAAACCGGGGATTAAAAATGGCAGTTTTAATGGGTTTCAATGGGGACATTTTTGTCCAAACGGCGCTGAGAGGGAGTATTTTTTTGTACCTAATGCAAAAACATTTTTTTTTTTTTAAGAAAATGACGGTGAAATACTAAAATTCCAATAAAAATACACACCTGTGCCAAGTTTTTTGCAGTTAGCTTTAACACAGGCAAAGTGATCAAAAAAAAACAAAACTGAAAAGGACAAAAATGTCCATAAGGATGCACAAGGGTTAAAAAAAAGTTATTAGCCAGCATGCAAGGAGCCTATCTAATAAGGTGAGCCAAGTTATTATTAGAATACAGCTGTATTTTCAAGGTTCGCACACTGTATTAGCTGGTAGTTAATATTGTTCTGCTGTTTTATTGTTGATAAGAAAGCGATCTAAATGTTTATTGTAGGAATGTTAGATGTGGACAGAACGTGTAACAACAACCACAGGCTATAGCGGCATCGACGATCCATAAGAATGTGTAATGTCGTAAATATTAATAATAGGATGAATTTGAGCATTTAATATTCGAATATTACATAAAATACGGAATGGAATTCGAATAGTATTATAGAGGAATATTGACAGCCCTAACTCACACCCATGCCCTCCTCTCCTCAGGCGCCTCTCTGGCTATGGAAAGCCCTCCTACGGTGGTCCCCGGCACGGTCTTCTACCCCCTGGTGCAGGAGCAGTGCGGCCAGCAGCCCCTTCACCCCAGCTATGAGCCCTACGTGCCCGTGCTTTCCACAACATATCACTACCTCACTCCCTGGACTCACGGTGCTGGCCCGCATCCCCGCATCCACCATGCCACATACTGCCCCTCTTCCTCTCACTCCCCCGTCAACTACATCACCCAGACCCACCCCGGCCATATGCCACACTCACAGTTTGTCTAAGTATCGTTTACCAGCAGAAATGTTCTCGCTTGCGTTGTTCAGTTGTTAGTTCTGTATTGTTTTCACAGACGAATGGTTATTCAGGGATCCTGCAGTGTTACTCGGTACATGAATAGAAAGCCAGGACAGAGTAGATGTGCTTTTGCCACCCCGCACGTCCTCTCCCATCATTTCACCGATTTAATAAGCATATATTGGATTCCCCCATTCAATTATTTGTGGATTTTAAAAAGTGACTTGATTCTAAATGTAATTAGAATTCACTTCTCATTTGTTTTTACAAATGTTTGCACGCTTCCGGAATGTAGTCGTTTAGCAACACACCAGGAGTTCAATCCTTAGGAAACCATTGTCTGTATGTTTTTTCTATGTAAAAAGAAAAAAAAAATCACTTATTGTAGCTGCACAAATAAAAGATTCTAAATCAAGTTGTTTCCAAATCCATTTTAAGGTGAAGATAAAATAAAATGTATGCACACACTGCTGAACTACTATACATTAAATAATATTTTGCGTTGAATGAAATCAATTTTTATTTTTGATGCATTACATTGATAAAAAATGACTGACTTTTACTTTTTTCAAAATGCATTTTTTCCATATTATAGCGGCGATCGGTGTTCGACATCAAAGTATCATTAGAGCGATTATGCTTTCGATTCACGCTCGCTGTACTTTGATGTCGTACACCGATGCGCAGCACCACATCAAGTCGAACACACCTATCGATTTCTGAAGGATCATGTGACACTGAAGACTGGAGTAACTCAGCTTTGCCTTCAAAAGAATAAATTAAAATTAAATTATATTCTGGTAAAATGGAAATGTTATTTTAAATTGCAAGAATATTTCACAATTACTATTTTTACTGAATTGATCAAACAAATGCGGTCTTAGTGGGTATAAGGGAATTTAAAAAAATAAATAAATAACTTAATAAATAAATGCTTAAGTTTCCATGCACCTTTGAGAATCAGCAAATGTTATTTATATATACAAAATTATAAGATGCATGTCACTTTCTCCTCTTGAATAAACCTCTTCTGTATTAAAGGAGTAGTTCACTTTTAAACAAACTCTTGCTGATAATTTACTCACCCCCGTGTCATCCAAGATGTCCATGTCTTTCTTTCTTCAGTCGAAAAGAAATTAAGGTTTTTGATGAAAACATTCCAGGATTTTCTCCATATAATGGACTTCAATGGGGTCCAAACGGTTCAAGGTCCAAATGAGAGTTTCAGTGCAGCTTCAAAGGACTTTAAACGACACCAGACGATGAATAAGGGTCTTGTCTAGGACCCTTCGAGTCATGACTCAAAAAAAGATTTGTTCATTTTGATGAACGAATTTGAAGCGTGAATGTGCAACACAGAACAGAGCAAGGTGAGCATTTGTGCTTATAAAACGTAAACTTTTAAAAAAAAATTAAAGAGCCCCTATCATGGATTTTTGAAAAATGAATGTTCATGTTGTGTGGAATATAGCTCCTGAAAGATTTATATCTGAAAGTGCACCGTATATAAAGTTATTGTCTTTCAAAAGTGAGAGTCGACTCTGAGTCCATGAAATGAATTGTTTTTGAAACGAGTCATTAGCTGTTACATTGTGACGTAGATACAAAATATAAGCATACTGGCCACGCCCAGTTACTGCGTGCGCAGACGGAAGTGTAAACTTGAAGTCTACACATTCAAATACTTCATCATAGCATCATGTGGAGAAGATGCTGTGTTCTACAATGCAAAGACAGTTTAGACACTTTGTTTTCATTTACCAGGGACGAGCATGTGAAGAATCGGTGGTTATAGTTCATATTTGCAAAGATACCACAACAGTATAGCCCGATTGTGTTCTCATCATTTTAATGACGAATCATTCAAAAACATAAATGAATTCAAATGTGGATTCGCAAGCCGGTTGTTCCTGAAGGAGGTCTCAGTATTCAGTGTATATGGATCAGCTTCCTCCTCCGAATCACAACCTGTGAGTATTATTAATAATTGTTGCTTTTATGGGTTTTGTAGCGTGTGTGTAAGTTACACTCAGTGCAGCTTCTACGTCTCCAATGTCAATTTTTTTTAAATATGTGAAATGTTTGTCGCTGTTATTGGAGTTGTCATAAAGAATAGAGCGTCTTGTAGTACTGTAGTACTTTATCAATATGTTTATGCATTGCGTTGGGCTAACAAACAATAACTGACTGGGTCATCTGACCAATCGCTACCAATTAGCGTCACGCAAAGGAGTGGTTTGGAAAAATGAGTCGTTGTACGAATCATTTGGGAGTCGGTGAGCAAATCAGGTAAAAATAAATGCATGTCATAAGACAACAAAAGTGTTTTTTGTCATTGCATTCATGTAAAACAATATTAGGAACATTTTAAATGCCATTATAGGTGCCCTTTAATAAATGAGCAATCATTTCGCTAGATAAGACCCTTATTCATCGTCTGGTGTCGTTTAAAGTCCTTTGAAGCCGCACTGAAACTCTCATTTGGACCTTGAACCGTTTGGACCCCATTGAAGTCCATTACATGGAGAAAATCCTGGAATGATTTCATCAAAAACCTTAATTTCTTTTCGACTGAAGAAAGAAAGACATTGACATCTTGGATGACATGGGGTGAGTAAATTATCAGCAAAAGTTGCTGTACGTATATTTACTCAAGTATGGTTTTCAGGTATTCTTTACATCTGTTTTTTTTTTTCTTTATTATTATTACATCGCTGTCATGTAAAGGTACTTTAATTTAACATGAAACTACCGTCAACCTGATAATTTTGTCTTTTTTTCAACATTTTTGTCCATGTTCAATTCTTCATGTAATCAGTGTAGTTGCAGCGGCCTTTTGGTCAGGCTTTTTTTGCAGAACTTGCATGCTGTAAAACAGGGACCTTTCGTTGGGACTGCACACCAAGAACTGGAAAATGGGCATGCCTGGTCACCCTGCTGTAAAGATGACTCCCAGCAGCAAAAGTGCAGTTTCAATCATTACAGATTATAACCCAGATATGATTTATTTAGAGATTACACAAAAAAGAAATGAAATAGAAAACCACTGATGCCTCTATTGCAAATCAAGGTATAAAAATCTCAGTTCTACATGGTGTAACAAAAAGGTGCTTTTATGTCAGAAAAATAATATAGAAAAATAATTTGTTAAAAAATAAAGAATTTTAGAATTTACTATTCATAACTGACAGCATAAATGAAAAGCATGATAAAGCAAAACAAGTGTGATATTTCCAACCCACAAGAGAAAGTGTAGAATGGATCTGACATATTATTTGTGACAGATTCAAGGGTCTCGGAGTCTGATGAAGACCTGACATGAGATAATCTAATTCTACAGTGATCAACTTCCACATAAACTAAATATTAGATCATGCGTTGGGGTTATTAGGAGCCAACTCCCTATTTAATATCAGTTGCTATAAAACATCTGTGAAAAACAAATTAAGTCACATAGATGCATAATTTTTGTAGCTTATAAGATTCATTTGAAACCATTTGGTGCCCTTTATATGCTAAATGTAGACGTAAGTGTATTACAAAGATGCATCTTAAGGTCTCCATCATGTTACCTGTATTTTCTGATGCTAAAATGTCCCTTCATGGTCGGTCAATAAGTGACATTGGCCCTCATTTATCATTCTTGTGTAGAAACGGGTGTATATGTTGGCACTTCTCTCACCGCCTGATTAATGAAGCTGTGCGTACCTTTGAAAACTAGTTTTTTTTTTTTTTTTTTTTTTTTTTTTTTACAAGTTTACCTTTGAAAAGCAGGTGTAATCCCAAAGGAGTAATCCATCGACCGGAAGTTGAAGCCTCACGGGAGCTGCCATCTTGTAGCAGAACTTCACTTGCGTTAGAATTCCCATTGACTCTCATTCATTTTGGCGTCACTTTGACGGCGAATAACTTTACATCTGAGGCGTTTGAAGACCCAATTTGTCCTTTATTTATTTCTAAAGAAACACGACAACGTATGTTATGGCCCCGTAGAAGAAGTTTTTTTTTTTTCATTCAACAATTGCACAGTTTACATGAACATTCCTCTCCATTATATAAAAACACATTGTGCAGTTCCAATATTGCGAGTGGCCCCGTAGAAGCAGTTTTTTGTAAAGTAGGCTAACGATTGCGTCATACCACGCGACTGTCTGTCGCACAGTAGAGAGATTACCGTATGGACAGGAGAAGAAGCTCGCGGGCAATTGGGAAACGTGGAGGCAAAAGACAAAATAATGAATCACAATACCTGGCAAAAGTGTCTCCTGCTCCTAGCTCCTGGACAGCTCCTATTCACACTCTCCGCCTCTGCATGTTTCGGAAGGGAATTCAGATTTCTCATGCCACAGCACTAGAAGACAGACGGTTGCCCCACGTCACATCTACGTCGTCAAGCTTTGTTTGAGTCTGCGCGTCAGGGACGGAAGTGCTAAAAATCGCCAAAAACGGGCTTCAATCTCTTTCTTTTACTGTCTATGGCTTCAATTGTCTCAATGGAGTTCCAATGAGTTCGCTCTGTCCACTTCTTGTTTTGTCTGTGGGCGTAATCCAGGTGTATGCAATACCTGCCCTGGATAAATCCCGCGGCTGAAAACGGTCGATATTAGAAAAACACGCCCCTAAATATTCAAATCTCCGCTCCCCCCACGCCCTCATTTTACGCCATGGAGACACGGAAGACGGCAAAGAACAGATTTGTATGCTATTTTGTAACAGATTTGTATGCTATGTGCTATGATTGTCATCTTTGTTTGTTCCTAAGCATAATACAAATTTAAAAAAGAGAGAGAGAGAGAGAAACTTCCTGGAAACTTCTCGACGTGGAGCCGAAATGACCAATCACAATGCGTGTTTTGACACAATTAGCATTTAATTTCGTATCACGTCACATGTATTGCGGTGTACAATAGTGATGATGATGTGATGTGGAATACCATTCATTCACATTAATGACAATGACAATTTGTAATATTCTTCTTCTTATTATTATTATGATTTGTATTATTAGTGATGCTTATTGTTATTTAGAAGAAGAATGTCATTATTATTATTATTTAAAAGAAGAATGTCATATTTATTATTTTGTCAGTCTGATTATTTTTTTGGTCATCCCTGAAACATCAGGGAAAGTGCACAGGTTCGTGACTGAAGGAATACAGGAATACATCCCTATAAATCAAATGCTTTGGTAAAGTCACACAAATTAAACATTGAAGTCCATGTTGCACAAAATAAACACTGTAGTTTAGAATTACTATGTTGTTGTTTTTTGACAGTGGGTCATAATATATCATATCTTTTAGTTTGTCAGTGTGTTTTGTGGTGTTAGGAATAGTTTTTTGGGCATTTCCGCACTAACTCAAAATGTGCGTACATGTACACCACCTCGACGTCCATATTGATAAATCTCAAAGTTTTGGGTGTATGCTGGAAATTTGGTGTACGCACTTGATAAATGAGGGCCATTATGTATCAGGACATTATATTCCATATATTGGTTTTACTTCCACTTCTGAGATCCTAAAGGGACTTCCAATACGCGCTCTTCAAGTCTGCAGTTTAAGCTTGTTTTGAAAAATATTGCACTAGCATTAACACTGGAAAACATCACAGCAGAGCTGAGCATGCGACGCGATTGGTCTGTAAAGTGAAGGTTAAAAACATTTCATTTGAAGCTTTGCAAAAAATTAACATTTTTAAACAAAGGTTTTTACATCAGGTGGATTTGTACGAGAAGATTGCTACTTTTGTTAAGGGAGCATCTGAACCAAAGTCCCTTTAAGGCAAGTCATTTCACTCGGCGGCCATCTTTGAAACCAACTGCTAATTGGTTAATTTATTAAAGGAGTAGTTCACTTTAAAAAAAAACTTTTGCTGATAATTTACTCACCCCCATGTCATCCAAGATGTCCATGTCTTTCTTCAGTCGAAAAGAAATTAAGGTTTTTGATGAAAACATTCCAGGATTTTTCTCCATATAATGGACTTCAATGGGGTCCAAACGGTTCGAGGTCCGAATGAGAGTTTCAGTGCAAACTGCAAACTGTTCAAAGGGCTTTAAACGACACCAGACGATGAATAAGGGTCTTATCAAGCGAAACGATCGCTCATTTGAAAAAAAAAAAAAAAGTTTAAGTTTTATAAGCACAAATGCTCACCTTGCTCTGTTCTGTGATGCGCGTTTGTGACTCTCCAATTGGAACTCGTTCATCAAACTGAACAAATCTTTTTACAAGTCACGACTCGAAGGGTCCTAGATAAGACCCTTATTCATCGTCTGGTGTCGTTTAAAGCTGCACTGAAACTCATTTGGACCTTGAACCATTTGGACCCCATTAAAGTCCATTATATGAATGTTTTCATCAAAAACCTTAGTTTCTTTTCGACTGAAGAAAGAAAGACATGGACATCTTGGATGACATGGGGGTGAGTAAATTATCAGCAAAAGTTTTTTTAAAAGTGAACTACACCTTTAAGCTGTGAAAGGTAAGAGTAGGCTAACTTCGCTACAGCTGTGTCGTAACAGACTCCTCTTGTTCCCAGCTGGAGGAGCCTAAAATGTCACAGGGTCCCGTCCAGCCATGGCAGAGGTCATCACCGGAGGCCAAGAGCTGTGCGCTGGAGGACGCACAGTGCGGCGGCGGCCGGAGGAGGAGACTCTCTCTGCCGTTCGCCCGTCGAGATGTGGCCTGCGTTGGGTTATGTTCAGTCTCAAAGTGTCCCAGCGTCTGAGGGTCGTGCCAAGACGTTTGCGGTACGCTGTCCGAGACGCTGTATGCAACTCCCGGGGTCCCCGCATGCGGATCCGGGACGTGTCCATTCATGCGCGAGATCAGCATTCCCAAACGCTGCAAAGAGTTTTTCTTGGGGCGTGAAAAGGTCCGAACGAATGCAGAGGGGTGGGATGTGTTCTTCCTCAAGCCGTTGCTTTCCAGTCTTTCTCTGGCCGGCCCCGACATGGACCTAAACAGGGCCGACACGCTGAATTGGGACTCTCGGTTACTCCTGTAACATTGGGAAAAAGACGCAGACGCTTTGGATCTGGTGGATTCTCCCTCACCCCCACTTCGGTGTCCTCCGAGCCCGTCTCCCTCCTCATCCTCAGCTGTTTCGTCCTGCTGAGTGGTATCACTACTGGAAGAGTATGTGCGGCGCGGGGGTTTACGGTTACCCAGCAGGTCTAGAACCTCGTAGCGGAAACTGGAGATGTCCTGCTTCAGTTCCTGAATGCAGAGAAACACAATTCAATTAGCAGAGCTTAACCACATCACCTAATTACAGGAAACATCCCAACGTTACGAGATTTATCTTCATAACTTCTCATGCCTAAGTCCTTATGGTTTTTCTTGTGGAGTTGAGGGATACGCCCATGTCTGGAGTTTGTTAACTTCCATTATCAGTCTTTTATTCTAGTGTTTGAGGTTTAATATACAAGAGGAGATGGACAATATCCTGTCGCATTCTAGGATTTTTTTCTCCATATAATGGACTTCAATGGGGTCCAAACGGTTCAAGGTCCAAATGAGAGTTTCAGTGCAGCTTCAAAGTGCTTTAAACGACACCAGACGATGAATAAGGGTCTAATCTAGTGAAATGAACAGTCATTTAAATAAAATAAATAAATAAAAAAGTTTAAGTTTTATAAGCACAAATGTTCGCCTTGCTCTGTTCTGTGATGAGCGTTCATGACTCCTGTTTGAACTCGTTCACCAAAATGAACAAATCTTTTTTCGAGTCATGACTCGAAGGGTCCTAGATAAGATTATTCATCGTCTGGTGTCGTTTAAAGCTGCACTGAAACTCTCATTTGGACCTTGAACCGTTTGGACCCCATTGAAGTCCATTATATGGAGAAAATCCTGGAATGTTTTCATCAAACACGTTAATTTCAGCAAAAGTGAACTACTCCTTTAAAGTGAAAGCAACATAAGGAAATGAAAGGAAATTCATATCAAGCTAAATAGATGTTCTAAAAGGTTTTTGTGATTGCACATCAACTTAATCCTATATTTATAAAAGTTGTATTGCACTGTAAACTGGCCAAATCCTGGCTTAATCTAAGCCCTGTCTGTGAAACCAGGCTCTTTTATAATAATGTCTACTTTACTTTACTAACAACCTGGAAAATTGTTCTCATTATTATTGCCCATGCATAAAAGGGCTTACGTTTATGATGCTGACAGTAGCCTATGTTGATATTGTATGTTTCAGTGTCTATTCAAATGTACACAAAAACAAATGAGACCACAATGGCCTCTATAGAATTATATAAGTGTCTGTAGGGAATAAGATGACAAAAAAAATCCTCACACACCTTGAAGTTTTCCTCTGTCAGCCCTTCGTCTGTCTTGGCGCTGCGGATCATGGCTGCGACGTATCGCTTTACCAAGTTTCTGATCACCTCCTGAAAACAGCCACAAACAGGATGAATGACACACATTTTTCTTGATATGTTAAATACCTTCTGATCTACAGACAACCATGTTTTCCTCTTCAGAATGATTTACGAGGACTTTCCGCATCCCCAAAACGAGGTGATGATGATATAATCTCGGACAGGCAAGGAATGAGGGCCATACAAGAAATCAAAAATCCAAATAATCAAATCAAATGTTATGGCCTGTAAAAGAGGTCAAGAGAAATAAACCATATCTGAGTCTTATTGCCAAATAAATTATATGAATACAGAAACCGTTAAAAAAAATGCAAGAAAAGCATTGCAGTAATGGATGTGGTGTGTGCTTAACATTACCACTGCATCATGAACCATCACATTAAGATACGGTGATGGACTTTCGATGTGATTGGCATGCGCATATTTTGAGATCCCAGTTTAGTAATGGGTGGAAATGAGTTTTGGGCATATTCATGTATTAGCTGAAGGAGAAAATCTGGACGTGCATTCATTAGCATTGATTTGCATATCCAATAAAGAGTGAGCCAAAACAAGCTTAAGCACAACAACAAAAATAACAGCTATTGCTTAAAATATTTGCTAGTAACATTTATCTGTAGCAATTCTATACAACCTTACACAACAAAAGAAATAGTTCACCAAAAAATGACAACTCTATCATTATTTATTCATCCTCGTGTTGTTCCAAGTCTGTATGCTTTCATTTTTCCACAGAATATAAAAGAAAAGATTTTGAACAATCACACAGCTCAAGCTCAAAAATAGCAACAAATATAAAATAAATCCAATAAATGAACCACAAAAGTAGTCTAAACGGCTCCTTACGCTACATTCCCGGTTTTGTGAATTCATAATGGCACATCAGTATTTTTAGGGGTTTTTTTTATGGTGTTTTTGTCCATTTTGGAACTTGACACACTTTTCACACACTCACTCTTTCAATAGGGACGTTCATTATAATGTCGCGACCTGCACCAGAGGTTGCTGGAGTCTGTCTGTCTCTGTATTAATACATTAGCAATGTCCATCCAGTGGTTATTAAATAAGAAGCAGGACAGGACGTAATGCAATTAGAGCAAGTACTTACAATTAACAGTATTTCTACATACTATCAAGATATCTTTTTAGCATGACCATGATCAGCACCTTTTAAAATCTACCTAAAATAGACCTATTATTTATGAAAAGCATGCAAATTCTATGGCTTGCAATTTAAGCTCTAATGAGTCACGAATATGCATGATGCCCATCGGCTAACGTTTGTTTTCTCATTTAAATACATTTTTGGCATTTGTTGACATATTAACCGCATGGGTTGAATCTAATAGCATGCTGAAAAATGGATTTGTGACATGGATGCCAAAATGTGATAGGTACAGTCATTACCTGGTAGTGCTGGTTCTGGATGAGGTTATCAGCGTGCCTTTCCTAAAACATATAGAGCAAAAACAGATTCAACAATAAATGCGTGCCATTATACAGATGCAAAGGTGAATGGTCTGAACAATCATAAAATAATTCCAGTTTTGATATAAATTTACATACTATTATATTTTTTGTTAATATGCTCAATTAGATTCACTTTGACTTTAAAGTTTTAGTAATTTTTATTAAAAAAAACACTCTTTGATAATATATTTTTTCTATTTTTATTCTCTTTCAGTTAACATTCATTTTGTTACAAGTAAAGACATGTTGTTTTTGTGGTTTTACTTAATTACAATTAGGGCCCTATCTTGCACCCGGCGGTTTAGGGGTGTGTTTAGGCATCAGGGGGTGGAGCTGGGTTGATTAAGGGGTGGGTTTAGGGATCAGGGGGTGGAGTTGGGTAGGTTTAGGGGTGGGTTTAGGGATCAGGGGGCAGAGTTAGGTAGGTTTAGGGGTGGGTTTAGGATCAGGGGTGGAGTTGGGTAAGTTTAGGGGTGGGTTTAGGGATGGGGGGGCGGAGTTGGGTAGGTTTAGGGGTGGGTTTAGGGATCAGGGGGTGGAGTTGGGTAGGTTTAGGGGTGGGTTTAGGGATCAGGGGGCAGAGTTAGGTAGGTTTAGGGGTGGTTTAGGATCAGGGGGTGGAGTTGGGTAAGTTTAGGGGTGGGTTTAGGGATGGGGGGGCGGAGTTGGGTAGGTTTAGGGTGGGTTTAGGGATCAGGGGGTGGAGTTGGGTAGGTTTAGGGTGGGTTTAGGGATCAGGGGGCAGAGTTAGGTAGGTTTAGGGGTGGGTTTAGGATCAGGGGGTGGAGTTGGGTAAGTTTAGGGGTGGGTTTAGGGATCAGGGGTGGAGTTGGGTAGGTTTAGGGGTGGGTTAGGGATCAGGGGCAAAGTTAGGTAGGTTTAGGGGTGGGTTTAGGATCAGGGGGTGGAGTTGGGTAAGTTTAGGGGTGGGTTTAGGGATGGGGGGCGGAGTTGGGTAGGTTTAGGGGTGGGTTTAGGGATCAGGGGGTGGAGTTGGGTAGGTTTAGGGGTGGGTTTAGGGATCAGGGGGCAGAGTTAGGTAGGTTTAGGGGTGGGTTTAGGATCAGGGGGTGGAGTTGGGTAAGTTTAGGGGTGGGTTTAGGGATCAGGGGGCAGAGTTAGGTAGGTTTAGGATCAGGGGGTGGAGTTGGGTAAGTTTAGGGGTGGGTTTAGGGATGGGGGGCGGAGTTGGGTAGGTTTAGGGGTGGGTTTAGGGATCAGGGGGCAGAGTTAGGTAGGTTTAGGATCAGGGGGTGGAGCTGGGTAAGTTTAGGGGTGGGTTTAGGGATTGGGGGGCGGAGTTGGGTAGGTTTAGGGGTGGGTTTAGGGATCAGGGGGCAGAGTTAGGTAGGTTTAGGGGTGGGTTTAGGATCAGGGGGTGGAGCTGGGTAAGTTTAGGGGTGGGTTTAGGGATCGGAGGCATAGCTGTCAACCCTACCGTTTTTTCCGAGTTTCTCACGTATTTTTGCTCTTTTCCCGCTGTCTTCCCGTTTTAGTATCTTCCCGTAAAATATCCCGTTTTTTTACTATGATTGTGTGAGACGTTCGAGCTCGGGCTGATTCGGCTTGAAGTCGTTTATCCTCGGATGCGGCGCCGCGCGCGCTGGCCGGAGACACACTGGCTGCGTGGCGTGTCCGTTTTTATTTCGGCTCCCATGTTAACAGATTAGAGCTTGCACACTGCCTGCGTGACACGCGCGTCTCCAGAAAACGCGTGCATGCTAGAAATAGAACTGACGCCTATTTTTTCAAGCGACATGCAAGCGTGTTGAAAGCGTTTCCAGGCAAAAAAATAAATAAAAAATAGGAAACGATGTTTATATGTCATTTTACATTTTACATTTTGATGTTTGAAAGTCAAGGTTTTTACATAAATTCAGATATCAATGTAATTTAAACAAATAATAATTATAATAATCGATTTATATTGCCATTAGTTTTGCCTATATATAATTTAAGGTCATATAACATATGAATAAAATATCTTTTCTTTTTTTTCCATTTGTTTCTTATGCTCTTAACAATGTGATTACACGAAGAAGAAGAAAAAACTTTTGGAAAAAAACGTTCTGGGCCTCAGGAGGATATAAAGGTACGATAGGCTACAATAACAACAGTTTGTCTTCTGAGTGACGGTCCACCACCAGGCTAAATATAGGCTCTTTAAAACTACACAAAATGTGTAAATGTAATTGAAATAAACAGACAGCCCACTTCCCTATTTTGTGGGTTTTGGAAGATGTGATAACAGTTGAAATTGTTGTCGCAAAGGCAAGAGCAACACACCGCTAATCCAAATATAGATTTTTTTTTTCTTTTAATGACACTAGTTTCTAGGCTAGTTATTAACTCTTTAGACTTTTAAGGATTAGTGCTTTATTTTTAAAGTTTGTGGGTAAGAATCGTGTAAAAAAAAAAAATCCCTTATTTTGGGGATGGATTCCGGGAAAACTCCCTTATTTTCAGTGTTCAATGTTGACAGCTATGATCGGAGGGCGGAGTTGGGTTGGTTTAGGGATCAGGGGGTGGAGCTGAGTAGGTTAAGGGGTGGGTTTAGGGATCAGGGAGCAGAGTTAGGTAGGTTTAGGGGTGGGTTTAAGGATCAGGGGGTGGAGTTGGGTAAGTTTAGGGGTGGGTTTAGGGATCAGGGGGCAGAGTTGAGTAGGTTTATGTATATGTAAGGTGGGAGGAGTTGGATCTGGATCCGACTCCACCCCGTGGATTTCATGTTCTGCAGTGAGGACCATCTCGGTAAATCCTCCATTATAATAACAATCCGCCATGCAACATGAAACAATACAAAAATGTGGTGTTAACTTTAGCTTGACAGCTCCAGTTCATTATAACTGTCTATACTGTATATGCGTCAGAGAAACAAGCCTGCAGCCGTCTTTAGACTCTTGTCTTTGAGCTCCGTATATTTCTATGGCATCGCTGTCGAAGAGTAATGGGCTGGTGAAGTGGATTTACTTATTGTAGTTAATGAAAGTTATCATGTGCTTTGTAATGTGGATGTCATAAATGTCAGTAGACTGGGAAGATTTTAAAACGAGAGGTTCATTCATAAATCTGTAAGATCTTATCGTCATGCTGTGAAAATACAAATTGGAAGACAGAACGCAACAGAAAGGGGCGGGGCTACATAAGCACATTTTCTCCTATTGTATTCCACAGAATGACAGAGTTTTTAACTATTCCTTGAAGTCTTCTAAAAGCATTTCACACACATATTCTTCACTGAAATGCTAGCAAAAAATGAAAAAATAAATGATAGCAGCCTTACATAATGATTCTTAAACCCAAAACTGTGCGCTCCATGTGCTGTGTGTGGGAGAAAGTGGGCGAGTGAGTTTGCAGAAACAGTAGAGTCCACCTCACAGAGGAGAGAAGTTCAATTGATCGAAAGATGTCAGGGGAATTGATATTTCGGTTGAAGCGAGGTTGCCTAGCAACCAAAATCGACATAGGGCAACTTGAGGCTGGACGTCAAATAGACAAGCCCTAGTAGGTTAAATCCAAACCTTATTTAATGCCAGGATACCCTTGAAACCAATTAAATATATATATATATATATATATATATATATATATATATACATATGTATATGTAAGGGATAATGTCCAGCCGGTTGTTATGTGAGAATAAACCCGGACAGGGTGATCAGGATCCTGACGCGAAGCGGATGTACAATGGATGTACATTATCCCGCTTATTACACGGCTACTTGCCACATAAATAAATAGACACAAAATATTGATCTGAGTCAAAATATAGTTTGTGTTCCTAACCACTTCAAATTTGCTTAGTTTGGGACACTTAATATTCAACAATATTATTGATTTGACTGCATTGACACTTTTGGATTAGAACTGAACTGATCTGGTCTTTGATATCACTGTTTTTTTTACAGAACCACCTTATAGATGAATTGAACTAATTTCATAATTGATGTATTTTACAGGGCAGAGGTTTTTTTTGTCCATCATTGAATCCTATTAATCACTGTAAAACCGCTCAAACTTGAGCACCGCGTTTTTAGGAAGCCGTGACGCTACAAAAGACACAAGACGTGAGCGCAATGGTTATACACGTCAGTAGTTCTGTCTTACAATTTGCCGATTGAATTGTTGACACAAGCTTTGCAACACTCAATATGGCGGCTGTAGGAAGTCCCACCATAAAGAGTGCAAACCTGAAACAAAACCACAAAAAAGATGTGACACATACATCTATGTCCTTATTGAGAATTAACAGAGATGTTGAGGGTTATGATGATTAGCGTTTGCTTTAGTCGGGCTCTTGCCCCTTGACTTTTTAACGTTTTTCTCTGGCTGCTGTAACTGTGTGTTTATAGGACACATTCGTTAAGACGAAAAAGCCAAGAGAAACTGTGATCAGGTAGTTTGGCTAGCTATTGACGCTGACATAATTATCATCTACTGGACTGACTAACTGATCGTATTCGGCGTCTAAACTTTGATTATATGGGTGATGTGTAATTAAAGTTATAGTTTTTTTATTATTGTAGCCCTGTCTTTCTTCAGCATGAGATTCAGTAGTGTTTTAAACAGATAAAGTCTTTTGAAAACACATTGTACACTATTAGACTCACTTAGACATCATGAATCAATGTATGTATCTCAACAATGGTGACATGCTTATGCTGCAGTGCATTCCGGATGAATCATACAAAACTCATCATGGATCCCAGAATCCACTGCAGCGTGAAGAATACCCCATGTCACTAAAACATTATCAGAACACAACTGTTCTAGCTGGACAGTCCCTTTTGTCCACCATCCACCAGGCTAAAATAATGAGTCCGATTGCTTAGAAAATGAATAGAACTTTCCACAATAAACCACATGATCTGAGGAAAAATTTATTTCCACAGCACAAACAAAATGCAATCCTCAGGGTTAAGAGTTAACAAAGCATGAGCGATAATGAATAATAGCAGTGCTTGTCTTCAGCACTACTTAGTGGTTCTTCAAAAATCACTGTTTATAATGGCAATTATGCTGTTTTTGTTTTCTTTAGTCAAGGGATGTGTCACATTTACTGAGCGAAGGCTATAATGTACAACCCACGCTGCATTCAGAATGAAATGCATTACCGTGAACTCTTTGAGTTTTCCGTGTTTACACTCGTCCTCATGCCTTGATTCTCCGTGTCCACACAGACGGCAGTGCAGCCACACACACAGGTACCACACAGACTTTGGACTAGGTATGATGTTGAAGGGTGGCGGTAACGTCCCTCCCTCATCAAAGTAGCTCATCCACAGCTTGGTACGAGCAAACTTCCACTCAATGTCTGCGTGATCCTACAGCAGAACAACACACAGCCAGTTGGATGGAGGACAGTGATGACAGTGCCAGTTGGGATAGTGTCCCAGACTGGCTTTTGTTGTGATTGGATGAGGCACATTTACTCAGAATTGTGTTTACTTGAATAACATTTCCCATTATGAGACATACGCAGGTGGTGAAAATGGCTCTAAATGTTGCTTATATAAGCACATAACTAACATGCTGAAAAATACAGAAATATGAGCCTATCTGACTGTCACAAAACTGCAAAAATATGATGGTCTCTTAAAGATACTAATGGATTTAGTATTCATGAAATGTGTGAAACCGGCATGTACATTGTTGTACATGAGTATAATAATAACAATAAAGGCTTTTGTTCTATTCTATTCTATTCTCAAAGTTTTTAAAAAGTGTATGAAACTACATGGATGCAAAGAATACTACAAACTAAGAAGAATACAAAGAGCTTGGCACATTTAAACTGTTTTAAACTATATTTACTCAAAGACACTCTTATTTGTCATTGACCCAGATGGTAATAGCACAATATGATGACATAATTTTCATTTTTAAGTGAACTATTCCTTTAATATTGTGCGATTGCCATCTGGGTCAATGACAAATAAGAGTGTCCTTGAGCAAATCTAGTTTAAAACTATTCCTTTAATTACACCATACAAATATATTTTATGAGTCAGTTTTATGAATAAGATGATATAAGAACCTATCAAATATGTCACAGTGCTATTTTATGACATTTAACATCTGGTTAAACTCCATTGCATGTTTAAGTGTCATTGCAAAAGTGTGAATAATAATTAATAATTAAAATGGGGATTTATTAAATCTGACTTCACATACTACAATATATTTACAAGTGCTCTAAATCTCTTTACGTTCACTTTCAATCCCAAACAATTGATGTATAAACCCTTATATTATGAACAATAATCTTTAGTATTTGCAGGCACTCACAGCGATGAGCTGGTAAGAGTTGTTCATCATAGCGATGAGCATGTTCAGTAGCACCACCAGTGAGATGACGTTGTATGTGCCGAACATGGTGGCCCCTACAAACTCGGTGAACTCATGACGAGCCTTCACATTGGTAACATACAGATTCAACAGCCCGAACACAGACCAGAAAAGTGACTGAAGGGTTTCAAACAGCCTGAGAAGGGAAATTAAGAAAGAAGCAAAGCAGAAATGGTCGTTTCTCCAGATTCTCTCAAACACACACATACACACACAGAGTGAAGCAGAACTAAATTGGTCTTTCAAGCCATTTTCCTGCACTATTATCAACAGCCTGCAACTTACAGCAATATAAAACAATTACTGCACATACTGTTTCTTCTTAAACATAGATGAGATCTTTTTGATGTCCCATATTTATATGCAGAGACAAATCGAAGACATTTGATTTCCCTGAAAAATATTTGAACAGTTTAAGTCAAGTGATCACACACTTTTCATTTGAATTTGAATTGAGGAGTAAACAGGATGTGGAACTGCTATTCAAAACTCAACTGAAATTTGAATGACAACAAAAGCAAAGTTTCTCAAGACAAACTTAATAAAGCTTTGTTTGAAAGTTTCAGAGAAAAGTTTAAAAAACATTTGAAAGTTGAAAAATATTTAAAATTTGAAGACCGGATGGATGAATGGATGGACGGAAGGACGGACGGAGGGACGGAGGGACGGACGGACAGATGGATGGATGGATGGACGGATGGATGGACGGACGGACGGAGGGAGGGATGTATGGATGGATGGACGGACGGACGGACGGAGGGAGGGATGGACGGACGGACGGATGGATGGATGTAGGGATGGATGGACGGACGGACGGAGGGAGGGATGGACGGACAGATGTATGGAAGGACGGACGGACGGATTGATGGATGGACGTACCGACGGACAGACGGACGTATGGATGGATGGACAGATGGACGGATGGATGGACGGACGGACAGATTGACAGATGGATGGATGGACGGACGGACGGACGGACGGACGGACGAACGGAGGGATGGATGGACGGATGTAAGGACGGACGGATTGATGGATGGATGGATGGACAGATGGACGGATGGATGGACGGACTGACAGATTGACGGATATATGGAATGGACAGACGGACGGACGGAGGGATGGATGGACGGACGGACGGAGGGATGGATGGACCAACGGACGGACGAACGGAGGGATGGACGGACGGATGGATGGACGGACAGATGGATGTATGGATGGACGGACGGATGGACAGACGGGTGGATGGATGGATGGATGGACGGACAGATGGATGTACGGATGGACGGACGGATGGATGGACGGACGGACAGACGGGTGGATGGATGTATGGACGGACGGACGGATGGATGGATGGACGGACGAACGGACAGACGGGTGGATGGATGTATGGACGGATGGACCGAAGGACGGATGGATGGACGGACGGACAGACGGGTGGATGGATGTATGGACGGACGGACGGACGGACGGATGGATGGACGGACGGACGGACAGACGGGTGGATGGATGTATGGACGGATGGACCGATGGACGGATGGATGGATGGATGGACCAACCAAGTGACCCAGACAGACAGACAGAAGACTGTTTTTACTTAGAAGAAATCAAATATTTGCCCTCTCAAGAGTAGTTCTGAAATGTATTGTTCTCATTAGCCGCGTTTCAACTACTGGGCTAGGGCCGGGCCAGGGCTAACAGCGAGCCGAGCCGAGCCAGTGGCCTCGGGCCTCAAGCACCGGGCTTGCGTTTCCACTGTCGGGCCAGTAGCCCCGCAGCGCTGCCCTAAACCCCGCCCCTAACACGCCTTTCTGGATCAAACGTCATACAACCCAACCCATTTCAGCGGGTATTATGAATTTATTTCTTTTTTAAGTTATTTTTTAAGTTTAAGTTTTTTAAGTTGCGCGATATAAAAAAGTGAAATGTGCATCTTGCTTTAGATCATAACGTTCCATAACACCAATAAACTCTTTTTACCTTGAGCACGTCTCTAGCCCGCTTTGGCCCAAGGTATTCGACGGGCCAGAAATCCTAGCCGTTGGCCCTGAGTAAGCCCCGATCAAGCCCCGGAAGTGACAGTGGAAACGCGACTGCGCACTAGCACGGCTTGGCCCTGGCCCGACAGTGGAAACGCGGCTATTGAAATCTCTTCCCATTTCCCAACACATTATCACTGCACAGCCTTGAGCAAAATATTCTCATCATTAGACATGAGTTGATGGATGAAGCGCCACTCTATAATTTCGTATTCGAAAACTGAGATCAAATGATTCTTCAAGGCTCATGCTATGATGCAAAATCTCATGAAGATCATAACCATTTCCACTCTCGTTTCCCATCTCATTTCTTTCAAATTTTGACCTCTGCGGGAGGTCAGCATTAAGCTGCGTGTGGCATCTCGGCCACATTACTTTCATTGATCAAGGCAACCGATGCTTCCTTGTGGGTTTTGTAATACGTGCATCACAGTTCATTCATTTCGATTATTATCAATGCTATGAGACCTGCAAAAGCAAGCCCGACTATTGAGCTGTGTCATTATCATCTAATATCTATTGTAATGTCAGCTCTTGGTGGATTGCGTTGGTTATTATGGTGCCCGGAAACATTTATTCATTTAGCTGACGCTTTTCATCCAAAGCTACTTACAATTAGTGTTGTCACGATACCAAAATAAGTGTTTCGATACCGATACCAAGTCAACTATTGCAATTTCGATACTTTTTCAATACTGTTCCCGAAAAGGAAAGTATTTCTTACAAGGCGTTTCATATGCACCTCCTTTGCATAGGTCTGTGCTCTTTAATGCTGTAATAACCTAATATAAATAAATCACTGACATGCACATGCTCTGACTATAATCATATAGCCGATAGATCATTTTGCTGATGTTTTGTATCCTTTATTTTAGCAGCTTCCAAATTATTTATGCCATCTATGAAAGTTGTACACCTGATACAAAAATAAATGAAACATCTCCAGTTAACTAGCAGATAATTCATTTAGTTCGCTATTAAATAAGAGATCTAGCGCTAAAATCTGTTGTTGTTGTTTTTTTGTTTTGTTTTTAAATCAAGCACCGCTCTTTCAGTTGGATACAGTGTCTTTTGCAGCTCGCGCAGACGCGCACCGTCTTCACACGGACGCGCGCTTCAAACTATCGCCGTTGCAGAGACCTCTGGATTGTGTTGCTAATAACTTGCAATGTATAATTATCCTCGCGGCCTCGAAACACCACCGGCCCACCGGTGGTGCAAGGCTGTTCTCGCCGATCGGTTGCATCCAGCCGCAGGTGATGTCGAACACACCTAGTGTCTCATGACAGCTAGGGTTGTGCCGATAGACGATAGTATCGTGTATCGACGATAGTCTGACATATCGCCGATGGCAGATGCCTTTGACGATATCAATATGATAATTGGCTCGTTTTACCATAATGTATTAAATTATTATTATTAGGCCTATTATTATTATTATAAAGCTAGTATTGTTATTAAATGAATAACAATTGCAACAACACACGCACTAATGAGGACACCTCTAAGAGAATGTTTTTAAAACAGACTAAAAAACATCCCACATCAAAATTTAATTGCAAGGTGATCCATTCACAAATTATCAAGTGCTCGTTTCAACAGACGCAAAATTCAATTTCCTACAGATCCCAGATGAAAACGGCATCGTTGTTCGTCAGTATTTGTTTCTGTAACACATTAACAAAACGTTTAATGACACTAACACTAAAAACAATACAATTACTAAATAGTATTAATAATAATAATATCACTAAAATAGCATTATAGTTACCGTTATCATCGTCGTCTCTGAGGGAACGCGGCGTTAATGCAGATGCCGAAAGCAGTCCGTTTTTACTTTCACTTTCAGAGATTGAGCGCGTTTACATGCGACGACGTTCTTAACCTGATTATGTTTAATAAACTTGACAATGCATGTGGTCATGTAAACGTTTCCTTTATCAGAGTCAAGTCATAACTATAAGTATAAACCGATCGACTCAGCTAGACGTTTGGCCCTTGCTCTTTCTATCGGCATTTAAAACACATTAACCCGCGTACTTCGTGCTTACTGAAGTGCGCAGAGAGCGCACTGGTAGGGGGGCACATATCGCAAACTCCGACTTTTTCTGACCCAAGAAATTGTTAAAACGTGTTTTCATCTCGTGCAGAAATAGACCCTAGTCCAAATGCTGCATGTAACGGCATGAGGATAGGCTAATGTGTCCGTAAATTTCCCGTTGACAAACAAAAGGATTAGGATCTCTTTTTTTTTACCTCACTATACCAGGAAATAACCTGATCCTATTAATAAACACTCCACCTTTGCTAGCAAAATAGAAAAAAGATTCTCGTATATAAAACGAAGTTGGCTAATAAAACAAGCAAATTAATGGCTAAATAATCAAGTTAATAATCAAATAAGTTAGCCCCGCCCCCTTAAGATAATATCGTGTATCGCCGATCTCACAGGCTGACGATAGGACGATATGAAAATGGAGCATATCGCCCAACACTAATGACAGCTGCAGCTTCTTTGCTGCGTGCGTGAGGAGAAACACAGACGTTCATAGGGAGAGACTGGAAGCGTGCGTGGCACACACCAACATGAACTCCGTCTCTTACAAATCTGGGTCGTGGTCATTCATAAAAGTATCGATACTAATAAATTTAGGTATCGTGAGGTTTTTAATTTCCGAGTATCGCGATACTTTTGAAGTATCGGTGCACCGTGCAACACTACTTACAATTGCTTTGTAAGTCAGAGGTCGCACGTCTCTGGAGCAACTAGGGGTTAAGTGTCTTGCTCACAGTGGATTCGGACCCGGGTCTCTCACACTATTGACATGCGTCTTATCCACTGCGCCATCACCACCCCGGAAACAGTACAAACAATACTGCACAGTGCGTTTCACTCACGTGGAGAAGGCATTGTTCTGCTTCTCACAACGGATCCCTTTGCAGTGGTTGGGCTCTTCGGACGCCTTCGTCTCGTAGTAGAAGTAGAGCTGGTTGAGGCCGTTGGCGAAAGCCAGCAGAACCAGACAGTAGATGAACAGGAACTTGAGGATGTCCAGCAGCATGCGCCCAAGAGAAATCTGCAGTGGGCCCAAGTGAGAGTTGGCGGTGAACAGAGAGATGAGACGCAGCGAGCTGAAGATGTTGGCGATGGCGAAGAGAGCCTCGGCGATGAGCGTAGGGTGCCACATCTCCCACTCCACACGAGGACGAGAGCTATTGTACTGATGGAGAGAGAAAAGACACTGTGGTGAAAACCATAGTCCTTCTTCAACAATCATTTCATTTTAAGTCTGCACAACCAAAAACGATGGCATCAACCTTAAAGTAGGCCACCATTTTAAGAGATATGGTGGCAAGGTAGAGGGAGTTCATCGCAAAATCCATCAGGTTCCACCAGTCATGGATGTACTCTGTGAAACCTCCATCCCACATCTCCTTAATCTCTGCCCAGATGAAGCCTGTTTCAAGGATGAAAGAAAATGACAACTTCAAACCAGTATGAAAAAAAGTGTCCCTCGAATTAATTTGAATTTTTTATTTAAATTTTTTTACCAAAGATCAAACAAATACCGCTCGTCATGTAACGTAATGTATATAAAATCGGACGATTTAATAACAAATACTCAGGTTTAACTCGTGAGAAATACAAGATGCTATCATTAACGAGAACTGACAAACACTAAGGGGCTCTTTAGGGATGGGCAACGATTAATCGCATCCAAAATAAAAGTTTGTGTTTTCATAATATATGTGTGTGTGGTGTGTATAATTAATTTGTATATATAAATACCCACATATGCATGTATATATTCAACAAAAATGTGTTATTAATATATCAAATATTTATATTTATATATAATATTAATTGTGAATAAATATATATAAAATATATACATGCATGTGTGGGTATTTATGTATACAAATTAAATAAACACACTACACACACATATATTATGTAAACACAAACTTTTATTTTGGATGTGATTAATCGCGATTAATCGTTGCCCATCCCTACTCTTTACACAACACTGTTTTCAACTAAGAACGGACCACGTTTGGTTGTTCAATTTACACACCAATGGCATTTTGGGTGCCTAAAAATTTGACAACAGATTTCAAAGTTTCAAAATGCATATCTCTGAAGACGATGATGTCATGCCCATGCGTATTACGTGTTCAAGCTATAGCGTTTCATCATCATCTATTGGCCTGACAGCAGAATGCAGCGTTTTTAGTCGTTTTCACGGATCCGTGTGAATGGGGGTCGTTTTGACAAGTCTGTACACGGGAAAACTCAAGTATTGTTGCAATATAAACGTACCCTAAGGGAGAACTGGAAGCTTATAAGCATGAACAAAGAAAGCTAATAAGTTGATTAACAAAACACAGGTGAAAAAAATGATCAAGTAAACAGATTGAGGAAAACTAGGTAAAGGAAACTCCTTTCTAGCAGATTTTACCTGCCCTCCAGACTACGGATAATTAGTTTCTAGCCTCCACTTGTGTCTACTTCTGGGCTTGTGTGTACTTTGAAAGAAAACCTCAAGCCATTATGATTGAGCCCTGCTGTAATCAGTTCTGAACTGGGGCTTCAGATATGATTTCGTCTGCTTATGTCTTGAGGTCAATAAATTATTATATCAATAATTCATGAGTATTCATTTACTTCATCAGAGGGATAAAACCACAGCTGTGTCTATTTCCTGTGCAGTCGACCAGTTTTATTGCTTGAGGAATGAGCCAGCTAAATGAATGTTACAGATCATCGTTTCGTCATTGAGCTAAATGGATATTTGAGGCTACAATTTTACACTTTGGATTCCAGCATTACAGTGTCCGCCCTTTTTATTTTTCTTATTCATTTTATGCATAGGGAAATATATATATATATATATATATATATATATATATATATAGTACTTATTATGGAAGTTAATTTACATGTAAATAGGCTGCTTTAAAAGAATAGGCCTACCTAAGTGCAAACTGAATGTAATGTTTTTAGATATTTAGGACACCTTTTTGAAAAATTATAAAAGTGCTGGTAAATTTATGGGAAATTAAAATACACTATTGAAACTTCCTTATCATGTATTCAAATATGTTTGTAATCACAAAGGTGAAGTTGCAATATATACATTTGAAATGCAATACTGAATAACACTACAGTTAAAATTATTAATCAGGTACTTTACATGTGCTTTAGTGTGTTTAGTCAACACATTGAAATAAGTGTATTTCTAAGTTGAAAAATAATGATTAATTTAACATTATTGCAAAGTGCACTATTTAAAAGAGTACTTAAGTTTGTAAAAAGTGTAATCTCGTTAAGTACACTGGCATTTTATTTAATTAGTATGGAATAACTGTACAGTTAGGGTACAATACTGTAGCCTACAATAAGTACAGTTTTTTTAAAGAGTAACTAAACACTAAACCAACCTTTTTTAGTTAATGATCTGTAAGAATGGATCTTTATTAATACCAGTCATTGATTCGAGTAACTTTTTTGACATTTGTTTATAAAGTGTTCTATTTCTACAATATATGGTGTAAAAAGGTCTTAGTGCTGCCCTCTTCAGGTTGAACGGTGGCTACTGCAGTTGATTTCTCCGCACTTTGTGACGTACGCAGGTTTCAGCTCACCACGCGAGCTACGTCCTTGGCAGTATAAAAACCATCTTGTGTCGTCAAAACCACTGTAGGGAGTCAGGAATTGGAATCGTGAGTATTGAAAACGACCATGATAGAGTGTTTTAGCATCTATTTCGTCCCCTCTATCTCCGCTGGGGTCAGCATTTTCAAATATTGCCAGTGGGTGGAGTCAGGCTCTGACCAGGGGTTTAGTTACCCTTTAACTATACTTTTAAGATTTGAAGTACACCAACCTACCACTGTTGTGCTCAAATGTACCCAAGAAATCTTACCTAGAACCCAGGGTAAGATCAACCACTCCACAATGGTGGGTGGAGGTCCCTGTACATGCAGGTCTGTTTGCACAATATGCTGTGAGGCGAGGAGGAGGAGCAAGAGGAAGGTCAGGTAGGAGGCAGTGTGGCAGATGAACTTGATGAAAGGTTTCTTGATGAAGGTTCCCAGAGTGCTCTTTGGAGCCAGAAGGTATATGATGGAGAAGACAGGGAAGAGCAGGCCGATGATGAAGCACGTGACGAGCTTCACTGCCCAGTGACGACGTCTCCAACCCGGGAAACCATCGTACCAAAGTGTTGCCAGGAGCTGCTGGCAGTTGGGTTGAGCTACAAACTGTCAGAATATAATAATGGTTGAATGATCTAATATGCCTGAGGAAATTCATGACAAATACACAGACAAACATTGTAAACATTCTATATAATAATATTATAGTTTTGTTTTCTATATTGTTGGCTCTGTGGCGAAATGTTTATGTCGCTCTGTTGTAAATTTTCTACAAAGATTGGTATTGTTTTGAATATTGTTGCATCATTCTGTGACAAAGTGCTCATGTTGCTCTATAAAAGCATCTGCTAAATGCATACATGTAAATTGATAAACATTACACAACAGCATAAATGTTGAAGAGGTTTTAAAGCTGGTAAACATCTGTGAGGTTTGGCATTCACGTCATTACGTAATAATACCTTTATCCACATCTATTATTTTACTCTAGAGTGTTATACTCAGTGGTGGACTGTAACGAAGTACAAATACTTTGTTACTTTACTTAAGTACATTTTTCACGTATCTTTACTTTACTTAAGTAGAATAAATAGTGCATACTTTTTACTTTTACTTCGTTACATTTTGCAGCAATTATTATACTTTCTACTCCACTACATTTCTACAACTTCGGTTACATTTTCATTACATTTTCTGATATATTTTTTCCCCGGCCAAAACATAACCTGACCGTCCGTCCGTTGCACGTTTGTCTCAACAGTGACGTTTGGTTGCCATAGATACATCAACCCGGTCACACTAAATGCGTCTCACACGCAGTGCGTTTATCGTGCAATTTATTTGCGAAAATTTGTTTTTACGTGCATAGGAAACACACCGTGTGTAATATACGTTTGGTTAGGATTATGGCAAGCCAAGAGGTTCAGAATTACACCATATATTAATCGCGTCTACTGCCAAACACAGTTATTAACATATAGTAAGGATAAGCATGATGTGTATATTGCCTAATTGCAAGCTTGTTTCAGAAATGGTGACAACTATTTTTTTCCATAATTATTGAACATCATTATAGGAGTATTAGGTTGAATGAGTTAGAATTTAATGTTTTATTAATAATTAGAAAACTAACATTAAGAGAATAAATTGTTATGCAAGTACTTTTACTTTTAATACTTAAAGTACATTTAAAATCAGGTACTTTTTACTTTTTTTACTTAAGTATGGTTGTCATTGTGTTACTTCTACTTTTACTAAAGTAAATATTTATCTGGTTATTTGTACTTTTACTTTTACTTGAACTTTTTCCTCCACCACTGGTTATACTGTTGCAGCAGTTAGAGCCATCTGGATCCAAAGACCCACATATGTATTAATGATTGGTGAAACATTCATGTGTTAAAATTTCTCAGTCTTGAATGCTCACCTCTTTTTGGTGGTACTTGATGGCTAGCTTGAGCTTGGCCAGGTCTCTACATTCAAGGGGGTCCAGCTCCTCGCTGTGGTCATCCCGATGATTGAGGATGGTCTCCAGCTCACGGGAGCTACGGGCCTGATCCAGCAGGTCTTTGGCGAAAAGTTTGCACTGCTGCGATAGCTCTTCGTACTCCTGCCGGAACTCATTCTCCACCTTACTGAGCTCCTTCAGCTCCCAGCCCAGCCTGAACGCCGTGAGGATGGGATCCTCGCTGGAAAGGGCGATGAGAGAGGGGCTAGCAAGAGTTCTGTAGATGTTCAGACGTGAACGGGAGTGCCGCAGGCTGTCCACTTCTGAGCTGGATACACATTCCACGCAATCACAGCGGATCTGGTGTGGCCGTGGTATGGTGACTTTTCGTTGAACTAGGAGCTTGATTATCTCGTAGTTGTTGGTGTGGGCAGCCAACATGATTGGTGTGATATCGGGTGTAAACTCCGAAAACTGCGTGTCCATCATAAGAGAAGGAACCTTAAAGAGTGCAAACAAAGAGAGGAATAAATAATAGTAAAATTGCTGTTGCCAAAGTTAAATTGTTTGTAGAATTTGTCAAATTCTTATTTTTACCTGGGTGCGCTTTCCTTGTGTAAGCAAAAGCAGCTGGAACATTTATTAACCCTTGTGCATCCTTGTGGACATTTTTGTCCTTTTCAGTTTTGTTTTTTTGATCACTTTGCCTGTGTTAAAGCTAACTGCAAAAAACTTGGCACAGGTGTGTATTTTTATTGGAATTTTACTATTTCACCATCATTTTCTTAAAAAAATATTTTTTGCATTAGGTACAAAAAAACACTCCCTCTCAGCACCTTTTGGACAAAAATGTCCCCATTGAAACCCATTAAAACTGCCATTTTTAATCCCCGGTTCAGTTAACTATAAAATTATGCAATCTTTGTTAAGAGGCTTTCATTCTGATGGCAAGACTTCAATTTTTTTTTTTTTACTTTTTTTTTTTAGATGGTGTCATTTTTTTTAAAGTTTGGCCTATAAAACAAATATCGCTTTATTCCTGTTTTCTGGTTCGGCATACTACAGAGCCAACTGGATAAATTATGCAACGATATTTGTGTGGGTGTGTTGGTGGTATGGATGTCAGAGTGTGGTTAGTATGTGTTATAAAAAAATATGTGTGTGTGTGCGCGCATGTGTGTGTTTGTCAGACTGAGAGAGAAAAACTGCAAATTCAGATCCAATCACTGTGAGCTCCAGTGGGGTTTTGCTGGGACCCAATGGGGAAAATATGTTACTACGCCCAAACAAACTGTTACCAAAAGCTCATTTTTTGAGATATCATCGATCCTCAAATTTGGAACACAACCTATTTAGATTTATGGCTTTGATTTTATTGTAGTTTTGAGTTCAACCTGATTTAAAAAATATATATATATATTATATAAAATATTATTTTATAAATAATTTTCATAAACTTATACCTATATAACTTTTTTTTGGATTTACTTATTATTATTTTTTTACTTCAGCAATAATCTGCAAAGGGTCTTCTTTAAAATGATACCAAACTTAAGTCTGTGCTCCAAAGCGTCACATTTTTATGACAGTTTTTTGACATGGACATTTTTGTCCTCTTTTTACCTATGTGTAACTTTTTTTAATTGATGCACAAGGGTTAAACATGTAGAATACTTTCCAAAGCATTACATATAGTATTGTAAATTGCAAAATTGCAATTGGAAAACGATTTCGATATATCAACAGACAACGTTGATTTTTTTTTTTTTTTCGTAGCCACGCAAGAGATCGCTTCCGGCGCTTGCGCAGACCGAAGCGCCCGCGCCTTCAGATCACTGTGGCTGTGGCTGTTACAAGAGGTATACGGTATAAATACTATTTGTTTTCTCATACAAACCGCTCATTTCGTGTCTTAGGCCATCAATGTGTACTTACATTTACGAGTCATTAAATCATGTTTAATTTGGACTTCTCTGTGCATGCTCTTTGAGGTGGTGACCATAGACCTGCATTATATGACTGACAAACAAGAACGGATTGACATAAAAATATCAAAATTGAAACTACTGTGGAAACAAAGACACCTACATCTTGGAAGCCCTTGAGTTAAGCTAAAACATACCAAAAATTAATTTCAAAGTGAACTATCCCTTCCCTTTAAGAACTGATATCGCTTCATCAAAATGAAGATTGATTAAAATGCAGTAATCAATATAATCTCAAAATTTGGTATATCAGCTACATCCAGTCAGAAAAGTTGGATGTGACTCTCCTTTCAAACTAAGGAAGGCACACCCTCACACACCTGTTTCTCTCCACTGGGCTTCTTGTAGGACAGCAGTAACTCCACTGCTCCCACCACCTCCTTGCGGATGGCGTAGAGGAGAGCGTCGCCCATGACCACGCCATGACTCAACAACAGCTCCATCACCTCCAGGTTCTCATTCTCAATAGCAATGAGGAGTCCGCTGCGGCCCAATGGGTCCAGGCAGTTCACGTTGATGTTGTAATAGATATCGGCCTCCTCAAGGGCCTGTTTAACTCCAGCATAGTCGCCCTTCTCGACCGCGGTCAGGTAGGCTCGTTCCTTGGCAGACAGCTCGACCTCCGCCCTCACGATCTGCAGGGGGATGCGATCGCGGTACGGGGAGTTACTGGCCTTGTTGTAGTACAGCTGCGCCATGGGGGTTATGTGGACTCGGTGACATAAGATGACACAAGTCCAGAAAAAGCTGCAAACAAACAGTTAATCGTTTCAAGATTACATTCCTTTTATAACTCATATGCTAAAACACATCTACATGGCAAGACACTTTTTACTGAAGTGAATATTTCTCATTTTTGATTAAGATTTCTGAAGAAATATGAATTAATCAGATGTTAAAATGCTTAATGATTAGGTCTATCTAGTAAGTACTTTGAGTAGGAACAGAGAATATTATATGCCATGTCCAGATGATACCCTAAAGCTTCCAAGTGTAGCTCACAACCAGGTGTTCAAGAGAGTTAGCTGGCCGAGAGTGTCTTTTTTCAGGCTTGATTGAGCCCTGATTTCTAAAGAGAGCTGTTCACTACAAGTGATTGAAACTTTCCAGAATCATTAATCTGAAGGATCTCTACATCTGGGGTCAATATATTTAGTAAGAAACTGGAGAAATTGACTCAATATTGTAATGTGTTACATTTAAAACATTTCCCAACACTGCTCAGCTTGACAAATTTGGTGAAAAAAAACAGCATAACTGGAACTGACATCACATTATAATGTTGAGAAAGACCAGAGGGCCAATGACTGAGCCTTGGGGGACACCCTGGGTAATAGTGGCAGCAAACAAGACACATTCCTGAATCACATGCAGGTGAAACCAGAATATGACTTATTGTAATGGTTGTTTAAACCTTAAATTTCACAGTTGTTGTTGTTATTTTCATATCAACAAGGTTTATGATCCTCTTTTCTAAGGTGAGTGTTTAATTTCAATTTAAAAATTATTTTTTGAATAATTAGGGTCTGAAGATTGCATACTTTTCAATATTTTGTATGACGTTTGCAAGTTAAATACAAATACGTAATTTTTCCTCTACAAGGGCGAAGGCTTTATTATTCTCAGGCTATCTTCCATTTTTTCAGGTGGCTTCCTTTTACCTTTTTTATGTGAAAGTAAACATCTTCAAACATGATCACAAACCATTACTAATCCAGAACACCCCCTCAATTTTTTAATGCCAAGTAACACATGCAAAAAACTGTGTGTGCAACTGCCAAGATATCTGGCTTTTGTTGCTTTGCTTCACTAGAGATACACACTGTCTAGGCTTTACTAATTAGTCCCAATTAACAAATAATTAATGGAATTGATAAATAGAGAAAAGTGGATGCACCAAGAAGAGTAACGTTAACCCTTGTCCACAATTTAAAGGGATAGTTCACTTTGAAATTAATTTTTGATATGTTTTATCTTACCTCAAGGGCATCCAAGTTGTAAGTGTCTTTATTTCCACAGTTTTTTCAATTTTGACTTTTTTTGGTCAAACCGTTGTTGTCTGTCAGTCATATAATGGAGGTCTATGGTCACCACCTCAAAGAGCATGCACAGAGAAGTCCAAATTAAACATGATTTAATGACTCATAAATGCAAGTACACATTGATGGCCTAAGACACGAAACGAGCGGTTTGTGTGAGAAAACGAACAGTATTTATTCGTGTCTTAGGCCATCAGTGTGTACTTAAATTCACGAGTCATTAAATCATGTTTAATTTGGACTTCTCTGTGCATGCTCTTTGAGGTGGACCCCCTAAAACTGCATTTATATGACTGACAGACAACAACGGTTTGACCAAAAAATGTCAAAATTGAAAACAAACACACCTACATCTTGGATGCCCTTGAGGTAAGCTAAAACATACCAAAAATTAATTTCAAAGTGAACCATCCCTTTAATAGTAAAATCGTGTAAGACCTCACAAATTAAAAGTGAATTAATGTACAATTTTTTAAAATGAAATGTAAATGTAAAATAATTTAAAACCATGAATCCATAATTTCATTTGATGGCCAATCCAAAAGAAATAAGATTTGTTGGTCAATGCCTGCTAAGAATGGGATACATGGCCATTTTTCTCACTCAAACAAATATCAGCACTAAGTTCAATGCAGCAATTCAGCCCTCCTGGCATCCTTCAGGATTTGTGAACCTTGCCAAAACCAAGACAGCTATATAGTTATACTGTGACCCCCATCAATTTGAACCCCATTTTATTTGATGCACTTTATACTCGTTTCTGTGAGCATTTCATTATGTAAGAATAAAGGCAGTGTGTTTTTCCCATTTGCTGTATTACTTCACACCTCGCTGCTTTATAAAAGCTGAACAAGGCTTCCACAGGGAATAGCCCCATGTTTTATTCAGCATAATTCTAGACCTGGATGAACATTTTAGTTCATTAGTGTGGTTTGGCAGTGAATGTGCACAGGCCCAAATGCAATCGCTAATATTCATGTTTAAATGTTTCCATATGAAAACAGCACAACTTGTTAAATAAATAACATGATTGAATATAACTATACATTGCATTGTTTATTTTGTGTGAAATATTAAACCCCAGATGTTTTTTTAATTAGATTTAAGTTTGTTGCTTTGATTTCAATTTCCTGTTTTGATTTCATTTTTTTGAAATTGACTCAATATTGTATTGTGTTACATTTAAAACATTTTCCAACACTGCTCAGCTTGACAATTTGGTGTGAAAAAAACAGCATAACTGGAACTGACATCACATTATAATGTTGAGAAAGACCAGAGGGCCAATGACTGAGCCCTGGGGGACACCCTGGGTAATAGTGGCAGCAAACAAGACGCTGTATATCATTGCTGCCTTACATTCCTGCTCACGTATGCAGGTGAAACCAGAATGGTTGTTTGAACCTTAATTCATTTTAGCCTGTTAACTAAAGCCAACCAACCCTGTGACGTCACATGTAAGAATACTGCACAATGGCGGTGCCCTGGCGGCAAAAAATATAACGTTTTTTCTTTTTTTTTTCTTTTATATGTTTACATTTGTCACGTTTCTTATATAATTGTTGATTATAGTGGAAATCCATCTTGTAAATCATGTAAACTTGATTGACTGCTTCATTTCCCCTTTAAATCTAGCCCTCAAAAACAACCTGAAGAAATTATGTCATTCAGATAATAACTTAAGTTAAAGCAGCAATGCTTTTCACAAAAACAGAGCACTAAGAGTAGTGTATGTGGTTTGTGTGGGGGTTATAAAGAGAGTTAGAGAAGGATGCTGTTGCTATTACTCATTTGAAACAAAAAGCAAAAGCAAAAATCTCTTGTGAGCCATACAGACCTCCGCCCCCAGCTATAAACAGAGGCTGGGCTGTCTTTAAAAGATGAACTAGCCTAACACTTTGATTCTGACATTGATAGAATGGCAGATCACCACAGAGAAGAGAGAGAGAGAGCCATGAACAGTATCATACCCTCTGCAAGCTCATAGAAACATCCCAGAGCGGCCGGAGTCATTGATTGTGTTTCTTGAGCATCTGCTGGCATTTAGTGTGAACACATATTTAAGTTCACCGTGCTCTCCTGTGGCAGCTGTGTGTATTTTCCCCTCCGTTTCATCTCTTAGTTTACTGCAGTGGATCGGTGATTTGAAGTTTATATTTATCTGTTTTTTCCAGCACTTGGGGGTTTTTTTTCCATTGGACTGAATCACATTTTGTTTCAAGAATCATCATGATTCCACAAGCACCAGAAATTATTACTTTAACTTATTAAAGTCAACTGGCAATACTTTTCGCAATATGGATCACATGGGTTGCATCTGAAATCAAACTTTCCTACGGTAGTTAAAAAGCAGTACAGTATGTGACAAAAGAAGTATGTCCGAATTCACAGTTGTAACAATTTAGCTCAAACGGGAAAAAATTGAGGATCTTTCTTTCCTTTTATTATTATTATTATTATTTTAGATTTAGATTACATCCAGTATTCCGATTATCTAGAAGTACCTAAAAGGGATGGCAACAGTTTTGACAAAAACACAACCCTTTTAATGATGTGATGAATGCAATTCGTTTAAGAAAAGAAAAAAAACCCAGCTTGATTAGGCTAACTTTTATATTACACTCTTAGAAGAAATGGTTCTATTTAGAACCAAAAATGGTTCCATCCCCCACTTCATATATGGAACTCCAAAATGGTTCTATATAGAACCATTTTTTTTTTTGGTAAAAGGTTCTATTGGCCAAGTATGGAACCCCAGGGTTCTATATAGAACCCAGATGAACCCTTTTTAAGAGTGTTTTAGGGGTTCCAAATAGGAACTTTTAAGGTTCTATATAGAACCTTTTCTTCTAAGAGTGCATCTCTTCATACATTTCAATTGATTGTATAACCGACTATAAATCTGTCTCGAATGCATCTTGCATCACATTTATTTTTGGCTTTTTAACAATCAGATATCCAAGTATGACTAAGTGTAAATGGCCCTTTTGCAAAATAAAGATCAGACGCAATCGAGCCAGTTACTGCACTGTTTTTGTAATGTATTAATAAATATCAGTTCTGTGAGGCCTTCTGTGAACCTTGACAGAGATCAGAACATCATGTACTGGATACCATTTTTTATTTTTTTGGATACAATATAGAGATAGGCCTCCATGAGTTTGATTCTACCATATCACAACCTTTGAATAAGGGCTGCACAGGTAATAGTTTCCAAACCATGGCCATTTCTGCAGTGAACCAAAACTGATTGAAAATATGAGTGAGGGCTGCTGCAATGATAAGAGCAGATAAGGAGAACAGGGCTAAGACCATCAGACCAGGCAGGTTTTTCGAAATTTCACTGTAAAAACCAGCAATGCAAGTTTGAGAGGAGCGCCCCCGACAAATCTCGCGATAATCATGACATGCTTTACGGCAACGACGTCACACACATCAACAACAACACATGAAGCTTTAAGGCACTTGCGCGCATTTCAGGCACGATACTCAACAATGGAAAGAGCAAAAAAAAAAACCGCGGTCGGACTCGGAAGAGTCTAGGAAAAAGAAAAGATAATCTGACCGCATGGACTATGAAATTCAGACTCACACCTGAGCGGTGTCTGAAACCGCTCACTCGTTCACTCATTCACTAATCCCTATATAGTGTTTGGCATTTGAGTGCACTAGATCTGCAAGGAGTGAACGAGATGAAGTGAGTGAATTCGGACGCTGACGTTTACACTGTGCGTCGGAGAGTTGGAGCTGTCGCAGAAAAGGCTTCGTCACGCGTACTGATAAAACTCCTTTTATCTTACATTACCTACTTTATAAAATAATATTAACACCAATAACAATCATAATGACTTTATTTTGTAATTATACCTCTGTGCCAGCTTTGTAGTTTCATCGACTGAAATTGTACATCAACTCTCACGTTCACAGATGACGTGTCGTCGAGCGCCCTCCGGCGACCGTTATTATGTTCAAAACGACGATTAACGGATATTTTTCAAATCCTCCTCCACTGGATGTAATGTAATCTCTGGTTTAAACTTGCTCGCGCCGAACTTTCATGCGCGCTCAGTTCTCTCCGCATTGGATTGTGGGAAATAGGGCTTCAGCGAGTGTACATCGAATGTACACTCGAATTCAGAGAGGATTGTGGGTAAAAGTAGTGAATGAATGTAGGGAATGATGTCGTTCACTCAGAATTCGGACACCACTACAAAATGGCCGACACCCGATATAGTGCACTATATAGTGGATAGGGAGCGATTTCAGACACAGCTCTGAACTTCCCGTCTGCGTCGACGCGACTCATAGACATATACACTAGACATTACCTTGGCTACGGCAGTTCATTGGAACGAATGCGTCAATAGAGCCGCCATCTTGAAACAGGGGAGCCACTCCACTTTAATGCATCAGCGTCAATGTAGTAGACACAGGTCTAACGGAAATAAAATCACCATAAATCATCATGAATGCGATTTTTCTTGTTTTTTTGGTTTGTTCCAACGGTCAGACATGTATTTATCATTGATTCCAGAAAGAAAAAAAAATATATATATTTTTTAAAACATTCTTCCTAGTTCAGATTTCATCCGTGAACATCATACGCTGCACAAAAGTCCGCCACCATCAATGAATTCGAAGTAAAGGCAGAGATAGCAGCGTTATCTAGCTACTTCCTATGACAAGACCCCTGTTCCAAGATGGCGGCGGTTTTGACGCATGCTTAGAACCCCAAGGTGAGGTCTAGTGTACATGTCTATGGACGCGACTGTAGAGGTCGTATTTGAACTTCCTGTTGTCAGCACACAAGTCACAGGCTCAAATTACATAAATCGCGCCCCCTTTGAGCTTGATATGCTCCCTCGATGCGCACCTTTGTGGAGCCTGCACTTTTGACTTACTTAACAGTCAAAACACTTTGTGTCACGAAAGAACGGACACTAAATGGCATTTAGGGTGCCATTTAGGACAGGGCCGGTGAAACTACTTTGAAAGGTCTTGCGTGCTCAACTGTCTGCAGAACACCGAAAATGAAGTCCACCTGGCCCTTTACATGTCAGGATTGTGGGGCTTGCAGGGGAAAGAAAGGTAGCCACAGAAACGCAGACAGGATTAGTTTAGTTGGTATTAGGTGAAAGCTTCAGCTGGCCATAACACTGAATGTGTTTTTGAGACCGGAGCCCACACACGGCAGAGACGTTCAGTTCAAAACGCTAATTAGGGACAGGCAGCTGTTTACTAGAGCGTGGGGGGAGCCGGTTAGCAATTCCACAGCATAGAAATCCACCCCCCCATCGCTGTTAACTCTATAGAGCCGACCTGCGTCACAAATTCACAATCCTGTCTGTTTTTCACAGAGCATCAATGATGGTGGACGAGAGGGCCCGTCTATGTAAAACCTGAACGCCACTTTCTCAAAATGACTCAGACAAGAGACAGACTGGCCTTATTCAATTAGACTGGCATCAGGGTGCAGCTGACAGCAGGTGATGTCACATGGTTGGTTGGAATATTTCATCTGGGATACAATAGGATCATTTTGGGGGCCTATGTATTCCTTAGCTGACACTAATATGATCCCAGGAGGCATCACAGTACCATTATTTGTCATCAGTACCACTGTACCATAAAACTACAGAGATTTTTTCACTTATGTAACTACTACACCAAACACAAAAACAAGAGGAATGTGTTCAGAATGGCATGTCACATCCTGCATGAAATATTGCATACCATAATGCAAACGCACCAGTGATGGGTAAGTTACTCTAAAAAAGTAATTAATTACTAGTTACCTCAACAGTGTAATTAGATTACTGTACTGATTATTCTCTCTAAAAAGTATTTAATTACTAATTACTTTCGAAATCTCATATCAATCTCATCCAGGATAGACATGAATCTGTTTTAATTCTTTCAAATAAATACTATAAAATGACATTATAAAAACATACTTTTTTAGCATCAGACAATAAATTTTGATGTTAAACCCACTATTGTTTTATGTCTAATCTCATGACATCTCACACTTTTTTCATACATATTTTACACAAATTTGTACGAGTGCGGTCGTAATATTTAGACACCTCATAAAATGCATACGAATCGCTGTGAGATCGGATTGATCTATACACAGTATTTACCTCAATTACATCAGAAGTAACTGTAATTAAATTACTAATAAATTAAGAGTAATCCCTTACTTTACATTTTCAAGGGAAAAGTACTTAGTAATTAGTTACACCCAACACTGAAATGCACTCAACTCAACCTTCCATTTCCAGTGAGATAAATGAATTATTATGACCTATTTTATGATTTATTAAAATAATTTCTTTCTATGATTATAGTGATCCTGCTCACATATACTGTATATCTAAAAATCTTTTTTTTTCTGAAATGATAACTGATCACCAGTGTTATTTGAAAACAATATTCAAAAATGTATCTTCAAAGTAATGCATCTCACGGTTTAACATACACTAACATTCCAGCGAAAATTAGAGATATTTGTTCAGAGCTGTCCTTTGAATTCATAGGGACCAGGGAGAAGGAACCATTTCCGGTTGTGTTAGAAATGGCATGCATTATTAACAGTAATGATCAAATTGTCAAGCACAATTTGAGTGATAATTGAGCGTTTATGCCTGCACCCTGTTGCTGTGTTTTACAGTTTCACATTTGTGAGATATTCATGGAGAAAGGTACAATTAACTCTTGGTAAAAAGCAGGTGCAAAAGGAAGTGTCGAATGAACTCTAAAGATGCTGACCCAAATAACGTTATATAAAAAAGTATTGCGAAAGCAGCGTTAAATGTTATTTACACATAAGTTGATCGAAGCGTGAAACATGAAAATGAAGTCAAGTACATCAGAGGACACCTGTGACCAGCATGCCAGTAACCTACATTATGCTGAACTATTATGCTTTATAATATTTTCACTTTAAATTAAACCTGCAAAACATCCACTACCACTTTTTTAATGCTGCCAAGCAATCTTGTTTTCTACGGAAGCATATTCACTTGAAGAAACAAAATCTACTCTGTTTTCCTGAATTAATGAGTTAATTATCTGAGATCATTTTTCATGGAAACATTTTTTTGCCCTGCATTTGTCTGAATTAATGACTCGGAAATTCGGAAAAACGGGGCAAAAACTTTTTTTCCATGAAAAATGATCTCGCATTTCTGAGATAATTAACTCATTAATTCAGAAAAACAGAGTAGATTTTGTTTCCTCAAGTAAATGAAATACGCTTCCGTAGTTTACCTTAATGGGTCATTGTCAGGATATTTTGCTTTGTGCCTAAAATATTTGTTGTTGTTTTCTGATTTTTTAAAATCATTTTATTAAAAAAAAAAATTTGCTTCCAATAATAAATCATACTTCTGATTCTGAATAACAAAAGGAACCAATTACATTTTTTAAAATTTTAGTTTAACTAATTAATTTAGTTATTTTATTTTAGTCTATCATTTTAATTTTTTTTTTATTAAATTAGCTATTGCATAATTATTATTACATTTTATTGGCTGTATAAGTAATCAACTTAAAGGGATAGTTCGCTTTGAAATGAATTTTTGGTTTGTTTTAGCTTACCTCAAGGGCATCCAAGATGTAGGTGTCTTTGTTTCCGCAGTAGTTTCAATTTTGATATTTTTAGGTCAAAGCGTTCTTGTCTGTCAGTCATATAATGGAGGTCTATGGTCACCACCTCAAAGAGCATGCACAGAGAAGTCCAAATTAAACATGATTTAATGACTCGTAAATGTAATGGCCTAAGACACGAAATGAGCGGTTTGTGTGAGAAAACCAACAGTATTTATATCGTTTTTACCTCTTGAGGTGGTGACCATAGACCAGCATTATATGACTGACAGACAAGAACGGTTTGACCTAAAAACATAAAAATTGAAATGACTGCAGAAACAAAGACACCTACATCTTGTATGCCCTTGAGGTAAGCTAAAACATACCAAAAATTAATTTCAAAGTGAACTATCCCTTTAAAGATTTGCGTTTTTTCTACAAATTATTAGGTTCCTCTAACTCAATGCAGCTTGTTGGTGTTGGTTGAATGTAAATTCACTCAATGTTGTCATAACTAAAAAAAAAAAATGTATGCAAACTGTTGCGTTAATTTTTTTTTGTTGAGTCAACACATTTTAAATTTGAGTGTATTTAAATGTAATGGTTATGAACAAGGACATGCAAACTATATAAATATATATACAAGTTCAGTGTCCTGTTAATTATATCAGAAGCATGGTACTGTTTGGTGAGAACAAACCATCAAACATCGCTGTGGGAGACTCATTAAAGCATTAATAACCTGTTGACAGTCGCAGACGGCTGCCACACTTAAATGTGTTTGTGTGCTTCGACAACACAAGATGTTGCTCAACCATTTTCTGAATGCTACAATAGTATAGAAACCCTTTCTACAAATCAGTTTTCTGAAAGAGCCAAACTGTTCATTCTCATCCCTTTGATAACATTCTCGCATCTTCCTTCTGTGTCAACCCTGCTCAAAGTCGAAGACAGCAGCGAACACATTTGATGTGTATACTTATGTTTTTTGATCGTACTCCACCTTCAGCAACATGTTCAAATTCTTATACTTTTCCAAATGATTACATTTTTTCCACATGTAAAAATTAGGAATTGCGCACTCACCGGGCTTACATGTTTTGTCTCTTCAATCTCACAGACGAATTTCAAGAGTAATCTGTCTTCAAGCCCGCTGGCATTGCGCCTGGTCGTTTGCTCCGTAGGAGAACCATTGAGCGGTATTAAGCCCACCTCAGGGACTCCATTGATGGGTCACAGTGGAAAAGACTCCGGCGTGTGGTTTCCAGCTGTTCGCTTTGATCCGGATTCAGCCCACCCTGATGAGCAGCAATTCAACACATCTCACCAGGTGAAAGAACTAGTCGATGCAGAAAAAAAAGGATCATTCCAGGTTTTCATTCCAGGTTGCCTCAGTCGTTCCCTCTGTCCATCGAGGTTCACAGCCTCCTTATCGGTGGTGCGAGGGTACGGGGGGCTTGGCATGCGCTTGCCTCCGTTGTCATGGTTGCGGGATGGAGTGTCGTCTCTAGCCCTGCTCTACCTCAGTCTGCCTCGGTGCCGCTCTGACTAGCTGTTCTCTCTCTCTCCCTCACTCTTGCAGCAGCATCCCTCCAATTCCCCGTCCCCATTCTCTCTCCCCTCCTCTTCGGCACCCAGGTTGTTTTTTGGTTGTTGTCATCTTGAAGAGCTACGACGAGTGTTTCTGTTTCCAGCTGTTCACATTAATGTGCCTGGGCACTTCGTTTTGCTCGCTGGGAATGACATGAGTGGCACAGGTGCTTGATTGGCGACAGCTCAGCCCACTGGAGAACCAGGCAGATGTGTGCGCTAGATTCACTCATTTACATTTATTCATATAGCTGACGCTTTTATCCAGAGCGACTTACAATTGCTGTATATGTCAGAGGTCGCAGTCGCACGCCTCTGGAGCAACTAGGGGTTAAGTGTCTTGCTCAGGGACACATTGCACTCTCAGAAAAAAAGGTACAAAAGCTGTCACCAGGGCTGAACCTTTTTAAAAGGGACACTTTTGTACCTAAAGGGTGCATATTGGCACCTTAATGGTGCATATTAGCACCTAAAATGTACATATTAGCACTTAAAATGTGCATATTAACACCTAAAATGTACATATTAGCACTTAAAATGTGCATAATAACACCTAAAATGTACATATTAGCACTTAAAATGTGCATATTAACACCTAAAATGTACATATTAGCACTTAAAATGTACATATTAACACTTAAAATGTACATATTAGTACCTAAAAGGTACATATTAGTACCTAAAATGTACTTATTAACACTTAAAATGTACATATTAGCACCTAAAATGTACATATGAACACTTAAAATGTAAATATGATATTAGCAACTAAAATGTACATATTAACACTTAAAATGTACATATTAGCACATACAATGTACATATTAGCACCTAAAATGTACATATTAACACTTAAAATTAAAATGTACATATTAACACTTAGAATGTATATATTAGCAACTAAAATGTACATATTAACACCTAAAATGTATATATTAGCACCTAAAATGTACATATTAACACCTAAAATGTATATATTAGCACCTAAAATGTATATATTAACACTTAAAATGTACATATTAGCACATACAATGTACATATTAGCACCTAAAATGTACATATTAAAACTTAAAATTAAAATGTACATATTAATACTTAAAATGTACATATTAACACTTAAAATGTACATATTAACGCCTAAAATGAATATATTAGCACCTAAAATGTACTGAATAGCACCTAAAATGCACATATTAACACTTAAAATGTACATATTAGCACCTAAAATGTACTTATTAGTACCTAAAATGTACATATGTACAAAACATATGTTTCAGGAGAAGAGCAGACTTATTCTTTCTACGCAAACCACAACAGTCGCAAGACCGTTGTGTGTTTTTGTAATGTAGACCATAACGATATAGTTTTCAAAAACTTGCAGTTCGAAACCCTCAAAACACCATTGTCATGTAAATGGATGGCCAAAACGCATAAAAAGTTTGCCATTTTTAGTTGAAAATGGTGTGATGTGCACAGAAGGCAGCATATACACCACTATCATGTAGGAAGCATGCCTATGTTGACTCACATAACTCACAGTTGAAAACAAGACATGTGCCAAGTGATGACAACAGCAAAGTAATTCAATTAAAATGGATTTGAATGGCACTTTACACAATACAAATCTCGCTTTAAGAATAGAATAGCGCCTCAGAAGCCCTCAACAAACAACCCAAAGCCGACTCTGGCAGGAAAAACTCGAAGATCTTGAAGCCTACACAACATAAGCTCACCTAAGCTAAAACTTTAACACTACTCTCTCGCTGCCATGCAGGCACATTGTGATGGAGCAAAACTATCAATTGAAGTTTAAATAGCGAGAGATTACCTGAGAGAGGGAGGAATAAAGACAGGAGTGGCTGCATCCAGCTGAGAATTCAGAGTGATTCGACACAGGCCACACCTGGAGACAATCGGCTTAGTCTGTTACAGACGCTTGGGGAAATCATTCGCTTTTGCAGTGGAGGGCTTGTCGCATTGTGGAAAATCAAGCCGCCACTGACACAGAAAGCTCAGCAGCCAAGAGAGACAGACAGGGAACATTTGACAGAATGCTGCAACACTTGTCTGTGCTGTGCCAGAACTGTTTATAAACTCACCTAAAGAATTAGGAACACCTGTTCAATTTCTCATTAATGCAATTATCTAATCAACCAGTAGATCTAGTTGTTGATCTTTGTTAGTTTTCAATGAATTAATGATCTCAAGTCTAGATCTATGAGAGTCATTTCTCCCACTGGATGGTCTCTTAATTAGCCTTTAAATGCCTGAAACGATCGCACACGCAATTTATAGTCATGATAATTAATGGGGCAAGAAATGTTTTTCTCTGTATGGCATCATATGTCCAGAGGGATTACAACATGAATTCAGTATGGACTTTTATGCTATTTTAATGATCACGTCAGTAACCAGTAAATTAATTTTTCATCACACCTATAATACATATGAGTGTATCTTTTGCATAATTATTTTAAAAAAATATATTAGAATGTTTTAAAATTATTATTTTATTTTTTACATATGAAGAGTTCAGATGCAAAAGCCTCTAAGTGCCATTTGAAATTTTCTTCTAGAATGATCATTTTTATCAAACTTGTATATTTAAGTTCAGTAATTTCACTTAAATGGCAATGATAATTACCTATTAATTGTTATTTAAGTGAAATTACTGAACTTAAATATTCAAGTTTGATAAAAATCATCATTAAAGAAGAAAATTTCAAATGGCATTTAGAGGCTTTTGCATCTGAACTCTTCATATTTTAAAACCTTACCATACCACACAGGTTTCCACATCTTGATTGCATCACATTGTGCCAACAAAGGTGTGGTAGAAACCATAAAAAGTGAAGAATTTAAAAAATATATATATTATTTTTATTTTTTTAATAAATAACAAAAGATTCTACCAAACTACTCAATAAGGCTTTCTTTCTCAATATTGTTTTTTTCTAAATCATTTTCAATAATTGTATTCTCTACCTAAACTTAATGACACCAAATACACTTTAATAAACACATGCTCCAAAATAACACATTGTATGTATGTGAATTGCATTGTATTTTGAAATAAATTCATAAATTTAGGATAAAAAATTTGAATCACGTCATGACCCACAAACTGGACTGTGTGTGATAAAGAGCATTATCAAAAAAGCATTATTAGGTTTAGGGATTAGTGGCGTACGTTATTTTACAAACATGATGGAGCATTAAAGGAGTAGGCCTAGTTCACTTTCAAAAAAAAAAATTGGTGATAATTTACTCACCCCCATGTCATTCAAGATGTCCATGTCTTTCTTTCTTCAGTCGTAAAGAAATTAAGGTTTTTGATGAAAACATTCCAGGATTTTTCTCCATATAATGGACTTCAATGGGGTCCAAACGGTTCAAGGTCCAAATGACAGTTTCAGAGCAGCTTCAAAGGGCTTTAAACCACACCAGACGATGAATAAGGGTCTTAAAACATAAAAAACAAACAAAAAAACAAAACAGTTTCTGACATTAGCAAGCTTCTGCATTAGGTAATCATAGCTGCTAACACACAGACCCTTGAAGCTCCGCCCACTGTAGCTTAAAATGCATTTGCATTTAAAGGGCCAGACACAAAACGGTGCGTTTCGCTAACCCTTAAAAAGAGACATTTTTAACATGCTATATAAAAATTTCTGTCGGGTATTTTGAGCTAAAACTTCACATACACACTCTGGGGACATCTTGTGAAAAGGGCATTAAATTAATTTCTGTTGGAAACTGCAGTGATATACACGTGTTGGTGCTTTGCAAAAATGTTGCCACTGGTAGCCTACGTTTTTTCCAATGAGCCAGTGTTTTTCTGTTTGGGGTGGGTGCAGGAACGCATCGCCTCAGTTTCAATTGATCTCCAGCAGTGGCACAGCATCATTAACCCGCACTGCAGGCAAGCAAATACTGAAGCACATGACGCTCCAGCAGAAGGACTGCAGCTTAACGGACGCATGCCAATGCATATCATAAGATGATCAAATCATAGTAGTCTTAAAATATGAAAAATGAGATCTGTATTAATTGATTCACTTCCTATAATAATGTCTGCACATTATTTCCCAGTATCGGCCTACATACAAAGGTTCTTTATTGGAATATGGCTCTGTGATTAAAGTCTATGGAAGCTAAAGGTTCTTTATAGTGGACAGAAGAGCCTTCAGATTAGTAAAATATTTAAGAAAAACAACTTTTCACTGAGAGGTTATTTGGGGAACCAATAAAAGGCAACACCTTTTTTCAGAGTTTCTGATTACACCCTGGTGATTCATTCTGCCTATATGTGTAGGGCAGCTGCAAAGCCTCTTGGGAATGAATGGATGAGTCCAGAGGCAATCAGACGAGGCGATGACAAGGGCACGGGGGCTTCCGGTCAATAAAGCCATTAAACACCCAGTCAGAGCACAATACACTTTAAACAATGCACATATCAGCTGCACAAGAGGAACAGTGTGAGTTATGCATTACATTTCAAATTTTGTAACAAGTCACATCAATTATTTCTCTTCAAATCTGTCTATGACCTAAAAAAAATGCAGCCTGGAGTGTCATGCTTTTTAAGGGATAGTTCACTTTGAAATGAATTTTTGCTATGTTTTAGCTTACCTCAAGTGTATCCAAGATGTAGGTGTCTTTGTTTCCACAGCATTTTCAATTTTGACTTTTTTTGGTCAAACCATTGTCGTCTGTCAGTCATATAATGGAGGTCTATTGGGATCTCCTCAAAGAGCAGCACAGAGAAGTCCAAATTAAACATGATTTAATGACTCGTAAATGTAAGTACACATTGATGGCCTAAGACACCAAACGAGCGGTTTGTGTGAGAAAACCAACAGTACTATTTATAAAGTGTTTACCTCTTGTTAACAGCCGTCGAACTGATCTGAATCAGATGTCCAACAACCGAACCAGTGAACCGTCTCCAGACGTTACGCCGGAAGTGATCTTTCGCGCGTCTATGTCACGCATTGTTTACACGGAGATTTCGGAGGTTTTACCTTTCACTAAACATATTTAGATATATCGAAATCGTCTTCCATTGCGATTTCCCGTATATCTAAATGTGTTTAGTGAAAGGTAAAACTTCCGAAATCTCCGTGTAAACAATGCGTGACGTAGACGCGGACGCGCGAGAGATCACTTCCGGCGTAACTTTGGAGACGGTTGGTTCGGTTCCGTTGAGGATTTTTAGGATAGCCCAAATCCATGGCAACAACATGCAAACCGCTTCTGTATGCAGATTTCAACAATAAACCCAATAAACATCATTAGTGTTGATAGCTTCATGATCTGATATAAATGGGGCCTGTGATAATGTGATATTTGAGGATATATTCCTCAAAAGCCTAATGGATCCTTTTTTAAGACATTTTTTTTTTCTAAAAATCAATAATGTATGACTAATCAAGTAAACATATGCTGCTTCAATCCATACTACTAACAATATAAAAACTATCCCTAAGTTTACTTAAAAAATATGTAAATATTTCACAGCAAAAAAGGCATGTACCACAACCTGATGGTGGACATTTTTTAAAAAATTATACAAAAAACGTTACACTTGATTAAAATAAAACGTTGAAACTATCAATCAGATGACGTGGAAGATTAAGTAACCAGTTTTTCAGCAAAGTTGATCATTATGATAGGCTTTATGGCTAAAATATATGGAGCATAAATTAGGGCTTTGTGATATTAAAACCATTCATTGCAGAAGACAAGACAATGTGAAAGCATAACTAGATGCATATCCTGACAGTGAGAAACTGAATTCAATATTGAACATCAACATATTGATAGTCTACACTGTAGTCATCAATCTGCGTTAAAAAAAAGGGGAGGTGAGCATGTTGAATTATTAGATCCAAAATATGTTATGTATTCACACAGAGGCGTTGTTTTTTCTTTTTCTTTTTCTGGAGCAGTGAAATATAACTAATCAATCCTCGTCTGACATTAGAGATTAACGTATCGACCTGGGAATCATTTTATCTCATAATATGTCAGTAATCATGTCACGTGTGTTTCGATCAGCTTTTTAGCACAAGAAATATAGTGATACCAGTTCACAAATGTTTTTTTTTTTCTAGTCTTTTGATTTAATCGTTCAAACAGGTTTGAAATTGTTTGTGATTCGGTTTGATCCAGCAGTTCACTCACATAGTGAATCGTTGACAGTGGATTCTCAAATTGAAATAGTAACAGGATATTTTATAAGACAAAAAAATAAGAGCTTTATTGAGCGTGCAGAAAAATAATATATAAAATAATAAAAAAAATAATATGCTTTATCTAATCAATAAAATTGTGGCAACATATTACAAGAAATATTATTAATTAAATTGTACAAATTAGAATTAATTAGAATGTTAATTTGATTAACTATTACTCAATTCTAATTTGTTCAATTTAATAAATAATATTGCTTGTAATCTGTTGCCACAATTTTATTGATTAGATAAAGCATATTCATTTTTACAGTGTAGACATTTGTTAATAAAATTGTATTTGGTAGCCAACAGAATGCTTTGAAAGTGCTCTATATTTCCATGAGTTAAATTCCACTTGGATTGCTTTATCATCTAATGCAATGACAATCATGTATTTTTAAATATACCTCAAAGGTTCAAATACATTTTTGGGCTCATAGCCTATCTCTCTCTATCTCTGTGTGTGTACCAGTAGGCTGGTAGTTATAATTCCATTGGCCCTTTTATTTTGCTAATGTCTTTTTGCAGTATAAAAGCAACACTTGGTGACATCACATTAAATATAAATGGCCTGGTTCAGTTCTCATGGGAATATCCGCAGGGCTTTTCACAGCCTTTTGACACTTTGCTGCTGTTCTCCACATACCACAACAACTCTGTTTGTTATTAAGGGAAAGGTCTTCTATCAAGCAGGATGGCAATTCAATAAACGACTACATATATTTCAGGCCACAACTACACAGACGACGTTTAAAGGGGTGGTTATGATTTCACTTTTCTAACTTTAGTTAGTGTTTATGCTCAAACAACATCTGCACAGTTACAACGCTTAAAGCAAAGGGAGATATTTCCTTTAACAGAAATAGCTTTTTAAGGACTACAACAAACAACTGATAGGAACACAAGCTAAAATTTACATAAACCCCGCCCCCGGGAACATGCAACAAATGGTCCATGACAAGAGGGAGAGGAGTTGTAGTAGGCTAGAGCACATTTGTGAGAGTCTGCTCTAGCTGTCGCATCCATCTTTTTTACATTTATTGGCAATACAGTACGTAACGCGAATGCAACAGCATGTCACTCTGTAGGAATCTTACTACAGTTCCCACACTAACGATTTATAGATTATCATGACAGATTATGCTAATCAATGACTTGAAGATAGTTAACTCCACATCCACGACCGCTACATAAACTTACCATTCAGAAACGTCCTGTTAAATGTTATCACTTCTTCTCATCATCGTCAGATTCCAGCTTAAAATAAGACAGACCAGTTTCTGACATTTTAGTCAGTCCCTCCAGGATTTCAGGATTTTTTTTTTTTTTTTTGTGATATTTGCGGGCAAAATGACTGATTTTGTGGTGGTAATTTCCAAAAATTTGTGAAAATATTTGCGATTTATATATAACATTTACCATAGTAGTGTGTGTCTGGACGAGCTCTTGAAGCTCCGCCCTCTGTGTCGGGAGCAGAAGCTCATTTGCATTTAAAGGGACACACACAAATAGATGGGTTTTTTGCTCACCCTCAAAAAGGGACAATTTTAACATGCAATAAAAACTGATCTGGGGTATTTGGGGCTAAAACTTCACATACACACTCTGGAGACATCAGAGACTTATTTTACTAGTGAGAAGGGGCATTATACCACCCCTTTAACCCCTTTTTTTATTTAAAGCTTGTAATCCTGTTACAAAATTTGCGTTCTTGAGCCATCAAACACCGTTGTCTTGCAAATGAGCAGCCGAAATGCATTGAATGTTTTCTGTCTTCGAATGGTTTCGTGTAAGCGGCCCCCCAAGTTAATAACTAACGATCTTTGCAACAGAAGTGAATCAATCAAAACCGTAGAAAAAAAAATGTGCCCACCCCTATACACTCATATTTAACTTACATGTAAAATATTTTTTTACATGCATTGCAATTTTAAATTCAACATGTTGAGAAACTCTTTTCCCCAATTTTCACACATCTGCATTGATCATGTGTAATTCTAAGCACATTAGATTGACTCTAATACTTGTTAGTACTGAATAAATAGAAAGTAACATTTCTCATGCTGTCTGCCATTTTGAATGATTTTGAACTGCATTCTGGGAATGTCCTGTCTCATAATTTGGTCAAACTATTTCTATACAAGACTTTCCCAATTACCCTTGAAAAAGTAAACAAGTGATCAGAATCAAACAGGAACTAGACGCTCAGCTTTTGCACAGCTTTTACATTTGGCGCCTATTGACATCTAGTGGTTCACTGCAGTCATTGCATTCAGATGTTATTGAATAGAGAGAGAAAAAAACAAAACAAAAAAACACAAATCCAAATTAAATGAGCACTCTTAAAAGAAACTACCATTTATCACTTTATTGATAACATTGACAAAATACCCCAAGTATTTACATACTACATTGAACATTTTGCAGACAAGAAAGTGAAATGAATCATTTGAGATCTAAAAATGCCATGTTTATTTCAAATCACAGTGTCACCTATACATAAAAAAAGAAAGAAAAAAAAGGTAACAATTGAAGGTGCAAATAAGAGCTTTCCCCAGCATTTGATCATTTGCCTCCGGTTAAAGCTGAAAATGTCCCCAGACTCTCCACACATAAAATTATCAATGTAATCATTCAAAATTACACAAATAATATAAACGCACACCACAAACATCCTTTCAACAATGCAGGAAGCTGATGTGGCCGAACGGAAAAAATGAAACCTTAAATCTATCCACAAATTGTGCATTTTGAAAGCTGGGAGAATAAAAAAACAAAACAAAAAACTTTTAAGTCAACAGCCATACAGAAACACACCACTTTAAATAGTTTTAAAAAGAGTATGTACTGCTACCACTTTGTTTATTGTCGAACGGTGTGGAAATATTTTGCTTTTGCCAATGCAGTTTAATAGCAAGCTGTAACAGGACCACCAGCAAACCCGGCATTGAGAATTTGGTTGTCTGAAGTCAGAGCTTGCATGCATTGGGCTTGTCTACTGGTGATCAGTGTATAGCAGCCTTGACATCAAGACCTCTTAGACTTAAACTAATTGGCAGCGATCAAATAACTTACTGCTCAATTAGGGGGAAAACAAGTTCTTTAGTCATCGTCGTCATCATCATCATCATCCTCTTCTTCCTCCTCGTCGTCTTCATCTTCGTCGTCATCATCTTCAACCTTGGGTTTGGATTTGGCAGATGACGCCCCTCCGCTTTTATCTCCCTTTCTTTTGTAGTCCGCCATATCCTGAGAAAGCAAAATTACAACATGAGAAATTGAGAATTACAACCGTTTAGGAGTTTGGGGTTGGTAAGATTTAGGCTTTTGAAGTCTCTAACGCTCACCACAGCTGCATTTGATCAGTAAAAACAACATTACAATTTTATTTATATACATACACAAATTTAAAAAAGCTGGGACTTTTACAATAATGATAAAAAAAAAAATTGTTTAAAGCATTTATTTTTAACAAATATTTACTACCTTTATCAATTTAATTTATTTTTGCAGAATAAAAATATAAGCGTACACTATCGTTCAAAGGTTTGGGGTCTATTTAACAAATCCTGGAAAAAAAAAAAAAAACCTTACACCTCTTAAAACCGGTCAAACAGAAATATTAACCAGCACAACGGTTTAATGTTGATATGTCAACAGAAGTAGCATTAGAATGATTTCCCATACGACACTGAAAACTGGAATAATGGATGGCTGCTGAAAATTCAGCTTTGCATGACAGGAATAAAATTACATTTTAAAATGTATATATAAAAAATATTTCACATTACAGTTTACATAGTCAATCTAGGCTGCCCATAATAGTCACAAGAAGTGGCAAAGTCAGTCTGTGAGGGACAGATCGTTAACAGTGGGTTCTTGTGGTGATTAGTACAGTACTTTACAAACTTTTACCCATCAATATCGTTTGAAACATGGCAGTACTTTACTTGGCCGCTCGCTCTAATGTTAAGCAAGTGCTTAAGCGTGTAATTGGCTATTACATTATGTATTTAAGTAATTAAATAAACGTGCAAGTAGTCGACTAATGGCTTAAATGATCGGCTACTTGTCAACTATAAAAATCTTTACTCATTCATTCTTCAACCACTATTCAAACTGTATAGAGGACAACATTTGAGGTCATTCTCCACCTTCTGATACTTGTCCTTCAGTTTGTTGGCCTTGGATAGGAAAGGCTGCTTCTCAGAGTCAGACAGATTGTTCCACATCTCTCCAAGTTTCTTGGCTACATCTCCAATGCCCAGGTTGGGGCTCTGAGCCTTGATCGCAGGCCTCTGCTCTGAACAGAACAGGAAAAATCCAGACCTAAAAAAGCAAACAAACATTTATGCAACTGAACTAGAGGTCTGAACGGGTCCGAACGGGTCCCAAAAGTTGGACCGGGACCCGTGCAGACCCGAAAAATGCCATAAATGTACTGCCCGGACCCGACCTGGACCTGTCTATTATTTGAAAACTGGACCCGAACCCGGCTGGAAGACACAAACCCGACTGGACCCGATTGTCACATATTATTGCGAAAAATAAAACTTTGCCTTACCTAATTTTAGTAGCCGTCATCTCACTTCCTTATAAGTTGATAAGCTTGATCATATCTGTGCTCTCTGCTCTTCATCGAGTCTGAATCTGACCACCAAAACTTTAAGATTAAACAAGACGGTTCATTTATATTATTGTAAACATTGGAGAAAAATGTAAAGCACGGTTTGGCAGAAGCTCTGCTCTAGTTGCCATAGAAACACGCGCTTGAGATCGCACGGGTATTTTACACGATATTAAACAGACCCGGGACACGAAGTAATAGATTCGGACCCGACCAGGACGATCATTTAAAATAAAGACCCGAACCGGTCCTGGGTCGGGTCCCGGGCCGACAGGTCTCGGGTGCACTGTGAAAACCTCTAAACTGAACCACATTTATAAAGTAATTCTGGATGGAATAAAGGACAGAAAACATACGCTGGCCGCCTTGGAGCATTAGGATCCTTCTTCTGCTTCTGGCCTTTCTTTCCTGGATTGTAGTGCATCATTTCCTGGTCATATCGGGCCTTGTCCGTTTTGGCCAGGTCATCAAATTTAGTCTTTTCTTTCGGTGACATAGTCTGCAACAAATGACAGTTCAAGATCATTTTATTCATTTTGCATTGAGTTCAGGAGATAAGACACCTAGAGACAGGAATAATCTACTTACTTTCCATCTCTCAGAGCACTTCTTGGAAAATTCTGAGAAGTTAACTGAGACACCAGGGTTCTTCTTGTTGTGCTCTTCACGACACGTCTTCACAAAATATGCATAGGCGGACATCTTGCCCTTGGGCTTCCCTGGGTCACCCTTTGCCATTATTATGAAGTCACTCAAATATCACCACACCTAAAAGTACCCAGATCATTTAAGAAAAACAAAAACAAAAAGCAGCATGCATGTCACCTGGAGAACCACAAATGATTAGGTGCCAGTTTTATTGCATATAAAATGCTTCTTTTCATTCAACATTATCCATGGGACATCACATCCCTAGAGACGTTCAGTTTAAGAAACCAGAAAATGAATATTGATAAATTTTTAAATGGAATATTGCAATATATATATATTATCATCATCAAGTCATGTGCCTCACAAATCGAAGGAAGATTGAATAACTTCATGGGAATGGGCAGGTGCTAAAGAATAATTTTGGTGCAAATTGTTTGGATTATCTGTTTTTGGACTTTTTTTGCATTATCAGGAGTAATGATTGAACTGAATTAATGTGGGCTACCATCAATTACCATCCTTGTAGCCTTTAAATACTTGCAAGTTATTTAAAAAAATGTTTAAATTAACTTAAAGAAAATAAGATTTATATTAATGCAACCAAAAACGTTACTAATATACACTCTGGCTATGTTATTAACATATACACATACACACACACACATTATATATATATATATATATATATATATATATATATATATACACACACACACACACTTGTTCTATACACCGTCCGAGGTGCCGGGCCCTTCAAGCACTGTTTTGTTTAATTTTTATGTTGTGAAACGCAAACTAATGACAGAAACCACATTTTATTTTTAAATGTAGATTCTGCAAATAATTGAGTATGCCTCATATCAGTGTAATTCAAAGGCGTGACTAGTTTATAGGCAGGCAGTGTGTGAAGAAGGCGAATGACTAACCGCGTCTCCTCAATCAGACGCTATTCATTAAAATGGCCTCTATCAGCCGCGAGGAACAATGACTTGCACCCCCATTTTCAACAAGAGACACTTCGAGGTCATGAATTAGCGAGTAACTTTTCAAAGTCGACATTTTAAAAGTCCTCCATAAAACACAATGAGCCGCGAGGCAAGCTTTTGTAAAGTTTAACCAGTTTCACACAGCACGCCAAATCACGAATCCTACTACTGTGAAGGTTTAAGACACGAGTCATGAATATTAATTACGCACAGTGACGTTCGTCCCGCATAGCTAATTGATTGGTTGCCATGCACACGCAGTTAGGTGGGCGTTAAGGGAATTAACGAATCCTACTATAGTGAAGGCGTTCGTATTATATTAAGTCAAGTCACGCTGTAGAGACTTTACGTAGCAACGTCATCGAATTAATTAATATTCATGAGCCAACACTTCACCATAGTAGGATTCGCAAATTCGCGCCCGGCACAAACCCGTTTACAACAAAGGCAGAGTCAAACCAGCCATGACTGGCACTGGCTGCTGTTAACAGAGCTTTAACGGCTCAATGCTCGCTTTAACCAGCAAATATACGAAAATATTAAAATATTACACAGCAAACACAGCCATGATACACGGTGTACTTCACGACAGACTTTCAGGCCATTTAACAACCCGTGTTTTGTTTGAGGCAAATTTTTATTTCGCCAGCCATTTTAAAAGCATGTTCGTCACCCAACTTCGGTTTAACCGACAAAAAGGTAGTTTTTTAGACCTTAAAAGGAAAGCAAAATGGTTTTAGAAGAACGAAATAACGTTACACACCGTTAACATTTCACTGGAAATCAGTTTGTACACGACAAAATGGTTAGTTATACATAAAGTATCGTTTATGTAACAAAAAAAGGATTAAAAAAATTAAAATAAGATTTTAAAAAGAACATCATGCAACAATTCATAGTTTAAAATTGTGAGCTTTATATATACCTTCTTAAATGTTTGTCCTGTCGTCTGTTCTCCACAGTCAGTCTCACTAACGGCCTCGCGCTTCCTCTCTATAGAAGACCACACAGCCTCGCGCTAGCTCACTACGAGAGCCGCCTGATTGGTTAGTCCCGGCGCGCATTTAAAACAGCCTCCACAACTGTGGATTGGTCAAACGGTCATATATATTCATAAGACGGGCGCCGGCATTGGACAAAAGCCCAAGACACGCCCCATTATTTAAAAACAAGGCGGGAATTGCTGTCAAAACAACAAAAGTTTAAAAGGTCTGTGGCAAACCACGTGTGAGTGTGAACTACAGTGCACTATGTATTCAGAAATTAAAGACTGCATACTGCACCGTGTATAGTAATGCTTATTATAGGTGATAATACTGAGTTGAGGAGTAGAAATTGGGTTAGTTTGGCTGCCATATGAATATGTGGAGGGCCTACATAAAGAGAAAGGTGGTAATATAATTAAAATAAAGTGAAGTTACTTTTAAATTAAAGTCTAACTCGAATCCCTGAGTGGTCAAGTAATATTATTGCTCTACAACCATTTGTATAAAGGATATACTTGTTTTTAAGATTAAATGTAGCTAATGTCAAGATTTTTTTAATGTTTTATTATTAACATTTAGCTTAAATGACATTTACATGTACTTCAAACCCATGCTTTAAAAAATTTAAAAAACAAACAAAACAAAAAACTACATTTTGTCCAATTAAAAGTACATTTGCAGAGAGAAACATCAGAAATTAGATATAATGGACTACCAAAAGCAGCAGATATAGTTTTTGTAAGATTTTTTTCATCATACAACAACCTTCTGTGTTCAACATTAATATACACAATTAAACATTTAACAAATTAGACAAGTATTATAAAAATGTATAAATAACAAAATAATAAAAATTGGCATTACAAACGCATCTAGAAAACAAAATATGTTTGCATTAGGCAACTTTTAGTAATTAGTCACAGTAATATTGAATTGCATTTAAAATAATAATAGTTTATCAGATTATGTGTAAAATAAATGTGTCAGTCGCTACCACAGAGCAAATTTATCCACAGATTTTATATTATGCATGATTCTTAATTATGTTGTTTTTAATTAGTAGTAATTCATGGAGGCAATAAAAGAGCAAGAACATTCTTGCCAAAGCCACTAGTATATTTTCATATTACATTTTATTGTTAATTACAAAATTTGATTAAAAAAAAAACACACACACACACGTGTATAATATATATGTATGTGTTTGAAACCCTTCCCTTGATGAAGCTCAGATGTTAAAGCCATTAACCAAATGTGCAATTTTCGTTTCTACCCCCAACGATAAGTGACGAAATAAAAAAATAATTCAAAAAGTTATGCATAGAAAACTTATTTTATGGAAAATGTTTGTTGAACGTAGTGCTACGGGATTTAGCCATTGGCTTCATGGCCTTTAGATGGCACTCATGACCAAATGCTCAGACAGTGGTCTGCATGGGTACGCCTTCATGCTCTGAGGAAGAGAAGAAAGAGTGTGATGAAGCTGCATCTCGTTTTAGCTCCTCCACTTTCTTCTGCAACTCGGACTTCAGGACCAACAACTCCTTCAGACTCTGATGAACAGGAACCTGACAGACAGACAGACAAGGGGGAAAACATTTCAACAAATGAGAGGTTTTTACATCACAACATGTTGTGCAAAATTTCAATTAAATTACAAGATCAAATGGAAATAAACAAATACTACGAATAAAAAGGTATATATATAAATAAATACATGTCAAATGTAACAATAAATAATGCATTGATAAATAATTGTTAAATAGCATTTTTATATTTGAAGAGTTCAGATGCAAAAGCCTCTAATTGCCATTTGAATTTTTTATCAAGCTTGTTTAAGTTCAGTAATTTCACTTAAATGACAGTTAATAGGTAATCTTCATTGCCAACTTAAATATACAATTTTGATAAAAATTATCATTCTAGAAGAAAATTTCCAATGGCACTAGGAGGCTTTTGCATCTGAACTCTTCATTTTCTTTATCAAAATGCAAAAAAAGGACTCTGTACTCTAAAAATAGTTATATTAAGTTCAAGCAGGAGGTAAAACCAATAGCACAAATGTTTCATATGTTTTCTTTAACCAATTAAAATTCAGCTGACCTGAGCAACCAAGTTCATTTGTTGCTCCCAATTGTGAAGTATCTACATTATAAGCAATCAGAATTCGTTTTTACTTTTTTTAACCATGGCCAAATTTATATAAATATCACACATAAATATCAGCAACTGTACCAAAATGCATATTTTTGTTTAGTTTTGGCCTAAGCAAATAAAAATGTGGTGTTTCTCCCTCGTTGAGTATGATGTTTCAAATATGATACTCAAAAAACACATTCTTTAAAAATATTCTATAAAAAGTTCTTTTTAATGAAAGAATTTCGTCTAAATTTTCAATAAACTGAAAAAAAAATCATTATCGTGTCAGGCTTTACAGTTCACAAAACACATTTTCAGCTACTTCCACCGAAACACATGTGGAATGATGAGTTATTAAACATTATCATCTCTCACCTGTGGCCTCATGCGAGGATTCCAGCGCACATAATAACTGACCCACAGCTCTAGGTGTCTCAGACTGGCTACCGGATATAAAACATGGTGCTCGTAGTTCACATACAGCGGGTTGGTAAACTCCTCAAGCTGGCTGTTCACATATGACCATAGAGACATGGTCTTACTGTAAACCTCCTGCACAGTTAGAATGGAAAGACATGAGGGTGAGTATATCATGACGGAATTATTTTAAGCCCTGTTTACACCTGTTCACTTACTGTAAAATCTCAGTTCACATCAACCAAAGCAACAGATATGAGCTGCATTTTATTTATCATCAGCTAATTTCAACATTAAAGACCGAAATATGAGAGAGAGAGGCATCAGCACTTGTAAGATAATTTAGTCTAGTTGAGCGTCTGCGACTGACTTCCAGTTTTATTTAACCCTAAAACCGTATTCTGGACAAATATGGGCAAAATAGTTTTGATTTATTTTTAAAAAATACTTCCCTTGATCTGAGCGGTACAAGACTTGGCTACTTTTCCTAAGTTTGCCTCCTGAACACACTTTTTTTTTTTTTTACTCAATTCTACAATGTTAAGTGGGTGAAAAAAAACTCTCTAATTTTGTATTTGGGTCAAAAATGGGCACCCATAGAAATGAATGGGAAAAACTGTAATTTAGAGCATTCTAAAATAAGCCAAAATAAGACAGCTTCATCTTTAGGTTTTAGCTCTAACATGATATTTAATGTAGTTAAAAAAATAAAATATAAAAATAAGCATAATTTGCATAGAAAATATGGTACTTTTTGAAGTAAATAAATTCAAAAATACCCCCCAAATAAAAAAAAACACCAAAAATGGATAGACAAAACTTTTTTGAAGACACTGATATAACATTTATAATAAATAAAAATTAGGAGTCCTCTGTGCCCACACTTGTCCACTATTACAGGATTAAAGAGCCCCTATCATAGCATTTGAAATGTTCCTATTTTTGTTTTGGGAGTTCCCAAAAACAGTTTAACGTGCATGCAAGGATAAAAAAAACACTTTATTTGTCTTATAATATGCATTTATTTTTACCCGATTTGCTCAACGACTCCCAAATGATTCGTTCGACGATTCATTTTCCTAAACACCTCCTTTTGGTCAAATGACCCAAATGACCTTCCACTCAAAAATGGTCACTTACAACATGGTATAATATGATCTGTGGAGTAATTTGAGCTTAAACTTCACAGGGGACACTTGAGACTTCTATTACATCTTGTAAAAAAGGGTCCCTTTGAAATCCGAAGGGCATTTACCCCTGGTCTCTTCACGATCGGACAGCTATCCAGTGACAAGATACTAAACAGGCACTAAAACCAAGTGACGTAACAGTTGCATGCATCTGTTCTTGCCTTCGAGACTCGCTCTTGCTCGCTGTTGTAGAGAAATGTCCCAAACAGGCAGCTGTAGAGGTGATCAAGCACCGTGACCAGAAACAGCTCATTGAATTCAAACGCAGAGGGAAACTATGGAGAGAACAGAGGTCGTATCATACACGTTTCTTGTTTTTTTTAATCTCCACTTGCCACTTTTTCCTCACCTGTCGCGTCATTTGCCAGACACAGTCGATGAACTGCACAAAGAGAGGCGAGCGCTCGGAGTTTGCGTGATTCCCGTCTCCGTGTCCCACACGCTAACAGACAGAGGTAGATGAAGATACAGTGAGATGTTTGTACACATTCAGTGCAGTGGGTGTTTTTCCTTACATGCAGAATGTTTCTGACCGAAGCGAAGCGGTGTCCGAAGCTCAGCCATTCCTTCTCCAGCAGCACCTGGAAGCCCCTGAGCGAGCGGTAGTGCGCGTCCAGCATGAGCATGGCCAGAGAGGTGAGCTGAGCCGTGCGGTCCCAGCCATCACTGCAGTGCACCACCACTGACGTCTTACCCGACTCAATTCGGTCTGCGATGCGAACCGCACCTGCTAGCAAGAGCTACAGAATAATAAAAACAACAGTATTTAATTCGATTTAAATATCTAAATGGTAGTGAGAAAAAAAAAAGTTTAGATTTTAATTTGCATACTAACGCTACATCAATTATGCTCGTCTTTGCCCGTTCATTTAAAGGTATCTTGAGTGAACACCAGTTTTCACGTTCACGGCCAGATGTAGTAACAGTGAAATTAACGTAAGAAGGTGCGTTCCGCCAAGTAAACTTCATGTCTGGCGTACTGTACGTACATTTGCCTTGATTTTTGCCCGTTGGCGACTCCTAGAGGCAATAAGGTGAAGTGGCAAACATTACGAATTGTTCTCGCACCAACAGCTGTCAGATATTGCTTAATAATATGTCAAATAATGTACCAATTACAAATTATGTCACACGAGTCTTATTAAAATATTATATTATGCAATTAATTAAGAACATATGAAGAGTTCAGATGCAAAAGCCTCTAAGTGCCATTTGAAATTTTCTTCTAGAATGATCATTTTTATCAAGCTTGTATATTCAAGTTCAGTAATTTCACTAAAATGGCAATTCATAGGTAATCTTCATTTTCATTTAAGTGAAATTACTGAACTTAAATATACAAGCTTGATTAAAATGATCATTTTAGAAGAAAATTTCAAATGGCACTTAGAGGCTTTTGCATCTGAACTCTTCATATATAAAGTATGTGCAAACCTGTCTGGCAATGGCAGCGTTGGCATAACTAGGAATAAAAAATAAACTTCATTAATTCGATCAGTAAAGATAAAAAAAGAAAGAAATATTTTTATTCAGCAAGGACACATTGAATTTGTTTAAAAGTGCCAGTAAATGCATTTATAATGTTACAAAAGATTATAAGATTTCTATATGCGTTTGATTTAAGTTTTTATTCTTTAAAGAATCCTGAAAACGCTATATCACGGTTTCCATGAAAATATGAAGCAGAAGCACAGCTGTTTTCAACACTGATGATAATAATCATAAATGCTTCTTGAGCATTATATCATCATATTAGAGTGATTTCTGAAGGATCATGTGACATTGAAGACGAGTCGCCTAATGATGCTGAAAATTCAGCTTTGATCACAGGAATAAATTACTCTTTCACATATGTTCACATAGAAGACATTTTCAGTGAAATTTCGTTTCTTGCTGGCTTTATACATGTTTTTGCAGGTTTCTTTTGCCAAATTGGACTAATTAACATATTTAAATTAATTGATTTGAGAGAGGAGACTGGGTGGGTCGTTTTGCTTGTGCATGTGCGCTCATTTTTACGTTAATTTGGAAGTATGTGTGGGATACTTCGTACGCAGACATTCATACATCTGTTTTTTTTGTGCGTACGCACATTTATAGCTTTGTCCGTACGCAATGTTTTAGTATGAGTTCAACGCAAGTCTTTGTACATGAGGGCCCTGGACTGGAAGCGATGAAACCTGTTTTACAGAATACTGAACTTTATTGCACATAACCCTCAGTTACTTTTTTATGGTAATGCATGATTTGGAAATTAGTCTCAATTTATCTTTGAATTTAAGAAATTCTTCTTTAGAAGATTTTTATGAATCCAGCCCCAGAAGGTGACTTCATCAAGTGTCTCTCGACAGAATCAGCCAATTAATTGCTTGCTTGTAAATTAAAGTGAATGAAATATTTTAAAACATAATCCAGATCCTCACCCTGATGTATTCCAGCCAGTGCGTTGAATCCACAGAGGAGAACCAGTGCTGTTGGTCGATGGCAGGATACACCACCTCCTTGAGTTTCCGAAGGGATTCTCTCATCACGTGTATGTTGGGGATCTCCAGAAAGTTCAGCTCCACATTGATGTAGAAACTCTCATTCTCATATCCTCCATCTTTGGTCTATAAATGTGGAGCCACATATAAGCCATTCCAGAAAATCTGGTACAGTAGTGGGTTTGTTGCTGGCACAAGACCGTATTTAATATAGCTTGTTTACACCACAGATTGAAAAATAAAAAAGGTAATCGCGACTTTTTTATTTCTCACAATTGCGAGTTTACATCTCGCAATTCTGACTTTATATCACGCTATTCTGACTTTACATCTTGCAATTCTGAGATATAAAGTCATAATTGCGAGATATAGACAGAATTGTGAGATATAAAGACAGAATTGTGAGATATAAAGTCAGAAATGCGAGATATAAAGTCAGAATTGCAAGATATAGACAGAATTGCGAGATATAAAGACAGAATTGCGAGATATAAAGACAGAAATGCGGGATATAAAGTCAGAATTGAGAGATATAGTCATAATTGCGAGATATAAAGCAAGAAATGCGAGATATAAAGTCAGAATTGTGAGATATAAAGACAGAATTGCGCGATATAAAGTCAGAATTGTGAGATATAAAGACAGAATTGTGAGATATAAAGCAAGAAATGCGAGATATAAAGTCAGAATTGCGAGATATAAAGTCAGAATTGCGTGATATAGAGACAGAATTGTGAGATATAAAGTAAGAAATGAGATATAAAGTCAGAATTGCGAGATATAAAGTAAGAAATACGAGATATATAGTCAGAATTGCGAGATATAATGTCAGAAATGTGAGATATAAAGTCAGAATTGCGAGATATAAAGTCAGAATTGCATGATATAAAGACAGAATTGTGAGATATAAAGTAAGAAATTAGATATAAAGTCAGAATTGCGAGATATAAAGTCAGAATTGCGAGATATAAAGTAAGAAATACGAGATATATAGTCAGAATTGCGAGATATGTCAGAAATGCGAGATATAAAGTCAGAATTGCGAGATATAAAGTCAGAATTGCGTGATATAAAGACAGAATTGTGAGATATAAAGTCAGAATTGCGTAATATAAAGACAGAATTGTGAGATATAAAGTAAGAAATGAGATATAAAGTCAGAATTGCTAGATATAAAGTAAGAAATACGAGATATATAGTCAGAATTGCGAGATATAATGTCAGAAATGTGAGATATAAAGTCAGAATTGCGAGATATAAAGTCAGAATTGCGTGATATAAAGACAGAATTGTGAGATATAAAGTAAGAAATTAGATATAAAGTCAGAATTGCGAGATATAAAGTCAGAATTGCGAGATATAAAGTAAGAAATACGAGATATATAGTCAGAATTGCGAGATATGTCAGAAATGCGAGATATAAAGTCAGAATTGCGAGATATAAAGTCAGAATTGCGTGATATAAAGTCAGAATTGCAAGATATAAAGTCAGAATTGCGTGATATAAAGACAGAATTGTGAGATATAAAGTCAGAATTGCGTAATATAAAGACAGAATTGTGAGATATAAAGTAAGAAATGAGATATAAAGTCAGAATTGCGAGATATAAAGTAAGAAATACGAGATATATAGTCAGAATTGCGAGATATAATGTCAGAATTGTGAGATATAAAGACAGAGTTGCGAGATATAAAACTATTCTGAGGGGGAAAAATGTTAGTCTTTTTCCCCCCTTATAATTGACCTGATAACTCGCAACTGCGACTTTATATCTCACAATTCTGAGAAAAGATGTCAGAATTTCGTGACATAAACTTGCAATTATGTGTCATAAAGTCAGAATTTCGAGATGTAATCTCGCAATTGTGAAAAAAAAAAACTTTATTTCTCAGAATTGCGACTCCATTGTCTCGCAATTGCGACTTTATATCTCAGAATTGTTACTTTATATCTCAGAATTATGACTTTATAACACGCAATTGCGACTTTACACTCACCTAAAGGACTATTAGGAACACCATACTAATATTGAGTTTGACCCCCTTTCGCCTTCAGAACTGCCTTAATTCTCAACATGGGGACAGAACAGCATGTCATGCAATAACTGGAAAAACAAAGTAACTTGCATGACTTGTTTAAAAAAGTAACTCGATATTTTGCTGTAAATTTCAAAGTAATCCGTTACTTTACAAAGTAATCTGATCACGTAACTCGCATTACCCCCAACACTGGCTGCAGTATTTGTTCTTTAAAACGGTTTCTTACTTTGTTGGTGTCAGCCACAGTGCATTGGCGAGCATCAAAGATGCAGAGCTTGTGAGACTGAGCGTTGGCGTCGAGTATCGTCTGAAGGTACCGTTCGTCCTCCCTGCAGCGACGGTCTGACGGGCCCACCTGTGGCTGACTGCAGCGCACTATAGCGGCCTGACTCTCGGGGTGGATCCAGGACAGCACCTGAGGGAATGAGATTACATGACAGAACAAATAAAACAGCGTAGCTAAAAACCGGCGTTTTGATAGGTTATATTCACGTGGTAATACCGTCTCTCATTTTCAAGTGTGTTCCGTATTTGCAAATCGGTCTGAATTTATAAATAATGGTGATAATGAAAAGGCAAATTAAAAAGTAAGTATACAACCCAGCCACTTGATATCACTGCTTTATGTGAAAGTGACATGTGGTAAACCATAGTTGGAATTTGTCCTATGCATTTAACCCATCACACACATTCGAAGCAGTGAGTAGTGAACACACACTGCAACTGAGAATCAAACCCGGGAAGTGTGTGCGAAACACTCCTTGATTCGTTGCTGCCCTTTCGGTTTAATCTATACACATCCAGATGGCGAAGTAGTCGCTGTGCTTTTCAGATCCTCCAGGTCTTTCCGTAGGTCTTTTTCAGATCCTTTTTCAGATCCTCCAGGTCTTTTTTTTTCAGCGGGAAATTTCGTTTTTGTGATCATATTGTCGGTGTCGGGCGGAAACCTCGCATCTCCAAAACACATGCTTTTCAGGAAATGGGAAAATCACTGTAACATTTAAACTGGTTGTGGTTTTAGACACTTTGTGTGTGTCATTACATTATTAACACTTGACCAAAATCAAGTTTAAATGCACTCTAAAAAATGCTGGGTTGTTTTAACCCAAATTTGGGTCAAATATGGACAAACACAAATGTTGGGTTAAAAATGTCATTTAAAATTTTAACCCAACTGCAGCTTTCACTTTCAACTGTAATTTTTGTTAATTACATTTTTAACCCAACATTTGGGTTTGTCTATATTTTACCCAAATTTGGGTTGAAACAATCCAGCATTTTTTAGAGTGCGACGTTTTTGACCAGCGAATGTCGGACATAATGTTTCACATAATATAATTTCACATATATAATAGTTTCACAAATATAATTAATGATGCTGATATATAAAGTATTCTCTATGTATTTATATTGCATTAGAATACGCTTTGGAATTGATAAATGTATATCTGTTAGTAAACTGATATTTATGTACCCTCTCATTCTTTTTATTTTTTATTTTAATTATTTTATTTTTATTTTATTTATTTTTCTGTTCTTGTTGAGGCATGTGAAATATGTTGTATGAGAAATTACAATGTACATGCTACTTGATGTTCACAATAAAGCATTACAAAAAAAATAAATAAATAAATAAAATAAAAATAATAATGTTTTATTCGCCATTAGAACGGCTGCATCTGAGCCAATAAGTGTTACGAATTACAATTTATACGTTTACTGTAGCTATAAGTGGGCATTACATTTTTTTCTGTCATTTGGCCCTATTAAAGATGAAGGGTATTTAAGTCAGGATTGACCGTGACTCGACGACAAACATATATGTATATTAGGGCTGTGCAAAAGTTAATTGCGATTAACCGCATCCAAAATAAAAGTCTGTGTTCACATAATATATTTGTGTGTGCTGTATATAATTATTTTGTATATATAAATACCTATGCATGCATGTATATATTTAAGAATTATTTGCGCTTAAATTCTGTATATATTTATAAATACATAATCTATATTATATAAATATAAATATTTTATATATGAATAACACATTTTCTTAAATATATACATGCATGTGTGTGTATTTATATATACAAAATAATTATATACAGCACACAAACTTTAGGGCCAATTATATATTATAATATATTATGTAAACATTTAATATATTATAATATATTATATATATTATAATATATAATATAATATATATAATATATAATATTATAATATATAATATAATATATTATATTTAAATTATAATATATTATATATTATAATATATTATGTAAATTATATATTATAATATATTATGTAAACACAGACTTTTATTTTGGATGCGATTAATCGCTATTAATTTTTGCACAGCCCTAATATATATATATACATTTAGTTTTTTAGTCGCGGCTAAAAATTAAGATTTTGGACGTGGTTTTTGAACACAAAAAAAAAAAGGGTAAAATTCAACAAATTGAGCACGGAGCCGCATTGAGATCTCCATATCTATGAGACTGAAGCAGATAGGGCTTTGAAAATGGAGAGTCCAAGAGACAAATTAGTTGAGAACCAGAGAACTATGATAGCACTGATGACAAAACAGTCATATAGTATTAGAGGATATTTCAATTGGCCAAACAAAGGCTTAACTTAACTGTTTAACAAGAAAAACAAACAAACAAAAAAACCTTCTTACAGGGAAACGCCGTTTGGCCCTAAAGGCCGCCACTCTCTTCAGTTCGTCCTCGGTGACGTTTGAAGGCAGGACCAGCAGAGCAGGATACGTCTCACACACCTCATAACTGCTGTTCACTTTACTGATGATCCAGCTCTCGTTTGGAAGACCCTGCCATCAGAACATACCTCAATACCGAAATGATCACCTGTCCTGATACAAACATTTAGCATATGATATGGTAAGTGTTGATGACAGTCCTTACCTGTCTCTTGTACTCAGCGATCGGGTCGTAGATCTTCCAGCCGTCTTCTGGAAACTTCTCTCGGTATTTAAAGGCAAAGAGAGGCTGAGGGAAGAGAAGGAATGTGTATCATGAAACATCATCAGCTAGCACATCCTCACGCGAGTGTCGTATGCGGGTGTTTTCAAGAAGTCGTACCAGGTTGTGTGAGAGAGGGAACGCATACTTGGACATTATTTCAAACACCTCCAAATCGCTCTGTCCCTCCTTCTTGTACGCAAACCGGGGGTTTCTCAGGTCCTGTGAGAAGAAATGGTACATTTTAAAGTGTGTGCGAGAGAATAGAAAAGCTAAGCTGAGACAGAAAAGGGGAGGGGCCTTGTATAGAAGCTTGTCTCCGCAACAGTATAAAAAAATTAAGTTAATTGCGTCTTTTTCTATCTCGTAATTGTGATTGTATATCTAGCAATTCTGAGAACTCGCAATTGCGACTTTATATCATGCAATTCTGACTTTATATCTCGCAATTCTGACTTTATATCTCGCAATTCTGACTTTAAAAACGCAATTCTGACTTTATATCTCGGTGTTGTGAGTTTATATCTCGCAATTCTGACTTTAAAATGCAATTCTGACTTTATATCTCGCAATTCTGACTTTATATCTCGCTGTTGTGAGTTTATATCTCGCAGTTCTGACTTTAAAACGCAATTATGACTCTATAACTCGCAATTCTGACTTTATAACTCACAATTCTGACTTTATATCATGCAATTCTGACTTTATATCTCGCTGTTGTGAGTTTATATCTCGCAATTCTGACTTTATAACTCGCAATTCTGACTTTATAACTCACAATTCTGACTTTATATCTCGCAATTCTGACTTTATATCTCGCTGTTGTGAGTTTATATCTCGCAGTTCTGACTTTAAAACGCAATTATGACTTTATAACTCGCAATTCTGACTTTATATCTCGCTGTTGTGAGTTTATATCTCGCAATTCTGACTTTATATCTCGCAATTCTGACTTTATATCTCGCAATTCTGACTTTATATCTCGCTGTTGTGAGTTTATATCTCGCAATTCTGACTTTAAAATGCAATTCTGACTTTATATCTCGCAATTCTGACTTTATATCTCGCTGTTGTGAGTTTATATCTCGCAGTTCTGACTTTAAAACGCAATTATGACTTTATAACTCGCAATTCTGACTTCATATCATGCAATTCTGACTTTATATCTCGCAATTCTGACTTTATACCTCGCTGTTGTGAGTTTATATCTCGCAATTCTGACTTTAAAACGCAATTCTGACTTTATATCTCGCAATTCTGACTTTATATCTCGCAATTCTGACTTCATATCATGCAATTCTGACTTTATAACACAATTGTGATTTTATATCATGCAATTCTGAAAAAAAAAGTCAGATTTGCGAGATGTAAACTTGCAATTGGGAGAAAACATATACAGTATATATATGTATATATACACATATAATTTTTTTACCTTTTTTAAAATATTTTTTATTCAGTGACAGAAACAAGCTTCCATAGGTCAAGAGCCAAAGAAGGGTGGAAAAAGAAGAAAACTGATTTGTCCTTTGCCTTGCAGACTATCTCAAGTCCTTGAGTGTTGTCTCCGTGACTCTGAACAGCGATAGACTCAAGTCTGCTTACGGCTCCAAGATTCACATCCAGAACAAACGGAGAATCCTTATGCAAACACAGAAACAACCTTAATAACCGATCAAATCATTTGTGCTCGTTGAGATCTGAGAAAACACTGGGAAAAAAGCACTAAATTAATCAATCTACGGACACAGTAACTCAAAAGTTTGGAATAATTAATATACAAAATTTGGCTGATACCGATAACCGATAATTCTTTATATTTGAAATCCGATAACCGATATATTGACAGATAAATCTAAATCCATATTTTTATATAATTTTTGAAAGCCTGATTACAAAAACAAAAGTCTTACCATTTAAATTCATATTCATGTCCCAAGCCATACTTCCCTTTTTAATCTCCCGGACCCCTCCGGGTTTGTTAACTCCCGTAATTTGCATGGCCCAAACTCCTTTATGAATAATCGGACCAATATGTTTGTCTAACGTTGACCAGTTGCCAGATCTTGTATTAAATGCATTATATTCACATACACAAATGTTAACAGCTATGCCCCAAGCACACAATTATAATGTTCTCATTAAATGTAGCCTAAATGACAGACTTGCATGGCTCATTTCTGTTGTGTTGTGGATTAACTTCGTTGTGAAATTATGTTACATTTCGTTTGTGTTGTGCACTACTGGGTACTCGATAATGTAAAAACAGGTAGAAGAGTGTGTTTATTACCCGTGTCAGGCTCTTAAAGTAGAGCTTGTAATCAGTGATGGTGAGAGTCCCTCGCACAACCCCAGAGAATGGACAGATATACATGACGTCTTTGACTGTGAAAACACCACAGCGTACAAAGGTTATCTACCATTGTTGTTGCATATGCGTGGAAGACTATTCCATCCACTTATTCCTAACCTATACTACCTAAAAATGACAACTATAATATTTAAAGCCTTGTCCTAAATGATATCTTATTATGTTTAACTTGCTATACTTCATGGTGGTTCTGTGCTGTTTATGGTAAACCACGAATGCACACGTGTTAAGCTTCTTACCGATAGCCTTGATGGTTTCTCCGGGAACACGTGGAGCCTCCTCCATTTGAGCCTGCTTATTTCCTTCTCTGAGTGCCTGTGACACATTGAAACAAACACATTTTGATATGATTAAATGCACATAATTTTCCAATTAAGGTCCATATTCTGAATGAGCTTTTTTTTTCTGATGAGATTTTCTAAAAATGTATTTAAATCATCCAAAATTCTGGGTTTTTTTTTTTGCCAGCTGTCCATGCTTATTTGAATTTCTAGAATCTAGAATGTTGGCTTTTTGCAATTAGATAATGCGCGTACTACATAATCAGAATATGTCAAACTCATCACCATTTTTGCCACATTTGAATGTATGTATTTCAAAACACATTTGCATTTCATGAGATTTTTTGCTAAATCTGATCGGGTTTCAATCTGATAAGCACAAAAATCTAATTTAGACTAATAGTCTGAATGAGGCTTCACAAAACACACACATGCACGTAAGCTCACGTTAAACAAGAATTAAACAAATGGTGGTTTACACTTAAAAAAAATGAACTAGGGAGGTTGTGCACTTTAAATAATATATTTATATATGGTTTACTTATAATAATTACATTTTTTGACTTTAAATGTTTTTTTCTATTAAGGTCTATGTAATTGTGTCTCAACTTAACAGTACAAAATGCTAATGTGTTGTCTAAACACAAACCATTTATGTTAAGTAAAAAAAAGTAATTTTATTGTGTTCAATCTGCTTAAATCTACAAACAACTTAAGTTTACTTAATCCGTTTGTGTTGGATTACATGATTTATTTGTGTTGCCTTAACTGAAACTGTGCTTTTAGTTCCCAGCATGCTTTGCATATGGTTGAATTAAGAGAGAATACATGTTAAAATTAAGTGTTATTTTATGTTTTTTTTTTTTTTAGAAATTTAGAAAAGGGGAAGACTTGATAGTGTATAATAGTGTTTAATGTTAAAATTACATTGGAATTATTAAACCATTTAAATTACAGTGGGTTACCATTGTGGAGATGAGTGGAGCATTTTGTTAGCCTGTCGACTGATTTCATTATTTTCAATTGCTTTGAATGAAGGAGCATGTAAATCTTAGCATTCAAGATGCTAATATGTGCTTCTGCTAGCAAATAACTTGCTAAAGTCTATCAATTTAATTAAATGTCACTGAATCAAATGAAATATAAATGGATGAATGAATATAATAAAATGCCTTTGAATCATGTCAGGAGGAAGCCTTTAAAAATTCACGTTGAGACTACTTAAATTGGGTAATTTAAAATTACATAACTCCATTATGTTGAAGTTACATAAACAAATTATGTTTGTTTAACGTAATCCAGTTATGTGGAACCTGTTGACAAATTAAAATTAATTAAAGCCAACATAATATATATATATATATATATATATATATTTTTTTTTTTTTTTTTGAGTGTAGAAAAATACCTCTCCAGATACAAAAACACTCTGTATGTGGTTTCCTTTCCACCACACCCAAACTTTAAGTTCTCTCTCTGCCTAAAGCAAACAGCCAGTCCAACGTTTGAGGCTGTGAACTAAAAGCGGAAGGCAGAGCTGTAATTCAGAGGATTGGAGAAAAAAGGGAATATGCACTTCACATAAACTCTGGTGAATTTAGCACTAAAACTCCATGCATTATCTTTTAAGATCCCATGAACACACAAGTACATGTTTTGGCCCTGAAAAAGCTGTTTATGTCAGCAAGCAGTAGGGAGTTCAGCAGGATGAGGTCTGATCCACCCACAGTGACAGAAGTGTTTGGCAACCTCGTGGACACGGACGAATCCGAGAATTCAGTCATTCTGTTGCGGTCCAGCTGCAGGACAACGACAGCACTGTGGAATTCAACAGTCTTGACCTTCACCAAGACAAAAGATCCATGGAGATCTGTTCAGCATTATGCTAATAAAGCCCTAGAAAGATGGCACGGGGTGGTGATATTTCATAATGGCATATGAGTCAAGTCATTTGTATTTATGTTATGTGCTACATCAATAATGGAGGAAAAGGCATATGGCAGATTAAAATATAAATCATGCTCTTTCGACAGCATCTGCGACACAGAACATAATTTAGAATGGGTAAAAACTGAAACTGTGTACACAGTAATAAATCTAAAGTGCTTTTGCAGGCAAGCATGAACATAAATTATATCCAAATATTATAATGCAACGCATTTACATGGACAACAAAATGATGGTAAACAGATTAAAAAAAAACAGTTCATTATAATAATGACGCAAGAAATCCACATTTCCAAGATTTTACGGATGGCCGGACAGACAGACGAAGGGATAGATAGATAGATAGATAGATAGATAGATAGATAGATAGATAGATAGATAGATAGATAGATAGATAGATAGATAGATAGATAGATAGATAGATAGATAGATAGATAGATAGATAGATAGATAGATAGATAGATAGATAGATAGATAGATAGATAGATAGATAGATAGATAGATAGATAGATAGATATACACTCACTTAAAGGATTATTAGGAACACCTGTTCAAATTCTCATTAGTGCAATCATCTAATCAACCAATCACATGGCAGTTGCTTCAATGCATTTAGGGGTCAAGACAATCTCCTGAACTCCAAACTGAATGTCAGAATGGGGAAGAAAGGTGATTTAAGCAATTTTGAGCGTGGCATGGTTGTTGGTGTCTGAGTATTTCCCAATCTGCTCACTTACTGGGATTTTCACACACAACCATTTCTAGGGTTTACAAAGAATGGAGTGAAAAGGGAAAAACATCCAGTATGCGATGGCAGTCCTGTGGGCCAAAATGCCTTGTTGATGCGAGAGGTCAGAGGAGAATGGGCCGACTGATTCAAGCTGATAGAAGAGCGACTTTGACTGAAATAACCACTTGTTACAACCGAGGTATTCAGCGAAGCCACAACACACACAACCTTGAGGCGGATGGGCTACAACAGCAGAAGACCCCACCGGGTACCACTCATCTCCACTACAAATAGGACAAAGAGGCCACAATTTGCAAGAGCTCACCAAAATTGGACCATTTAAGACTGGAAAAATGTTGCCTGGTCTGATGAGTCTCGATTTCTGTTGAGACATTCAGAATTTGGCGTAAACAGAATGAGAACATGGACCCATCATGCCTTGTTCCCACTGCACAGGCTGGTGGTGGTGGTGTTGTAATGGTGTGGGGATGTTTTCTTGGCACACTTTAGGCCCCTTAGTGCCAATTGGGCATCGTTTAAACGCCACGGCCTACCTGAGCATTGTTTCTGACCATGTCCATCCCTTTATGGCCACCATGTCCCCATCCTCTGAGGATAATCCACCATGTCACAAAGCTGGAATCATCTCAAATTGGTTTCTTGAACATGACAATGAGTTGACTGTACTAAAATGGCCGCCACAGTCACCAGATCTCAACCCAATAGAGCATCTTTGGGATGTGGTGGACAAATCTCCATCAACTGCAAGATGCTATCCTATCAATATAGGCCAACATTTCTAAAGAAGGCTTTCAGCACCTTGTTGAATCAATGCCACGTAGAGGTACACAGTATTAGTATGGTGTTCCTAATAATTTAGAATGAGCGTAGACTGGATCTTTATTTTATTTGGATGTAAGTGTCTTGAAACACTTGTTTGTAAGTAATCATGTCAAATTGTTAACGGAGTCACACACAAACACACACAGAGAAAGACTTGCCGAAGAGGGGGCAGTCTGTTGAGGGTCACTGTCCAAGAGAAATCCTTTAACCTCCACATCACAGTCCTGCACCAAAGAAACACCACAACACCACAGAAAAAACAGAGATCGATGAGGAAAGAGAAAGAAAAAGAGACCAGAAAGATGCAATCATTTCAAGAAACTATGAGAACTACAAGCTTTCGTGCAAGGTCAAAAGGGCTTATACACATTTTGTATCGCTTTATATATTTTTCCATAAGGGTTAAATGTTAGTCACCAAAAACTCTGAAAAGAACATTATGATATGATTGGGATGGGTGAAAGTATTTTAATATAAAAAAATGACATTTTTATGTTTCAATACAGGGTATTTTTGGACTGGAGAGAGAAGTTCTGAAATTTACAATTTGTAGTCATAGTCGACTTTTTCTTTTATTTAAAAAGTAGAATTTACATTAATTTGACAATGTCAGAATCAGAGGTTCTGCATGATTAACAGAAAAGTAGATCTTCAATGTTTGAAGTTCCATAGCTTTTATCCCCTGAATGTATAATAAAATTGATCCATATGACCTGCGAACTATATTGCTAATCATCCAATAGCTGTGTGTGAGGAACGGACAGATTTTCCATCTTTTCAGAGAATCAGTTGATCTAGTTCATAAAACTGGTCTAAATAATGTTGTGTTCAACAGATTTAACGATCTGGTTAACAGCATGCTATTTTTATGACTCCTTTATGATTCTAGGAGAAAATAACCCTTTATGTTCCACCGAAAGGGTTTTATAACAAAACGAGGAGTAGATAATTTCTTTTTCATATGAAATTTGTCAGAAACAAGTAGACTTGACAAAATAACTTGATCAGCAATGTTCTGATCCACTGTGGTTTCATGACAAAAACAGCAGTTATCTAAACTGTGTGCTGACTCTTGCATAAGAGTGTATAAACTAAAAACACTGGGTGGAGATCTCTGGCAATACATTAAAAAAAAAAAAAAAACAGAAACCTGTTTTGAGTTAGTGAGCATTTACATGTATGCGGTCTACATATTGCCACACATTGATGAAATATAAGTGCAAAAATAAAATAAAAACATGAATAAATCAGGGAACATAAGTGCCACAAGTATCCACAAAACAAAAGAAAGCAGATGCTTTCTTTGTAAAAGTAATGCAATCCAAACGAAAAGAGATCTGTGTTGAGAATTTCTTAAAAAAATAATAATAATAATAATTAATATACACAAACCTTGCACTCTCTAGAAATCGTCTCTGAGCTGATGGATCCAGAGATTGGACTTGACATTGTGGCTGCAATCAGTTGTTTGCACCATTCAACATGAGCCCCTGTGGGACTATAATATAAAAGTGTTAGTGAGTTACGCAATACTTCTGACAATAATATATGTAATTTATAAGCGCACTCAGTGAGCATTTGCTCATGTTCAGCTGGCTCTTATTCACCCCAATAGTTAATCATTCTTCTTAACTACCATATGTTGTTGACACAGAAATCTGTAGTTTATGTACTTTTATATTCATACTTAGTAAAATGTATTGAGAACTGGCGGAAAATATATATATATATATATATATATATATATATGAAGAGTTCAGATGCAAAAGCCTCTAAATGCCATTTGAAATTTTCTTCTTTAATGATGATTTTTATCAAACTTGTATATTTAAGTTCAGTAATTCAGTAATTTCACTTAAATGGCAATGATAATTACCTATTAATTTGTTATTTAAGTAAAATTACTGAACTTAAATACACAAGTTTGATAAAAAATCATCATTAAAGAAGAAAATTTCAAATGGCATTTAGAGGCTTTTGCATCTGAACTCTTCATATATATACTATTAGTAACTCAGCCAATTACATGGCACGGCTGGTCACGTGATATCAACACAGCAGCGCCCATGAGGGGGCGACCCGCCGCACTGAATAACAAAACCTTTTTATAAGACTATGTTTGGAGTCATGTATGCGTGGATCATTTATATAAAATCATATATATAACCACATTTTATTCCATGATTAAAACATTAATTAGCTATAAAAAGTGCACCTTTAATAATACAAAAAGTCATCCTGATAAAGTAGTCTACTCTCTTATCAGCATGTCTGGTTATGAGACAACACCTCATTCAAACAAAGTAACATTCAGTCCAAGGATTTTATTTGCATCAAGTCACTCAGTAACTAAACCGAAGAACGCGCTGAAACATCAGGTTTATAACACCGCGTCATCTCTCGCAACCAACGCGACTTGCAAAAACGCATCCACGCCACTGATGGAGTAGATGGGGTGTCATCGAATATAAAAGGGGTGTTATTGACACTAACCTGTCTGGGGTTTCGGGGTTTGACTGTGGTGCGGTCTGTCGCTTGTCCATCCTCTATTGTAAGCTTGCAGATGGTCAAAATCACGCTATGTTGCATGTCCAAGGCTCATCGTGTGCCATACAACAGATAACGCTAAAACTTTGTGACTCGCAGAGACGCGAAAGCTTAGGGATATCGCTCATAAATGTTAATCAGGTCTGTGCTGCGCAAGCTTCCAATGGTGATGGCTTGCTCATGAATATTAATTACGTTGCGTCGATATCGTCCAATGGCAAAGACTTAAGTCATGAATATTAACACTCAGCTTTAAACATAGTAACCTCGCCTCCCGGACCGCCACGCCAGCGCTAATAAATATAAACAAGACTACGTTACCCAGAATGCAATAGCGTGAGGTAATGTTTGGAAAGCGTTTAAAATCTTGCGGGTGAGCTCCGAGCTCCCATCTGGCTCGGAACAGTTCTTCCCCCAAATCCAAATCCTCTCCAAATCCCAAATCCTGCCTTCTTAGCAGCTATTCACAATTAATGGGGAAAAACACAACGAAAATGTCCTTACAACAACGCTCCCATATTATTTTTGAAGTGTTGAATCCTCATTTCCCCTGAAATGATTAACCACACGTCTGTGTTCTATTTTTATATTACAAGAGCCCTGTTATTCTTACTACCTCACTATAAATGAACACTATATTTATGATCACGTGTTACAAATACGCGTATTGAAGATATATGCACCAGAGAAACGTGGGCGCCGTCATCTTTAGAATATTATTAAGTGTTGTGAGAGATAAAATGACCCATCCACATATTTTTTTATACCACTTATCCACACTGCTACACAATAATTTCATAAAAATAGCACACACATTAATAATTAAGTGACAATGAAAATGTATTGGAGTATCAAAGTAACACTTTAAAAACGAAAAATGTAAAATTATGCATCTGTGCGAAAGTATAGCCTACAATTCAAACATATTATATAGGTCTAGGTATTTTCTAATTGTGTTTTTAAGTTGGGACATACGTTGTCTAAAATAAGTTGTCTTGTTTTTCATCATTGATTCTATTTAATAAATGGTTAAATGTATGTACCCAAGCTTGACCTAATACATTTTTAATAGTTGTACATTACCGTGTCATGATTACACACAAAATCTTTTAGAAAGTTTGATTTTTCACATTTTATGATGTCCAAAAGACACAGAATACCAGGACTGACCCAAACACTGTGTATACTGTAGTTTACATCTGGAAGATGTATTTTTAAGTGTGTTTGCTCATCTGCAATAGGACGTTTCCTGTCAGATGTCAAATAGACGTTTAGAAGATGTCAGTTTCACATGCATTCTAACCATTACATCTTAAAGACATTTGACATCTGACAGGAAACGTCCAATAGACGTATTACAGATGAGCAAACACTCTTAAAAATACGTCTTCCAGATGTAAACATCACATCAAATAGACTTGTGCGCTCTGCGTATTTTGTGTCAATGTTCACTATTACGGATGAGCAGCAGCAGAGGGAAGAAGATGAACTGGGATGTGTACCGTCCACACATCTTTATGGCCCCTAGAATACATTGGTTCACTGAGCCAACGCGGGTTTGAGAGTCTTGTGAGGTATTTCACATTGAGTTCAGTCAGGCAGGCCGCAGTCTCCAGCTCTCTCATCTCTTCACAGGGAACATCCTCGGGACAACGCCATGTCTCCCCAACGTCAACCAGACCTGCACATATGCATTGGATTATATAGATAGACTAGACACACAACCCCAAAATTCATTTGCATATGCAAATAATAAAGATGTGGTTGGGTAATGCTTGCTTGAAGCATTAAACAGTACTTTAATATTTAATATTCACCTGCTATAACACCACGTCCAAACCTGTCTCCAGACAGCAGAAGTTCCTCCGTTTGCTGGGTTGTCATTCCCAGCCTTTCAGTGAGGATGAGTCTCCAGTCCTCGTCTTCCCAGTCCTTCTGAGCGATGTGAACGGCTAGAGTGCAGTTCCGCATCTCTGACAGCAGGGGCCGCCAGCGGCTCTCTATCGTTTTCACGCCATTCAACACAAGGGTGGCGTACGGCTGGCGAAATGACAAGCAAGCCACCTCTAAACTCATCCTGAGAATACGCTATTGAACTCTTTATCTACAAATAACACGTTTTAAGTAAGTCTTAAGTACAGCACATTCCCGCTAGTGGTGCTTTATCCAATAGACATAAGGATAAGATTTGATCTGATGGACAACTGGATAGAGAGAGCGCTTCCTGTTTTTAAAATGTGTCTCAAAAAGAAGACGAGACACTGTTATAAAATAAAGGACTCATGAAAGAAACAGCGCCCACTAGAGCTAGGACTTAAAGTGATAGTTCAACCAAAACATGACATTCTGTCATTATTTACTTTCCAAACCTGTATGAGTTTCTTTCTGTTTAACACAAAAAATATATTTTGAAGCATGTTGGTAATCAAACAGTTTGGTAACCAAACTATGGAAGTCAATGGCTACAACTGTTTGATTACCAACATCCTTTAAAATACCTTCTTTTATTTTCAACAGAAGAAACTCATACAGGTTTGGAACAACATGAGGGTGAGTAAACGATGACACAGTTTTCATTTTTGGTTGAACTATCCAACTGAAGCAAAACAAACAAACAGTAAATAAAGTATTCATCAATTTATCCTTGGTTACTTTTATTGTATTTCACAGTTGGATTTTTTTGTTTTACAAAATTCTATCGATGCAACTGACTCACTGGCCAATGGAAGATGATTCTGAACCACAGCACCAAAACATGTAGAAATTATTTTGGACCAAACTGTCTAACATTAAATAGAACATCTCATTCGTTTAGTCAGTGACCCATAACAGCTTGTTCCACAAGGTCACTTTCTCCCATGGTTGAACCTCGTGCCTCCAAATTCTGCTCCAATTCCCGAATCTGTTCCGCAAAGGCTCAGGAGAACTGTGCTCGCATCACTCCATCATGTCTTCCTCTGTTCTTGCAGCTTTCGGGCCTGATGAGTGACACGACTCTTTTAGTGGAGAACTATCGACCTTTGTAGTGTTTCCAGCTTTCTCAGTGTCTCAGTCCCATCAGTACGTGCTTTCATGCCCCGTGAGTATGTACAGGTTGCTCATGGCAGACGGATCATCCGTAGGAGTACTTTGCAAGATAATATCCCTGTGGAAACATTATATCATTAGTAAAGATGACATTTTTTTTTTTTTTGCTCAACCACAGTGTGAAAACCAGTGGTGGAGGAAGTACTGAATTTCAGTACTTAAGTAAAAGTACAAATAACCAGATAAATATTTACTTTAGTAAAAGTAGAAGTAACACAATGACAACCATACTTAAGTAAAAAGTACCTGATTTTAAATGTACTTTAAGTATTAAAAGTAAAAGTACTTGCATAACAATTGATTTTCTTAATGACTATTTTCTAATGATTAATAAAACATTTAATTCTAACTCATTCAACCTAATACTCCTATAATAATGTTCAATAATGATGGAAAAAAATAGTTGTCACCATTTCTGAAACAAGCTTGCAATTAGGCAATATAAACCATGCTTATCGTTACTATATATTAATAACTATGTTTGGCAGTGTTAATTTATGGTGTAATTCTGAACCTCTTGGCTTACCATAATCCTAACCAAACGTATATTACACACGGTGTGTTTCCTATGCACGTAAAAATAAATGTATAAATAAACGATAAACACACTACGTGCGAGACGCATTTAGTTGATGTATCTATGGCAACCAAACGTCACTGGTGAGACAAACGTGCAACGAACGGACGGGCAGGGGAAAAACTGATCAGAAAATGTAATGAAAAAGTAACAGAAATTGTAGTAATGTAGTGGAGTAGAAAGTATAATAATTGCTGCAAAATGTAACGAAGTAAAAGTAAAAAGTATGCACTATTTATTCTACTTAAGTAAAGTAAAGATACGTGAAAAGTGTACTTAAGTAAAGTAACAAAGTATTTGTACTTCGTTACATTCCACCATTGGTGAAAACATACCTAGTTGTTCCCAAAACCTGAAAAACTCGACTTCTATCTGTGATCTCCTGGGTAACCTGAAATAAAAAGCATCATTTTTTTCCTTCCTTTCTCATACATCAGGGAATCCATCATTGTTATAGATGTCAGGTTTACCTCATTAGTTTGTAAACTCCTTCCTTTCAGACCATGTTTCCAGAAGGCAAGGACACTGTCCTGTAGGCAAACTTTAAAGACAGCCACATTACCACCAGATCCAACAAAATGATGGCTACATCTGACACGACTTACCCAGCGTCTGAATGGAAAACTCAAAAGCAAGCTCCGAGTTCTTCTGATGGCTCGGACACGCCTGCAGATTCACGACCTTCACTGTGTCTGAAACAGAATGGTCCGTTAATGGATTCGGTTCATTGGTTTGAAGGGGTGTAACAATACAGTACTACGAAATACGAAAATGCATCATTGTGGATAGTGAAAAGACAAATTAAAAATTACTGTGAGAAAAAAATGAAAGTTTTAGTGTCAGTACTACAGTAAACTGCTATATATAATGTTAAATGTAATGTATAATAATGCAATCTGGGAATATTTGTGGGTCCTGATAATGCCAAATGTCTGATGTAACCAGTAAATCACTTTTGACCTGAAGGATTTTTCTAGTAATATAAGGAAAGTGCTATTGAGCATAGATAATTATGTATGTAAATATGACTTTTTAGTGAGGTTAAGAATGGATGAATGAATTAATTGATAGATGTTTTTGAGTGACTAATTATAACATTTTATATTGTATATTTTGTATTGTAATTCACCTGCTCGGGGACTGCAGATGCACTAAATCTGGTGAAAAGCATCGTTAATTAATGTTTTTTTGCACATTGTCCCTGTTGAAATAAATAATTAAATGAAATGAATAAAAAGTGGCCTACATTATTTTAAATGCATCTAACGAGTGACAGAGTGGAAGCATATTCGTTTAAAATATTTTTTTCAGCTTCAGAATCCTGAAAATGTATATTCTGGTGTCACTAATTGTCCATGCCTATTTATTTACGCCCACCATGTAATATCAAATTTAGCATTTTATTCAAACTTTTACTATATGTCTTGGAATAGCGCAATAATATCGTTGGATATTGGTTTGTAAAAACACAACAACCGTATTGTTAATAATGCACCTATAATGGAAGTCTATGGGGCTAGACACTGCACTGAAATAAATTATGAATTTCTGAGTTTAAATAAATTTAGATATTTGTGTGTGTGTGTGTGTGTGAGGGGGTATTTAAAGGTGCTTTTCCATTACCAGTACCAGCTCGACTCGGCTCGCTTTTCGCACCGTTTTCCATTGCAGACAGTACCGCCAAAAATAGTACCCGGTCGTCATAACGACGCCTTGCTGCCCTATCAAGCTCTCATTGGATCCTCTCTTCGGCCACCAAACAAAGGAAAGTCTGCACCTCCTCGTTTGACCGAGTTGCCATAATAATAGCAGTAAGTTTAGTAACTACACTCTTAGAAAAAAGGGTTCTGTATATGTAGCATAGGGTTCTTTACTCGACTCCAAATGACATTTTATGCTAAAAAAGGTTCTATAATGACAAGAAAGAACCCGTTTGGCACAAAAAAGGTTCTTTATAGGCTATTATTCATTCATAAATTACATTATTTTGCAATATTTTGTAGTTGTAATTAAATTATTGTTTATTAAACTTAAAGGGTTCGTTCACCCAAAAATGAAAATTCTGTCAGTATTTACTCACCCTCATGTTGTTCCAACCCTGTAAGACCTTCGTTCATTTTCGCAACACAAATTAAGATATTTAAGATATTAAGATCGCTCCTGCATACTAGTCCATAGGCTTCTTGAAGGAATGACACTTGCTGGCATCGAAAAGTCATTAAAGACATCGTTAAAATAGTCCAAGTGACTACAGTGGCTCAATCTTAAGTTTATCAAACGACGAGAACACTTTTTGTGCGCAAAAAAACAACAAAAATAACGACTTTATTATTAGCATCACATTTTAATCATTTCTGGATGAGAAAATCTGAAATGGCACTCTTCGTGGTATATTGATTAACTACATAAAATGATATAATTATATACATTTTCTAACCCCCATATCTTGAATTTTTAGGGGTTCCAAATACGTAGCGCTTTAGAACCTTTTAAGGTTCTATATAAAACATTTTCTTCTAAGAGTGCATCTCTGGCCAAACTATTTAAAAATGGCGGGGTTATTCTGGATACTCCATCTGGCGCGTGCAATGAAGACGCAGTGAATGGTGACGATTCTCTCTGACCAATCAGCAGTCGGCATTGATTTTACATCACATTTTAGCTCACTCAGAACCTCGCCGGAGGTGATACTAAAAAAAGTACCCGAAAGCAGGAACAGCTACAACTTTTACACAGTGGAAATTGAAAACCAAAAAAAAGCGAGACGAGTCGAGTCGAGCTGGTACTGTGTAGTGGAAAAGAGCCAGAAGTGTTTGTTAGAGGCCATTACTTTCCAGTGCGATGAGAACCGTGTCCCTGTCCAGTTGAATCACTTGCTTGACCTCCAGAGACTCACCATCTGTGAAGTCACATAACCTCCAGTCAAACATTAAAGGAGTTGTTCACTTTTGAAAAAACTTTTGCTGATAATTTACTCACCCCCATGTCATCCAAGATGTCCATGTCTTTCTTTCCTTCAGTCGAAAAGAAAGTAAGGTTTTTAATGAAAACATTCCAGGATTTTCTCCATATAATGGACTTCAATGGGGTCCAAACGGTTCAAGGTCCAAATGAGAGTTTTAGTGCAGCTTCAAAGGGCTTTAAACAACACCAGACGATGAATAAGGGTCTTATCACGCAAAACGATCGGTCATTTCAAAACTTATTCCAAAAATGTAACTTTTCTAAGGACAAATGCTAGCCTTGCTCTATTCTGTGAGGCGTGTTTGTAATGTCACGTAATACGTAATTACGTTCAAAAGGTCACAGGCGACGTAGCCGGAAGTACAGAGTCAGTGTTTACAAGTTGAATGTGCAAACTAACTCAAACGCCGTTTACAAAAAAAAAGGAATTAAAAGGTAAAACAACGATGTCGGACGATTTTGATTCTGTACTTCCGGCTACGTCGCCCGTGACCTTTTGAACGTAAATACGTAATACGTGACGTTACAAACACCCCTCACAGAATAGTAGAGCAAGGCTAGCATTTGTCTTAGAAATAAGTGGAATAAGTTTTGAAATAACCGATCGTTTCGCGTGATAAGACCCTTA